GGCAAGGGAAGCGAGGTGGGAGAAAGAAGTTCAAGTAGGCAGGCTTGATTATATGTCCAAGAAGACTCACGTGATGTTATCGATACCACAAAGCTTGGCACTGTAACACCGATAGGAACAACTACAGAGACGAGAGATAGACACAGAGCGTTAGACTCAGGAACGGATGATGCATGGTAAACGAAACAATGATGAATTTGAAACAATATTAAACTCCTATTCACTAAAACGAGGATAGCACGAAAAGAAAAGCCCCTTCAAGTCGCTAGTGCACCGTGCTGGTTGCTGTGTAGAGTGGTAATGTCACCTGCTCGGACGCCCTGATGCTGGTTCAAGATTTCGTCGTCGCCGGTACTGCGCAAGGTGTTCTCGTCCATCTTGCCGTCTACGCCTCGCTGGACACCGGGCTCAATCAGACTGCCCTCATTGCTAGGCACGTTTGGCCAGAAAGCTTCCTCGGCATCTAGCAGAGCCCTCCATATCGGATCCGCCCTGTTCTTTACCTCTGCCCACCTCCTATCATCGCGATTTACTGCGATGCTCACGCCTTCGTTGATGATGCGTTCAAGCTGCTCGACAAACATCATGAAGTCGCGGTTTGACCAGTTGGGGATGAACTCTCTTCGCATGGCGCCGCCGTCCATGTCATTTTCGTACCCTCGAGGAGATGACTGGGTATCTTGATGGCGAGCCCAAGACCAGGCTTCATAGTAGACCTTCTCAGTTGACCACAGCAGGATCGCGCCCTCTAGCCAGGGGAGGAAAGGATTGGGTTGTTGAGATGCAACGGCGTTGAACAGGGCCTCGTAGCGACGAAGGCCTTCTGACTTGAGGTTTTCTTGTAATGGCCAGGGATGAAAATCAATCTTGTAAATTTCAGCAACTTCCTGGAAGAACTGAATCTCCCGCTCTCCGTTTTGAATGCCAGCCTCTAGCCATCTAATTAGGCGTGTTTCGATATCCGGTTCAGCGTCTGGAGCAATTGTCGACTTGTGGGTACTTTGAACCAGACTCAGAGTATTTCTGAGTGTGGAGAGGTAGCCTTCAATGTACTGCCTGTCGTTTGATAGCCACTGTGCTATCAAAGACTTGGGCAGAGAGCCCTTGGCGGCGCGCTCTAGGAAGGGGTGCCTTGTGACGCGGAGAAGTTGTTGGTGGTTGATTGCGAGTAAGTGTGTTGTGAGTGCCCAGGGGACGTCGGTGGGGTCGATTTCGCCTTTGCTGTGAGCGACCGCGGTTCCGGGGTGGTGCGTAGGCATGGTGGTAGGTATCGTTCACGAAGTATTTCAGAAATCTGTATCGAACGATGTATGTATTCGATAAGGTACATTTCGGACACGGGCAGCAAAGCAGGGTCTTTATATGATCTGTCAAGGTATCTGCCAAGCTATACGATGGCTCCGAGGAACTTTAGCTATGTGCTGCTATATCTGGTATGATGTACGCTGTGGCGCAGCCAAGAAAGGGTGATGGTGTTTCAACGACTGTATGACGTGAGTCCAGGGCGTCCGGATGCTGGGCTTCTTTAGTTGATACAAGAGGACGAATGATGGGATCCTAGATTGATAGATGAGAACTTGGCGCGCAATGCCGCAGCGGAGCACTTGGCGGGTAGGATGCTAGAGTGCTCGTTCGACTGAAGCGCGTGGCGGAACTGTGGCTAGGCGCTCGGCAATGCTGTCATTTCGCCACCCACCAAACCGGACGAGCATTGGGCGCTATTCGCTTCCTGCCCCTGGCCCATCACGTGTGACATACCATGGTTCTAGTGCTTTAGGATGCCACGGCAGAGATGCTTGTATCCACTTTGGACGGCCAGAACCAAGTCTATATTCTTGTCCTTTGCAGAACTCAGCGTGCCTTGAAATCCAGACCTCACGCCATCGCATCATCACCTGTGGGACATTACCTCACTTGATCGTCCCACCCTAGTAGTCTTGATGTACGCAGTTTCCAAGAGTGGCTTTCGAGGAAGCTCCTAGATAACGATCAAGCGCACGTATCTGCAGAAAAGACTACACTCGTTATGGAGCAGCCCCACCTTGGTTTTACTGAGATCAGGTGAGGTGGGGGGTTTAGTTCCTTGACATCAAGGCTGCGAAGAATGGTTTGCACTTCAAGGGTAGTCAATTTCAAGAAGCCACATATTTATCTCGTGTATATACTATACGAATACCGATCTTGCGCTCAGGTAAAAATACAGCCATCAACTATGATTATATATCGAAGCCAGCAAAGCTTACATTTGTTCTCTCGCCACATCGGTTGACTTACATCCAACATACAAAAAGGCTCAAACAACTTACTCCCTAAACCAACCGACTTACGATGATTCATACTACTGAGGTGGCTGTCAGGTGATAATCTATCGTTCTAAAGTTTAAATATTCAAACAAGAAACATGTCAGTAAAACTAGCCGGATACTAAATAGAAATTATAGTAGTTTGCTTTGACAATAGTCTTACAAGTACAGCTGCATGCTACAAAAAAAGCCAAAAAAAAAGAATAAAGGATAGAGAGAAAAAGGTTCAGCTTGACTGTAGTGTTACTACGGTAGCAGTACAGTGAATACGGAGATGACGAGTGCATCTACACCGGAGAGTCTTCGGTCTTGTGAGTTTCTTATCTTCCATTATCTGCAGGGAGAGACGAAGTTGGTTCTTCTTTTGCTGGGTGTTACCCTGTCAGATTTTTCAGATGATGTCGGATTATGCGGTGGCATTTTGTGTCTGGTTAAGCCGCGAGAAGTGCACGTGGCTTAATGAACAGCTGCTAAGTCCAAAGTGGGACGTAGTAGAAAAGAAAGATGAGATTGAAAAAAAAAACGGGACAAGTTTGAAGTTTGGGTACAGGATAGGCAACGTCCAAAGTCACATGGATTGGAATCTCCAACAGAGTAGAAACTTGGTTGGTGAGAATTCGAGTCAATAGCATTCGACGAAATAAAGAAAATAATGTTCGTACGAAGCCTTGTCAGGTCATCGCCCTTTCTCTCTAACCCAAGCAATGCCGCAAACCAGATGATTCCCAACGCCTTCAAGAAGAATTACTGCACGTGATGCACTAGAAAGTCAAGCCTTTTGTTCTCTCTCATAAGCCTTTAGACCGTTCCCGCAATACTGAGGTCCCTAATTTCCTGTAGCACCTCCTCGACACGCGCATCCAGCTCACCCTGAGCATACTGGTCTCTTGTGTTGGCATCAAGATACTGTTGTACCTGTGCCATTCTCGAGTAGGCCTCGGCACAGAACCTCAACTGAATCTTGACTAGCGCCTCGAAACTTGGGTCTAGGTAGGGTACTCGCAGGTCAATGAGTTGTGGTAGTTCGGCCGTTAGGGTATCGTTGAGCTGGTCGTAGGCAGCCTTGGCGAGCTGCTCATCCTTCTCAGCACGCGGGAGCTTGGTGACGTCCTTGTCGGGTTTGTCTGTCAACTTCCTGACCTGGGCGCGCATGCGATCATAGTCCATCTGCTTGTGTTCGCGCTTGGTGATGCAGGCGTTGATGTCGGGGAAGTAGGAGCAGAAGCGCTGGATGGGATCGAGAACTGTGGTTCGGTAGGGACCGTCGAGGGCTTTGATTGTCTCGGCATCCAGGTCGGTCACAGCTTGCTTGTAAGAGCGCGACACTCCGTCCTTGGCGCCGGCGTCTCCGTAGAAGGCGTCAATAGTTTCGGCAATGCGCATCTGCGAGGCCGTCATGGCACGGAGCGAGTCGAGGTAGCCTTTTGCTTCCTTTTGCAGCTTGTTCGCCGCCGTTTCCATGGTCCGGTAGCGTCTGCCATGTTGCTGTTAGAAGGGGTGGTCATGGGCGGATGCCTGGGAAGGGGGGCAGGGAGGCGGCGGGCGGGGGTTGAGGGCGCATACCGCTGCTCAGTCTCAAAGTCGCGATCATTTGTGCGCTCGACCTGGCCCGTCTTCATCAACACCTGGGTGGTTGCGCGATTGACGCCCTTCTTGAACCCTGCACTGTGTGAGCGGCCACGATATCAAACAAACATTGTTGGGCTGCAATACCTGTCCAAGACATGATTGTGGTGTTGCCGCTATGTTCCGGGAATGCGACGTAGAGATGTGTGTGTGTTGCGTGCAAGCGCAGTGGGTGTAGCTGGGGTATTGTATGTTTGTACACAGTGCAGTCGAGGAGAACAGAGTCGAGCAGAGTGGCAGTGGTGTTGTGGTTGGCCGGCGAGTTGGATGGGAGCGGGCGGCAGTGCCACAATGACGAAAGCTGCAGCCGGCGTACACCACGTCCATCGTGGCTGAGCAAGCCCGCCAGCCCGGCCTCGGGTTCCGCATCAGTGCGAAAGCACCCGACGTCAATGTCTTCTCTGCGTGCGCTGCATCGCGCAACCCCTTCACCTCTGCGCTCATGTAGCAATTGTCTGCGCCGGTATTCCCTCGCATCGCCCTCGAGCCAGCAACAGACGCAGAAGAAAGTCATTTTTTCCGGCATCCAACCCACAGGCATCCCACATCTTGGAAATTATCTGGGCGCATTACGGCAATGGGTCCGACTGCAAGACGAGGCGTCACCAGACACGACGCTCCTCTTTTCCATTGTCGACCTGCACGCCATTACCATCAAGCAAGATGCACGTGAATTGGCCAACTGGCGCAAAGAGATGCTGGCCAGTCTCTTAGCAGTAGGACTCGACCCAAAGCGATGCATAATCTTCACACAGAGCAGCGTAAAGCAGCACGCTGAACTCATGTGGATTCTCAGTTGCGGTGCCAGCATGGGCTATCTAGGCCGCATGACGCAGTGGAAGGTAAGCGTGCAGTTAACGCAAAAAAAAAACTACTCCAAATTATATTATACACAAACTCAACTAAGAAATACAAAACTGACACATCTTACTACAGGCCAAACTCTCCCTCCCATCAGACTCCTCCCCCCTCGACCCCTCCAACAACAAAGACGCCCTAAAACTCGGCCTCTTCTCCTACCCCGTCCTCCAAGCCGCCGACATCCTCCTGTACAACACCACGCACGTCCCCGTCGGCGAAGACCAAGCCCAGCACCTGGAATTCACGCGCGAGCTAGCCATCGGCTTCAACCATGTCTACTCTTCCTTGCCATCTTCTTCATCATCAGCAGCAGCAGGAGGAGGAGGAGGAGGAGCTCCCCTCCTAACAATCCCCCAAACCCTGCTCAGCCCCGCCAAACGCATCATGAGCCTTACGGACCCCACCAAGAAAATGAGCAAAAGCGACGCTAGACCCAAATCCCGCATCTTACTTTCTGACTCGAGAGAAGACATCTTTGCCAAAGTCAAGTCGGCGCTGACGGACTCGATAGAGGGTGTGAGTTATGATCGGGAAAAGAGGCCTGGAGTGTCGAATTTGGTGGACCTGCTGTGGCATTTTGATCAAAATGGTGGAACTGGGTCGCCGGAGGAATTGGCGGAGCATCTCAAGGATTTGAGTATGAGGGCGCTTAAGGAGAGGGTGGCGGATACGGTGGATACGGGGATTAGTGGGGTACGAGAGAGGTATCTGGAGTTGATGAAGGGGGGTGGGCAGACGGAATTGGTGCGGCATGCTGAGCAGGGTGCGCAGAGAGCCGAGGAGATTGCTGAGAGTACAATGGTGAGGGTGAGGAATGCCTTGGGCATTGGATGGTAAACTATTAAAAAAAAATAGGTCAAAAACAAACACTGTAAATCATACTTTTGTAACAACAACAATTTGAGAACATGATTGCAAGGCCCCAGGGCAAACTCTTTGAAAACCTATTCTATGGGAAAACAATTCACGCCCCACAAAAAATGTCGAACCGGAGAATCGCAGTACTAACGTATTATCGAAAGATTGATGCCCCCGAAAAAGAACAGCAAAGAAAAAAAAACTCCCAGGCCTATGCAGTATAAAATGCCCATCCGAAACCGTTACCGAATCATGGGCATCTAGTAGACCCGTGGAAAACGCAAGCGCCAGGAACCACACGCCAAAAACCGAACGCCTCGCTGAGAATAAACGTGCTGAAGAAATGGTGAGAATCAAATACAGGGGAGCCCTGAGAAAAGCATATGCGTATGCACTGATACCCAAACATTGGCCATATTCAATGGCGGCCAGGTCGACGTGTCTCTGACGACGAGAGAGCCATGTTGAGGTTGAAGAACAAGCGTGGCTGCAATGACAAAGAGGCCTCCCGGTTGTGTCGTTAGGGCATGATTGTGAGACAGAGGCATCGGAGTTCAGCCAGAACACTGACACCTAGCGCTTAGAAGGGGCCACTTCCTCATCCTCATCCTCGCCATCGTCGTCTTCGCCCTCAAACTCAGAATCCATCTCTTGGTCCTCGTCAAAGTCGCTTTCGCTGCCGCCAAAGTCAAGGCTCTCGGCATCGCTGTCTTCCCAGCTCATTTCAAAGTCTCCCTCGTCCTTCTCCTTCTTCCACGCAGTCTCGTTGGTTGGCATAACGAAGCCCTCTGGGATATCCTGCTTTGACAATTCAAGATCCTTCTTGACCATCTCCTTGTATTCGGCTGGCTTGTTACGCAACATGACGCCTGCGTCGACGTTGGCAGGGGAAGAAACCTCGGCATCGTCCAACAGAGAGAGAATGGATATAAGGACCGTTTCGACTCGCTGCACGGGCGACCAACGCTCCGCGGCAGTCTCGCCGGACATTTCGTCATCACCAGGCGGGTGAAGGATGGAGATGCACAGACGGCCGTCGGGGTAAATGTTGGGGTGGTAGAGTGGCCGGATAAACTTGAAGTCTGATATGCTATTAGCACCTGCCTTGTATATGACTTGTATATGATATGGCAGTCTCCGTCATAGACGAGCGGTCACGTACCTGGCGGGCTATGTGGGTAGTTGCGAGGAAACGTCATCCTGGCCTTGAAGTAGCCGCCGTAATACATGGATTCCTCGTTCATAACAATGAGTGCCACACTCCACTCAAAGACATTTTCGTTGATAAGCTGTGCCGTGGTTAGCTAGGTGCCCCCAGCAGTCGCCACTGGGGCAGGTGACTCTTCGCTAGCCGCCGCTCACGAACTCACCTCAATGTTGGTCCATTTCTCCTTGCTCAGCTGCTTGAACTCATTCATGAGTATTCGCTGCGCCATTTCCGCCATGTTGAGCAGTGGTTCCGAACAAAGTCCCTTGGCGAAGGGTGTGGTGTTGGCGAGGGTGCTGTACAATGACAATGCAGGCAGACGACGTGTCAGTCTGGTGGGGGTCCGGGCCAGCAGTGGGGAGGGAGCGTGCGGCGCAGGGAGAGAGTGTGTATGGGGAGCAAGTGAGTGAGTGGGCAGGTGAAAGAAACGGGGGCGGAGAGGCGGAAGGGTGAGACCATGGGCTTTAAGGGAGAGCGTGTGCTGAGAGGCGCTGCATGATGGAATGCTCTCGCCGAAACAAGGATGCGCCAGGCCAGCCCTTCGGAACGAGCCTAATTCACCGCTTGCGGCCCTGCAGAGCGCCCCTCGTGTGGAACCACGAGCTGGGGACTCATGACCTGCACCCAGGGTAGACGACGGCCGCCCAACGTCACAGAACATGGCTTTTTTTCCTCCTCGGCCTACTTGCTTTGGCGGCTGGCTGGTTCCTGCACCATGCTGGGTGCGGCCAAGTCGCCATGTTACTTCCGACCTCGGAACGAATGGGAAGGGACCGGAATCATCGCCTACACAGTAGTCGCCTCTTTGCCAGCGCCGCGTGATGGCCGGCGAGTGATGAGTGACGGCGGGTCTGGCAAATGCTGAGCCGCTCAATAGTGTACCGCCCGCCGCCCGCCCTCGTCCCAAACCTAACGACCGCAGAAACGTGGAACCAGCGTGTGCCCCTGGGCCGCCGCCTGTCACGCCGTCGCGTGCTCTGTGCTGCCCTCTGCCACATTGCCCGTCTATTTTGGACGAGCCGATGAAACAAACAACAAATGCCAGCTGCGTAGACGGCAACGTTTGCGGTGCTGCCAGCATATCTATGCGCTTGCTTTTCCTATCCCGTTCGAGTCAGGCCTTGTGGCTGACTACCCATTCAAACCCAGCATCAGATCCTTTGTGAATATCCAGCGTGCCCCCCCCCCCACATCAACACCACATCAGCAACCATCACATCAGGCATGCAGAGCATCTTTGGAAGCAAATCTCTTCTTCTTTTTCTTTTTTTCCCTCCTAGCCACTTATATACTCCCATCGCTAAACCTAGTTACTGTCGGACATAATCCCAGAATGACCACCTCATGCCATGTATGTATGTGTATGCAGAAACCCAGCTTATTGACAAAACCCCATCATTACTCCACCGCTCTCGTCACGTCGTATACTGAAGGAAAGCGCAAAGCAAAAAACAGAAAAACAGACAAAGAGTGTACGTGCCCAGTTGAAAGCCGGCTGGGAACAAGTAGGAAACCGCGCAACTAGATGTATCGCATCCTCCTCGCCACAAGCAGGCATACCGAAATAAAGAGGCAAATGACCCCAATGATGCTGAAGAACCAGGCCAGGCTTCCGTCTTGGCCTGGGACCTTGACGTTCATGCCGAACAGACCGCAGATCAGGTTGAGCGGAACCAGAATCGTTGCAATCACAGTCACCTTCTGCAGGGTAGCGTTGCTATCGTTACCCTGGATGACCTGGTCAACAGAGATCTGAGCGAGGTAGTTGGAGTGCGCGCGGCTGAGCATTTCCTCAAAGTGAGCCAAGTTGGACATCATTGTGACGACGTGATCCTGGATATCGCTGAGATAGATGCCCACATCACCGCGGGGCGCCACACTGTAAGATTCGTTGCAACGCTTAGCGAAGCCCTTGATGACATCTGCCTTGCCTCCCAACAGACGCAGCAGCTGCATCACACGCTTGCGGCAGTCGCCAACTGACCGAAGAATCTCACGTGAGTCCTCAATCCGGGCAATAAACACTTGGTCCTCAATCGCGTCAGCTTCGTCTTCGATGCTTCGGATCACAGGAGCGAAGCTGTCCACAATGTCGTCGATAAGGGCGTAGCAGATCCAGTCGGCGTTGAGGTTGATGTAGTCACGGAGCCGACTAATACGCTTGCGAACGTTGAGAGTGTGGGGGCTTTCGCAAAAGGTAAAGGTCAGAATGCCCTCTTTGAACACTACCGCGTAGAAGTTGACGGGCTCTAGGTATTCCTCAGATTCTTTGTCGGCTTGGAAAAACGAACGGAACGAGACAAAGTAGTACTGGTGGAACAGCTCCACCTTCTCGCGTGGCTCCTGGATGCAGATATCCTCACGAGTAAGGGGATGTACTCCAAATGCCTTTGAAATGGCAAACACTTCCTCTTCTGTTGGGTTGACCATGTCGAGCCACCAGACGCCGCCATCTGATGGTGTGTCAAACAGATCGCGGAAGCGTTCACCAGGCATGAGGAGCCCTCCAAGCTCGGCTGCATGAATTGTGTCGTCCATCTCAGAAGAGAAGAAGGTCCATCGATTGACCTTGGCTTCCGGCGCATGCTTCTCGGTAAAGACGTGAGAAAGACCTTCTTCCGCAAGCTTTTCCTGGATTGCAGGGTCGACTTCCTTCAAGCTCGTAATTTCGTCTGCTGTCTTGGGCGTAGCGGATTGGCTCGACTTGGGACGAAGGTCGGAGAAGACCTTGGGCTTTGCAGACATGCGAGAGGCTACACTCGCCTTGTGGCGTAGAGGCTGGCCAATAGGCGTCTTGCTTTGGGCCTCTGCGACGAACTCTTCCAACTCTTCATAGTCAAACCTGGTTGTCTTGCCAGTGTCCTCGGAAACAGGGAAGCAAACGTCCTCCTCGGCAGAGCTGTGCGCGGATGCTGCATCTGTGTTGTGCAATTCCTCAGGACGCTCGTCGCTGATGGTTGCGCGGCGCGCTGTGGCGCGAGACATGGTTCTATGCAAGGCAAGATCGTTCTCGGAGTCGGCATGGCTCTGAAGAGTGTTGGCTCGGTCACGGCGACGAGGCCCGGCAAATGCATCAACCGAGTTGGGGGGAGAGACAGATCGCGAGCTGGTAGACGAATCCCTGCTCCTAGATAGGCGCTCGACAGCAAGATCGCGAGGACGTCGGAATGTGTCTCGTCGGGCTCGGGGGTCGTGGGCTAGCGAACCGCGGCGAACATAGGCATCAGGAGCCAAGTGCTGGTCATCGTCTACCACAGCGCTTTCTTCAAAGTCGCGTCGAGTGATGTCTGCCTCGAGGGCTTGGTTGACTTGGAGGAGTATATTGGGGTGGTCCTGGCCATGGGCGCTCGCAAATGTAGGTCGGCGCGATCTGGGGGGCGAGTTTGCTTCGGCACGCGGGAGAGATAGAGGCTGGTTACGGTGATCGTTAAGGTCAGACACAGGCGTGCTGAACCTTGTTTGGCTCTCGGATCTCGGAGTGTCAGTCATATTGGCTACTCAGGCGGCGATGAGTGGGAACTCCGGGATCTGATGCGGGGTGCTTTAGTTAAGCCAGGATTGTTTGTATATTCAGCAACTTCTAGCGCTGCAAGAAGCACGGAAGCGGGTAGGTCGCTTGTGAGCGCCCACCTCTAAGGCGCGCTCAACTTGACGATGGCTTCGCGTAGGGTGGTCCCCTACACTAAGCCGACGGTAAAAGTGTCCGGTATCCAGACTTCCACACCCTCTCCGGGAATAGGAAGGCTCGGTGAAGGAGGCGAAAGCAGTAGCGAGGGTAATCGGGTTTGTGATGTTTGGGCCAGTTATGGGGGCTGGTGGTCGCCTCCGTATACCCAGGCTTTTGTGCCGAGCAAGGGGCGGATGAAGGAGAGCCGGTCGAAGTAGAGTCCCGCCAACTTGGTGGTTTGGATGTCTATGGACGCCGTAGCGTCAGAGGTGGGAGTGAAAGGGGATGGTGGGGAAAAACAAAGAACGCTGCTGGGTCAATCAGTCGCAACGGTGGATGGCGGTCCACGGGGAGTCAGAGCTGGAAAGCGGGGAGGTGCACTGGAGCAGCTGCCAGATGCGTGGTGAAGAAGCGGTGTATTGTCGTGGGCAGCAGGTCTGTGGGCAATATATACGTGGTGCGAGACCAGGTAGGCGATGAAAATATTTGGTTGACGGGGGGTGCGGGTCTTTTGTAGTGTGGCTAGAGGGCTAAGGCCAGGCCTTGTTTCCTTTGGATCAGGTCCGCGCTTCGGTGCCTGCTGATTGGGCTGAAGCGGACTCCGAAGCCCCAAGACTGTCCGCTAACTGCATGTGCAGCATGTGGAGCGGCTGAGGCATGCCGAGCAGCAGCACACCGGACACTCTAGACGTGTACAAGTCCAGGCGTATGTTGCGTCTCTGGGCCCCCCAAGAGCCATGGACGCATATGCAACTGTCGCTTGTTGACCTGCATCTCCGTCAGGCGCAAATCGAAAGCCTGCAGGGGTGGCGCGGCCGCGGATCGCTTCCTCTCGCGCCGAGGTTGTTCCGATGGGGCTCTGGATCGCAAACATGCCACCTCTTCAAACACGGCTAGCCTTGTGCAGCCAGCAGTCGACCACTTTCATACATACGTACATACGTCCGTACGTACAAAACACCCAAGACACACAAAGCCGTCTAAGCGCCAGCAATTCCCAACGTGAGCACCTGCATGCGACATGGCGGACCAACTTCTCGAGCAAGTGCGCGACGCCGTCGAGGGCCAGATTGTATGCGATGCCTTGTCCAGACCCAGACCCAGGCCTAGACATACACACCAACCGCTGCTTCACGACAAGGTTTGCTAACAGTGGTTGCAGGACTTCGAGGGCCAGAGGCTGGCTGATATGCTGAGCACAGTTCTCCTTGGCGCTGCTGGTGTATGCCCCCCCCCCTTCTCTTGATTGCGAGCGCTTCATGCGGCTGACGAGCCCAGATCATTGCCTTCATTGTCGGCTACATGGCACAAGACATCCGCCTCACCCTCTACATTGGCCTCGCTGGCACCGCCCTCACCTTCCTTGTCGTTGTGCCCCCGTGGCCCTTTTACAACAAGAACCCCGAAGGCTGGCTACCAAAGTACAACGCTTCTTCGCAATACAACATCGACGTCGACGGGGAGAAGGTGGGATAGACCGGGTTTGGGCGCGAGTGCAGGGGAGACTTGTATCACAATTGGCTAGAAATGCGGCGTTTGATTGTAATGGGAATCTTATTCGACCCTCTTGACTGCGCGTGCTACTACATCGTGCTGTCTTGATAGTCTTTTGCAAAGGCCGTGCTAACGCCAGACATCCGAATGGAACCATAACCCAAATGCGTCCTTGTTGAACCTGTTTGTCGTACCTGCCGCTGCTGTCTATCGGCCGTACTTTTGGAACTCCCAGTCTCTGTTGTCTAGCGGGCAGACCTGTCGCGTCTTGAGCCATCGTGAGATGCAGTGGAAGTGGAAGGCGTGCTGCTGTGAATTAGCATGGCGAATTGCGAGTTTGGCAACATGGAACCTACGTTGCAGATGCCCCAGGCTACCGTGCACTCTTCGCTAGTTGCCGAAGCTTGGTTGGCCTGGCATTCAATGCACAGGTCCATGATGTGATTACGGCAAATAGCACAGTTGTCGACGACGATATCCCAGGCCCAGAGAGCAACGGCGTTCCACTGCGTCATGTCAGCATCCAACGCCTGGTAGCGCACCGGTTGTGCTCGTGTGTTGCCTACCTTTTTGACCTCGAAGCGCTTCTTGTCGCCCTCGCCACTGGCACCGGCCTTGGATGTCTTGGTCTTGGCCGGGGGCGCATCTGCCATGTCGACGTCCGCCATGATTAGTGTGCGATGAAGGCGGTCCGGAGCTGGTGGGGGCGGGGAGATGTGTAGAGTCCAAGTCGGAGGCTGAAGCGTGGACAGAGAGCGGAGTTTGACGGGCCGCAGGTGTGTAATACGTGGGCGGGAACAGGTAGCAGCTCCAGCTCCAACCAGAACCAGAACCAGAACCAGGTTGCTATGGGGTGGCAATGTATTGGCCCGAAAGGTATGGAGGCTGAAGGCGCAACGTGCATCCGTCAGGCTCCAGCTGCCAGCGAGCGGGCGCCAAGACCGGGGCCCATTCACGTCACTGTCTGCGACGACGCCGCAGACAAAGGGCAATGCAAATGCGAAAGCACATCACCAGCAACACACGCTTTGAACTTAATGCCGGAAAGGGACGATCCGTGTCAGAATCCCCATTGCTCCCCCAGCCCGACGTCTGTTTCACAGTAACAGCCGTTCAGCCTTACGTCGTCGCCGCCGCCGCCGCCGCCCAAGTGTCAGTGCGCCTTGCCGAGATCAGCCTTGTTTGACCTCAGCCACCTCCGCGCTGGCACCGACTGATGCGCCCAACACTCTTCACTACACCCTCACTCACTCTCTTCGCCCTACATCACCCGACGGCGCGTGCCTATCTCTACCCCGCGGAACTGGATATGAACACTCTACCACTCGACCTTTGCACACTTGTACTACACCAGACACAGACATCCCCTCAACCACAACCCGCGTCATCGCGCTCCATTCATCCCACTTCCACTTCTCGAACAAAGAGCGTCCGCCTGCGACCCTCCAGATAATCTTCTCTCCACACAGAACACCCCACTACACCTCCAATGTCGACGACTCAGATCACCGCCTCTCCACGAGCGCCCCGCGGAAAGCCGCAGAGCCCAGCTCAGCTGCCCCAAAACAACACCCCCGGAAGACAGTCACAAAGAAAACCAAGGAATAACCGCGCGCAAAATGGCTACAACCAGCGCAACGGCCTACCTGTATCCCCGAGCAAGAATTCCGCACAAGGCGCCCTCGCCGAAAGTGTCACCTTCCCCTGTGAAGATGGTCACATGTCTGCCGGTTCACGCGGCATGAAGAAGCACGCTCAGCCGAAGCCGTCTGATCGCGTCTCTCCGCCCGCCGAATCGGACCCCGTTCCCATTAACCCGTCTGCAACTCCTGTCAAAATCCAGGCCGCTTATGCTGGGCCCACCTTTCACGCGTCTCCGGCGCCTTCTGCTTTGCCCATTCCCAAGTTTCTTTCTCGTTCTGTGCCCGCAAAGACCCGTGCTGGTCCACCAACCCCTCCGCCTGAAGACAGTTCTGACTCGGGCTCGCTGAGCCCTTCGGCTTCTCCCTCTCGTGCCCCGATGGCTGCGCCTCCGCGCCATGAGCAGTCTCCCTTGGATCTTCTCTTCAGGGCCGATGCAGCAGAAAGGGCCAACAACCAAAACAGAGGCCTTTCTTCAAACAGCCCATTCGTAGCAGCAAACCCTGGGCGATCTCACCACTTCAAACATGACTCTTACCATTCACTCAATGGCATCTTCCCTATAGAGCTTGATGGAGAGAGCAAGCATGCGCACATGTCACCTGCGTCTCAGGCACCATCCGCCTCACAGCGCTCCGTGACAGATCCCGATGGCGTCCCTCAGCTCAAAGACGTTCACCAGCAAGGCAATGGAAATGATGTCATGCAAGACCTGTTTAGTCGTCTTTCCATGTCACAGAAGAAACACACTGCTGCAACACCACCTCAGGTGGGTGCTCACGGCCCATCAGGACCTCAAGCACATCTATCGCCCTCGCCTTTCCATGATGGTCGGACCCCTGGGCGAACGACATCTGGTCCCACTACCCCCCAAGCGCAGCCCACGAACCAGGACCCATCCGACTTTTACTACGGCAACAAGAACCTTTCCCCATTGTTCAAGGCAGCCCAGGGCGACTCGGCCAAACGCAACTCTGGCCTTCGCACTGAGATAAGTGCTGATTCCCCAATGCTTCAGCAAGATGGATTCAAGGGTTTTGCATCTGTTCCTCAGCCTCACCCAATGGGTCCAAACGGCTTCCCCCAGGGCAATGGGGCAACACCGAATGCACCTCGTCAGGCAGGCCCTTCCATGCCACCTTACCAACAAAGTCCAAACCAAAGGCGCACGCCTGGTAGACAGCCACACCAGCGTCGTCCTGACAATTACCAAACAAGGGGCCAGAGGACTGGATCTGGATCTGGACCTGGGCCCAAGTTTGACAAAGCAGCCGCCAACGGCTCTCCTGCGTCTGCACCGAAACCTTCTACTACCATGATGTCTTTTGTCCCTTCTTCGGTCGCTGCTAAGCAGCGCAAGACCTCTGCACCCACGGCTCCCGCAGCTGCCCCAGCGATGAAGACATCTACCCCTTCTGAAACATTAGCTTTGGAGCAGGATCTCAAGCGTTTGCTTAATCTCAACACGGCTGGCGATGCCTCGACCGTGAGGTAGACTACTTTGTACCTGTCCATATTCGCACATTTTTCATTCCACTTAGTAGTGTTTTCATACACACACTTTCTTTTTGTCTATATGGGTCTTGTAGCGTTTTGATATCGTCATGTACTATGACCTTACTATCGTTTATTTGGAGTTTCTGGCGTTTTTGAATGACTAGTCAGTCACTGTTGGTGGACGTAGTATGGATTGCTGGGTATGTCGTCCTAGTTGCTCAGTCCAGCACAAGAACTTTTCTTTGTCATGGTTCATGGATTGGTTGCATGTGCACGGGGTTCTAAGAGCTGGTCGACTGGCGTTTTGCAACATCATGTTTCGATGTTTTGGTGCATACATGCACATCTGAGGTTGTCTCGACTGGCTTTGTGAGGTGAGCTTCTTCCGACAATCGTCTGCTGTCCACGTTTCTGGATCCAGGCATGACTCGACTTTTTCCATCACTACAAACACCACAAATCTCTCAAGTAAAAAATCAAGAAAAAATATTAGGGCATGATGCTCGGCTCTGACGCTCCTATAAGGGGTGCAGGGTTTTTCATGTCCAACAATGGCTTGTTTTTTGGTCTAATTCTGTGATGGTGAGACGATGTTCGATTGATGTTTCTGTTTACATTTTGAGTCTCTTATCCTCTGTGCTTATCTATGCAATGTTAGCGGCGTTACTGTTTAAGCAAGGTACTATGGTTCTTGCACATGGACAATGCAGAGTATTATCGGCTTGCGTCCAACTGCCTTGTGCATGTTCTGGCCTAGCGGTATGGGCATCTGACTTGGACCAATAGCCCATCTATCGACAATGGGCATCCGTTTGCCGCTTCAGGTCGATTTAGTGTTCATTTTCACTGACTGCTAGTGCTAAATGCGAGTACTGGCTTGGCACTGCCCGTTACGCGCTTCACCGTGAATCGCTTCAAAATTCTGCATCACCTACTTGAGGCTGGATTTTACGCTAAAGTCTGTTTGCTTTGCTCCCTTGCTTACTTGAAGCAAAGCCACTGTCCAAGTCACTCAATTGCTCTTGCAAACCAGACAACAGATCGCCCGAGTATACTCGTCACCCATCGACTATCTTCAGGATGAAGAGTTTCCGAAGTAAAGGTAAGCAAGCTGAGCTCTCTGTCTTCTCCAGCACGGCGAGATCACCAGCGACCGACATCCTCTCTCAGACCATACTGATACAAAAGGTGACAGCGGCGCATTTCTTCAGAGAAGGTGCATCTTCAGAGGAGAAGGTGGCAATCAACAACACCTCGAGTTTTGACTTCGACGCTGGTATTGACAGCACTGTTACAAGAAAAGGTAGGAACAGTCTCTTTCCTACTCCCCCCTCGCGTGTCACCAAAACCACCTCTACACACAAGTCAGATATTGACCGAACCGGAAGTGGTGTGGCCATTTCGCCGCAAGAATGACAAGGCAGATAGACCGCAACCAGCTCTGCGGCTCAGTTCTTCGTCGTCTACGTTGATGCCTCCAGCCAGACCATGTGTCATTGCTCGTGAGGCCAGCGACGACTTCGATCTTCTGCCAGACTACGACGATTCCGACGACGACACTCAGGCATTTCGTCGTTCGCCTGGTACATCTAACAAGAAGAAGATGTATCGCAGTGCGTTCAGTATGTCCAACCTCAAGAAGTCGTGCTCAAATCTTGCGGCCTTGAAGAACAATGGTAAGTCCAATCACTCGTCACTCTTTCCCATCTTGTATCTCTATTTTCTCAAGTCCAATCCGAGTCTAACATGATATTCCCACCGCAGGCCCCCGAATCTTCAGCAGTAACAAGAAAACATATTCAAGATCGCCGCCACCACCACCCGTGCCCCAAATCCCAGTCGACTTCACCATACCGCTGCCAACCCGATACTCAACTCTTCCTCCACCGCCTCCACCACCGCTCCCCAAACGCAGCAGCAACCGTCCTCGACGCCCAGCACTCAAAAAGGCCAAAAGCAGCACAGGCCCCATCTCTCGTCCAACCCCGACGTCCCAAGACTCCAATGTCCCGCTTCTCCTGGAGCACCTCACCACCACCCCCTTCACACCACGCAACAGGAGCCCCCCACAGCGCCCGCCGCGCCCCAACGCCGTAGAAAACGATACACTCATGCACATGCGGCACACAAACGCCCGCATGGTTCTTCCCGTTCGTCCCCGCCCCGACACGACCGCATCCCCAGATCCATGTCCATCATCTACATCCACATCGACTGCGTCTCCTACATCATCATCATCATCATCATCATCATCAACCAGACACGCCTCCGCCATCGCATCCCGCCTCGGCATCCCCACAGGCCACTCCGCCCCTCGCACCGCATCCCTCGCTGCACCCCTCGCTGCACCCCTCGCTGCACGTATCCCCCAACACCACCCCGCACTGCGTCTCCCCGTCTGTGGAGCAGACGGCTCCACGAGATACAGTCGCTTCAGCGAGTTCGTCGCCCATTGCCAGCCAGCCGCGTATCAACCCCTTGCTCCACCTGCCCCCGTCGCCGAAGTCTATGACCGCCAGAGGGAGCCCGAGTGGGTGCTCGAGAGGCACCTTACTCATGCATCTCCCGCTGCCGCTGACGCCGGCGGCATGGTGTTTAGGGATCGGAATGGTGGTTTTCATTTTGTAGCCAATATCTGAGGTTTCTCATGGGCGCGGAGGGTTTTTTTCTTTTTCTTTTTCTTTTTTGGCAAAGTAAAAATCATGATGGGATTTCGAGTCTTCGACTAGGAGTCAGGCGTGTGCATTTCGCCCATCCTATGCAACGTGGCATAGGAGGTGAATGGGCTTGGAAACGCAAAAAAGTGTGCACTTTGGTGTTTGAATCCGAGGATCATATGGAAGTTTTTTTTCCTTCTTCTTCTTCTTCTTCTTCTTCTTCTTCTTCTTCTTTTCTGGATTACTGCATGCGAGGTTATGCTAATAACGCATCATGATGGAACTTTGTCTTTGAGAAGATGAGTGTTTTTTTTTTCAATACGACACTTTTCTCATCGAGGTTGGTAGTCTTGGTTGACAGAACACATCTTGTCGGATTCTACATGTCAATTCGGTCAAACATGACACTCTGACAGAATGAACTCGGAACCCCATAAAAAAATATCTAATGTGATTTTATCAAAATCACACACCCAAAGATCACAAGTCAAAGCAAACAAAGCAAATGAACCAATATTTGACATTTATGTGTTAGAGAAAAAAAAAAACTAAATCTTTTATAAAACTGTCATTGAGTCTACCCGTTATTGACATTTGGCTTCCTTAAAAAAATGAGGAGAGTAGCAGAGAGGAATTGTCCAAGTATGAAAGTTGTATAAAAAGAAACAGGAACCCCCCTGAAAGATTTGGCACCAGCGATGTCCAGATTGCACAGCAAGAAAGAAAAAGCGAGTTTGCCGTTTCAAATAAAACAAAACTCTCCTCCTTCCTCTTCACGCCAATGATATCGTTTTGCGCTATAAAAACTTGTGTCAGAGAGGTGGAAAGGGGATATATATATAAGAGGACGAGAAGCGTAAAAAAATAGGGAGGGGGCCGAGATGATACAAGTTGCCCCGTTGTCCAATGCCAAAGACTTGTTTCCCATGGCCAGATGAATCATGCAATCCGCTCCCACCGGGGTGTTAGATATCAGTCTTCTTTTGTTGGGCAAAGCAGCCGCTCGACAACTTGTACCATCTTATGCAACGGCATCAGTGAACCAAGTAGACCAAGTAGAATATCGTGGGTACGAGAAGCAATGTATAATTCTTTTCTGATGTGGCCACCAAGATTCCAGTCGGGCAATGCTAGGGAGGTTTGAACGGCCCAGCGCTCGTTTAGGTTCCATAATAGGTCATCGACTGCAAAAAAAAGGGGAACCTGGCCAGACCGCGTCTTAGATATAGTGTAAAATGAGCATAAAAAGGGTATCGATCAAGTCCAGAACGCTTCGTGAAAACACCCGCCATTACTCTTTTGATGTCGCTTGGACCACTCCTGACTCGACGTTTGGTTGCAAGTTGCTTAGTGGCCTCCGTTCTTCCTAAAGTTAAGCAGCTGAGACAAGCTTGCCAAGCTGCATCCACTCTTGAGGAAGTCATGGCTGATCAGCTCCGATGCACTAGCTCGCGATTTGACATCAACACACAGACAGACCGACAGGAATGCCTTGAGCTCCTTGGAAAGCTTGTCTGGCTTCTTGAGACGAGGAGTACCGTTGGTGGCAATGAGATACAGGGCCTTGAGGGGCTCCTCGTTGAGATATGGCGGCTCGGACTCGATCATCTCGATGGCCATGATACCCAAAGACCAGATATCGACCTTGTTGCCGTACTCTTTTTGCTTGACAACCTCGGGCGCCATCCAGTATGGAGTTCCGACCATGGTTGCACGCTTGCTACGTTGCTCAGTGAGCTTTGCGCTAAATCCAAAATCCGCTACAAAGGGTTAGTAAGGTAAGGAGCGATGGTGATGAGCGAAAACATACTAATCTTGACATTACCGCGGCCATCGAGCAAGACGTTATCACTCTTGATGTCTCGGTGAATAATGTTCAAGTTGTGGAGATATTCAAGACCCTTGCAAGTCTGTCAAAAGTTAGCATGTTGTTGGAAAGGATACAAAAGGAAAAGACTGACCTCGAAGCAAATGGTGGCAATCTGGTCTTCGCTGATGGAAGGGTTGTTGTCAATGATGTCCGTCAAGGCACCTCCCTCCATAAACTCCATGACGACCCAAAGCTCGGACTGCTCTTCTTGCAGGAATGCATCCAAAAAGTTGACAATGTTGGGATGCTTGCTGTCCTTCATGACAATGATCTCATTCACAATCAGCTCCTTGCGGGGCTGATTACGGAGGTCCATCTGTTTAATGGCAACTTGAGCACGTGGTCCGTTTTCCTGCATGACCCTCCTGGCCATTGGTGACGTGGCGCCCTCGCGGATGCGAGCTACGTAGACAGAGCCACTAGCACCTTGACCGATCTTCTTTTGCTTGTTGTACGAATCCAGGGGCCTTTCCTTGGACACGACTTCGCGGAGTTTGGCCATGACCTCGCTCTCTGACATGCTCGACATGCGCACGTCTTTGCGTTGAGGCTCGTCCTTGGGCTTGGCTGTGAGGGCCTGTTCGGCCTTCTTGACAGCATCGCTGACGGGAGCGGCAGGTTTAGCAACATTCAATGGCTTAGGAGCAGCAGATGAGCCCTGGTACTGCTTTTGCTGTTGTTGCTGTTGCTGCTGTTGCTGGCCATTGTTGGCGCGAGGGACTTGTCCGCTTGAGCCCTTGTAGCTGCTGTTGGGCTGAACGGGCGGGCGCTGCTGTTGAGAAGACGACTTGGAAGGAGAAGAGCCATAGTTGCCGTTTGGTTGTTGAGGAGCTGGGGGAGCTGGACGCTGTGCAGCCATCTGGCGCAATGAACCCGGAGGCTGCTGTGATTGCTGCTGGTTCCTCGCCGCACTCGGAGTTGATGGCGCAGGACGGCTGGGGTTGTATCGTTGACCTGAAGGGCTTGTATCGCGTGCATCGTAGCTGCCTCCACCGATTTCTTGTTGGGCCAATGGAACCTTTTTCTGCGGTAGCGAAGCATTGTACGCAGCCAGCTCCTCGCGCTCGCGCTCGTAATCCTGTTGTCGCTGTCGCTCACGTTCGCGCTGCATCCTTGCCTGTTCTTCCTGTCGTCTCCGCTCCTGGTCATAGCGGTCCTGTTGCTGCTGCTGCTGCTGCTGTTGCTGTGGGGCTGAGTTTTGTTGACTAGAGTAGCCTTGCTGAGGCGGCGTGTTCTGGCGACTGGAGCTGTAGCTATCCTTGCGTGGGTAACCACCAGGGGGTGCAGGGCGTGGAGGTGCAACGGAATTTCCGCCGCCTGAATAGCCTAGCTGCTTGTCCATTCCAGCACTGCCTGGTGGAGTGGGTGTAAGACTTGGATATTGTTGGGGATCTTCTGATCGCTTGACAAGCTTCTCGGTGTAAAACTCGAGGACTTCGAGAACAGCCTTTGGGTTCTTTGCGTAGTCATCTTTGGTAAGTGCAGATGCGGTGAGCAGCTTCTCCCATTCGACAGGCAGGCCAACGAAAGCACCGCTGTTTGGATCGAAGCCTACGTGTACCCTATGCGTGAAATTTGTGGGGTTGCTGACGCCACCCATGCTAGGACATCGCTGATAGATGCTATCGATCCACGAGTAAACTTCATCGTCGGTCTCGACTTTGCATGTAATGATCTTGGTGGGACCATCGCGGGGTGGCGATGAGCCTTTGCTGGGGTTGAGTGCGCGGGTGATTTCAAAAGACAGGGGCTGCGTGTCGGATCGCTCGACACCCAGAATGTCTCGCAGCTGAATGGAGTTGGATACCTTTGAGGCGTTTGGGCTCTTGAAGAAATTGAGCTCAAACTCACGCAGTACCAGCCAGCGATCTGCCCAGACAAAGGATTTGAACAGGCCTTCGTCCTTGACCTTGACCATGCCTTCTTTGACCGTCGACGTGGACGAGCCGCTCCTCTCGGTCTGTGTGCGAACAAGCGACATCTGAGAGCCGTTGTTCATACCGGGCGACTGCATACTCAGGCCCGCCATGTTGCCTGGCAGCGTGCTGCTGGTGTTTGGGGTAAGGGCGAGGCGGGGACGATCTGTCGGTGGCCGCGGTGCGGGACCAGGGTTCATGAACTGTTCGCGGGAATACATGCTGCGATGCTGCGATTAGTTGGAGTCTGCGTGGGCTGACGAGCAGCAACGTGTGCTAGCAGAGTCGGACCGGGCTGCGGCGAGTAGTCACGGTGGCTGCGGCGAAGAAGCAAAACAAAAAAAAGGCCGGGGACGAGTGGTGGCTGAGAAGGGGCGGGAGAGGCGATGAGGAGAAGAGTGAGGAGACTTACATGGGCAACCTCTAGTTCAGACAATAGCTCGAGGGGCCTTTGGCAGGCAAGCTGTGAGGGCGTCCGGGGAGCGCGTAGTCACGTCGGAGATGCAATGGTGAGTGCTGGGGGATGCGGTGAATGGCGGGGTGAAGGGGAGTGGATGGAAGCAGCAGGCAGCGGGGGAGGGCGCAGCCGTGGGCGCGAGAGAGAGAGAGGAAGAGGGAAAAGGAGAGTCGAGCCGGGTCGGGGGGACAATTGCGCAGCGGGCTGGGCGTCGGCAGCGGGCGTGGTGATGGTGGAGCAGCAGCAATGCGAGGGCTTGGGCAGCTGGCGGGCGGGCCAGGCGTGCTGAGAGCGCAGCGGGAGCGGCTGCCAATGGTTCAGAAGGGCAATGCGTCGCACACCAGGGATGGGCTCAATGGAAACGCCACATGGGGGGGGCGGGGGCGAGGGCAGGGAGGGCAGCGAGGTCAGGGAGAGGGTTGGGCAGCCAACAAAGGAGAGCGGGCGGGCGTGTGGTGAGAGGACAGGAGCAAGTGTCGTCGAGGCGGGCAGCCTGTGCTAGGGGAGCCCTTTCTCCTGCCTGGGCGTGGAGCGAGCATGCACATGTGCAGCCAGACGGCGCGCTAACGCTGCTCTCACGTGCACCCACGGCGCTCGAGTGGAGCGCGGCCATGCAGACGCTGCCGATGCTCGCGGCCAAGGGGGCGGCCATGTGTTTCATGGGCGCGTAGGCGCGACAGTGGTGCTCGAAGACGGCGGCGGCGTCATGGCCATGGCCGTTTCAGCGGCGCAGCCCTCGCTGTCACGCAAACGTCGGCCCTGGCCTCGCAGCGACGACATGCATCCATCATACACGTCGTGTAGCCAGCCATGCCCTGGCCCGTTTCAACCCTCGGGTCGATGCCGCCCGCAGCCAGTGGGCGGGTGGCTGTCCTGCCTAAGCAGACGTCGGTGCATCGCCCAAGCATCTCGTGCCTGTCCGCACATGGATGCATGTCCACTGTCAACACACGCACCGCCATCCCTGCCCCCAGCAGCCATGCACGTCATTGCAACAGGACGCCGCTACATGACTGTGCTGCATTGCCCGTCGAAGAGCCCAAGAAGCCTCCTTCCTCCGCCCTGCCATCCTCGCGCCCGGACAGCGCGGCGATGCGCCCGCGTGGCCTCCAACATGTCGTGGGAGATTGCTGCTGGTTGGGCTTGTGAAGCCGCACAGGCGCTGCTTGTGCTCGGGCATCGATATATACGTACATTCATGTATTGTCAATGTAGCCAGTCCGTGATATACATGTACATGCACCGACACAGCGCACCCGTTGATTGGCAGCCGTGGCGAGCAAGGCTCGATGCAGGCGAGCTTAATAGCAACATCGTGGCCGGCTGCTCTTTCCTCACAACGGCGATTCGTTCCTTCCCGCCCGGGCCTGTAAGCATCCAAGTACGCATGTACACAGTATGTAGGCATGGATGGCAAACACGCTCCCTTCACTGTGCCCACGCCGACATCCAGCACCAGCGGCTCCTCACACCGCCTGGCGCAGAGGCCTGTTGCCGCCCAAGCCCGCCTGTCCGCACTTTGGCTTATTCATCTCACCTCCCGCGGTAACGGTGCGAACCAGCATGCCAGACTGACAACCAGCAGCCCCCAAGTAGCCTGGCACCCGAGACGTGGCTACAGCCATCATCCGCGCCATGGCCGTCACCCAGCAGAGTCCCTACCGGCGATAGAGTACATGCATCGACTATGTCCACACATACACACCGCGCCTGCCCAATCAGCGTCCGCCCGCCCACGAGGCAAGTGGGGGCGGCAACTCGTACACAATCGCCCAATCTGCTCGCTGCGCCTCCCTTGCCTCCTCATTTGGCGGCTACATAGCCATTCCTACCCGCAGCCATCAGCACCAATTGCACCGCCAGTCCCGTCTTGTTGCAATCAAAAAACAAAATCTCTAGTCCAACCAGCCGCTGCCCTCTTCCGTCTCTAGGCCACCCGACAAGCGAGCGGACCCAGGGGCCCCGCTACCATTCGACCGGGGTCTCACCGACAGCCGAGTCCGCGCCCGCAGTGAGCCATCCATCCATTGTTTTGGCTGGCCGTTGGAAAACACAACGAGGCTCATTGTCAGCCTGCATCGCATATCCACACCTCCCGACTCCTGCCCCCGTGTGCATACCCCCTCGCCGAGCACTGATGCACCCCAAACATGGCGCCGCTTGAACAGCAATGGGTCAACGTCCAGCAAAAGACCTTCACCAAATGGTGCCCATCTCTGCCCGCCCCCCTCCCCTCTCCGCGCCACTACTAACCACACCAATGCAGGCTCAACAGCAAACTAAAGATCCGGAGCGTCGAGATCTCAGACCTCATCACAGACCTCTCTGATGGCGTATGCAACCCCGCCTCTCCTGCTCTCTGCTCCCCCCGCACCCGCCCACTAACCCTGTCCAGATCATCCTGATCCACCTCCTGGAGATCCTCAGCAACGAATCCCTCGGCCGATATGCCTCGCGACCAAAGCTCCGCGTCCAAAAGTTTGAAAACGTCAACAAGTCACTCGACTTCATCCGCAGCAGGAGAATCCAACTCACAAACACTGGTGCTGAGGATGTCGTCGACGGCAACAGCAAGATCATCCTTGGTCTCATATGGACCCTCATTCTCCGCTTCACCATTAGCGACATCAACGAAGAGGGTCTAAGTGCCAAGGAGGGTCTCTTGCTGTGGTGTCAGAGAAAGACGGCCTGCTACGATGAAGTCGAAGTACGCGACTTCTCCACCAGCTGGAACGATGGATTAGCATTGTGAGTTGGCCGTGGTGTTTTCCTCGTCGCCCGCATTCCGTTGACCTAACACGCAAACAGCTGCGCCCTGCTCGATATCCATCGCCCCGACCTCATCGACTACGATAGCCTCGACAAGAACGACCACCGTGGAAACATGCAACTCGCCTTCGACATTGCCTCCAAGGAGATCGGCATCCCCGACCTGCTCGACGTGGAGGATGTGTGCGACGTGCCCAAGCCCGATGAGCGATCCCTTATGACATACATTGCCTACTGGTTCCATGCTTTCTCGCAGATGGAACGAGTCGAAAACGCCGGCCGAAGAGTAGAAAAGTTTGTGGCAAACATGCAAGGAGCATGGCAGATGCAGAACGACTTTGAAAGGCGCATGCGCGAGCTGCTGGGCCAGATTGCTAAGCAGCAGTCACAATGGGAGGAAGCCACGTTCGACGGGACATATGCCGATGCAAGAGCCCAATCTGCCGAATTCACGGCATGGAAGCGCAAGAACAAGCGGACATGGGTTGCGGAGAAGTCTGACCTTGTTGGGCTGTTGGGCAACATTAGGACGAAGCTAGCCACATACCGATTGCGACCGTACGAGCCTCCAGCAGAACTCAGCCTCGACGCCCTCGACAATGCATGGTCGGGATTGATGAAGGCCGAGCGACAGCGCTCCCAGATCATCAACGAAACAATTCGAGACATCAAGAATGCCCTACGCAAGTCTTTTGCCGACAAAGCAAACGACTTTGCTCTTGCCCTCAACACGCTGTCCACATCGATATCTGCGCTCGAAGGCGATGTCGATGACCAACTCGAGCACACCAAAGAAATCAGCAAGTCGCTTGCACCACTGGACGAGTACTTGAATCTCATAGCCTCGATTGATGAGCAGTGCGCCGAAGCAAACATTGAAGAAAACGACTTTACAACATACACGTACGATGAACTCGAATACGAGCTGGGTCTGGTTCGCAATTCCGTATCGAAAAAGCTCGCCTTCCTCGAGAACCAAATGGTTGCCCGAAACATGACCAATCTGACGCCCATTCAATTGGAAGAATTCGAATCCGTTTTCCGCCACTTTGACCGCGACGTTTCCAACTCGCTAGCAGAACTGGAATTTTCAGCAGCACTGGCAAGTTTGGGACTAGTCTACGACGAGGATGAAATGCACGAGAGATTCCGTGAAACAAGCGGCGGCAAGGACTTTGTCACGTTTGAACAGTTTATTCGATTCATGGTTGACGAGACCGAAGACCAAAACACAGCCGAGCAAGTCTTTGAATCGTTTAGGGAAGTCGCCGACGGCAAGGTAAGTCATCTATGCAGTCTGTTGTATACACACAAAGTCAACCGCTAACCTTCAAATCATAGCCATACGTCACAGAACTTGACCTCCGCCACTCCCTTGTACCCGATGAAGTCATTGATGACCTTCTTGCCACCATGCCTGAGCACAAAGGTCCAGACATGCAAGAAGACCGTGACATTCCCAAATTTGACTACATCACCTACATGCAGCGGTACATGGGCACTACTCATACCAATGGAGCTGGCGCTGAGCAAGTCAATGGCGACTAGTGTTTGCCTCGTCTTGAAATCAAGCGCGACCTCACTCCGGCTTTTGTGTAAAGGGGCTTGCTTGGTGAGGAAGGATTGAAACCATAATCGTGACGAGTGGGACAACGCTCAAGGGGAATTGACAGTTGAAGAGCAAGTGTGGCTTTTGCATAGTGGCCGTTCTTGGAGCCACTTTGTGTCTTTGTGTGTTTCTTCTTCCTCTTCTTCTTCTACTTGTTCTTTTTTTTGTATGTACGTTGGGAAAATTACGTACTCATGTGGCAGGAAACTGGTCAAGGTAAGGGCTGTGTGTGTGGGGGGGGGGGGGGAGTTTGGCGTACGTTTATGCATTGACATACATGTACGCTGGGTATTGTGTGTGTGTTTACGTTGTTTTGAGCTTTGGCCCAAGGGGAGGATGAAGGGATACCACGTAGATGGTGAACGTATGGCATTATGAAACTCTAATTAATTTGATATATTTGCCTATCCATAATGATTTTTTTTTTCGTTTCTGAGCTCTTGGTGTACATCACTTTAGGTAAGTCATGCGAATACGTATGTATTTTTTTTACGCCAAAAAAAAAGAGAGATCGCTACACAGAACGCATTGAAATTGCGCCAAGTAGATAGATCATTCATAGACCAAAAAAAAGAGAATAAGTAGATCTACCTCGATCCTTCTTACAGAAAAAAAAAACCCATACATATCGCCATAGTAACTAGTGGAAATCCGAAACCCATTACTTTCCAATCCAAAAAAAAAAGAAAAGAAAAGAAAAGAAAAGAAAAGAAAGAAAACCCACCCATATCTCTCCTCCCATCAATTCACGCCCTTCAAGTCGGGCAACTCGATCAAATTTCCCTGCACAACGCTGCACAAGTCCAAAAATTCCCTCTTCTCCACCTCGGTCGCAAACTCAATCTTGGCCCCACTAATGACCCCATCATCCTTATCCTGGCGTTTCTTCTTCTTGGCCCCACTCCCACTCCCACTAGTACTAGTACTAGTACTAGTACTACTACTACTCCCCGCTTTATCCTTGCCCTTTGTAGTACCAGCACCGTGTCCAAGGTGCGGCCGCGCCGCATGCACAGGAACCTTGAGCCCACGAATCTTGACCTGTCTGACGCCGTCGTCCTTGACAGTGAGCGGGTCACGGGCAGAATTCAAGTAAAAGGCGAGATAGCCTTTGCGGAAATCGGCCGAAAAGTGCAACAGGGCGATTACGGCGCCCGTGTCGTTGTCGTGCCAGATACGCAGGGTTTCGAGGCCGCACATTTGCTCTGCGTAGGCGAAGGGTTTGGACAGGCCCGAGTGCGTGCGGAGCGTTTTTTCCGTGCGGAACGTGGCGAGGAGGGTGCGGCCCATTAGTTCGTTTTGGAAGAGTGCGGAGCCTTCTTGGTATTAGTTGAACTTTTCCTGGTTTTCTATCCAATGTTTGCGGTTTCTTTTCTTTGTTTTTTTTTAAGTATACGAGAAAAGGTTGTGTGTGTGTGTGTGAGAGAGAGAGAGAGAGAGAGTATTTGAATACAACTTACACTGAGGACTATCAAACACAAAATTTACCCAACTCGTTTGCGCTGTGCGGGCCGGACCAGCTGCATGCACTACGTCGTAGAATCTAAGCTCGCAGGGGACAGTGATGGAGACTTTGGCAGGGGAAAAGTAGCTTGCGTAGGGAATGTACATGTGCTCGTCTTGCATGCGGAGCTCCATCCGGACTTGGGTATCATCGCTGAAGACCCAGATAGAGATTACGACGCGGACAGTTCGGGTTTCCGCGTCGGTGATGCGTTTGCGTACTACGGCTATGCGGCAGTCGGTACAGACGGAGATCATCTCAACGTCTCTAGGATCGTCATGGTTAATACGGTGAGAGTATTCTACTACTTCGCCCCGGCTGTGCGGTTGTTATCAGCTTATGGAAAATTGTCTCTACCAATAAAGAAAATGGTCTATAAATTATGCAAGACATGAGATAAAGGGTCATGGCTTACACGTCACAGAGTATGGCCGAGTTACGAAAAGCTTCCTTTTCAAAAGCATTTCGCTGGCTCGCCGTCGTCGCGCTTCGGTGAAGTTTCTCAATCTCAGCTTGTGACAGTGTTCTTCCCAGCTCATGTGAAAATTCAGGCCCAAGGATTGGAGAGGAATGTAGTGTCGAATACCGGTTGTTGGGTCTTTGTGTCTGATCCCGTATCTCTGGAGAAGCTGGGCCGTTTCTGGTTGATATCGATTGCTGGCGGCTGAGGCGTAACTGTTTCGCCGCTGGCTGTGGACTTTGCCATCCGGTAGAACTTTGACCAGCTTCAGAAGATGCATAACTGCTGCTCGAGTGGCGTAGTGATGAACTCATGAGACTTGTCTCTGAGACACTTTCTTTGGTAGGCAAAGGAGTTGGCGGACTGTTGGTGAAACTAGCTGTTGAGTACTGGGATAACCTAGGGTTATGGGGAATCGAAGGCAATGATATTTTGAGGTTGTAATTCCGCGGTGGAGATCGTGATGCATCTGAACGGTCAAGCATCAAACTCTGGTGGCTTCCTTCTTCAGTACTTGGTGTTCGTGTGGGATGTTTTGGCGGGACAGGCGGCGCGGCAGAGTCTCGTGACATTAAATTTAGATCCTGTACCATGCGATGGACCTCATCCAACTGCTGATCGAGGCTGCTGCTTGAAGTGTAAATACTGTCGATGCGTTCTGCCATTGGCCTCACTACCCGTTCTAAACGAGTTGAGGACTTGCTACTCAGTGTTAGCTATTGGAGACTTTGAGACTGGCGCCACTAGCCTTTGTAATGCTTGCACCAAAACGATAATTGAGTTTTTGTGCACCTGTAGCAAGTCCCTCAGATTGTCTAGGTCGCCACCTTCTGTGGTCCAAGGAATCGTCTTGTACTCGGCTACTGCCAAGTCACTCCATGCTCGCTCAATTGCGAAACCGCCCACAGTCCTATGTTTTTTGATGACCTGGTATTTATCTATTAAAGAATCGAGATCGTCGACTACTCGCTTACAGGATCCGATTATTGCAGCAACTCCGGCTCGAGTTTGCGGGTCAGCCTTCTGCAGTAGATCGCTTTCGCACTCGGCGTATAATGTCTCTGCCAATAGCGTGAGCGCTTTTGCTAGACCGCCAATTTCAACTTCGATGTAGCCGAGGCCAGGCAGAGCTTGTTTTTGGCAAGCAGCGAATGCGCTGCCAATCTTCCAGGCTTTCTGAGATAACATGAGAATGTCCCCAATGCTGGGGACAGTCATCGTGGCAAGCAATAAGGTTCATGTACTGAAACGCGATAAGCAGTCGGGCAGGCGGCAAAGCCGGAAAGGCGGTATCAATGGTAGTGGAGCGATCAGCACATAAACTCTAGTGGAAACAAAGTCTGTGAGAGACGCTTATACCGTGGACACGGCAAACGTGGGGCTATGGAGTGAGAGTTCGCGATCCAGTCAGAACCGGCCCGAGGCCATGCACCCGGGTATAGGGCTCCATGGCGAGGTGTGCTACAAAGGTAAAGTGTCAAATATTCGCTCTGGCGAAGGATGAAGTAGAAGAACATGGGCGCCGGATGCTCAAGTACGTAGGCGAACCACCAAGCCACGTGGGTTAAGCAGCGTCCCGTCATTGGCGTATATTTGTCTTCACCACACGGCTGGTACTCAGCCCCCGCCGCACAGGTGCTCAGACATGGCAAGCGCCGCCATATTCAACTAATTAGGGTAAGAGCACGACTTTGAGCCTAGACACGACCAATTCCAACAAATATAGCACGCAATGTTTGAGCTGCTTACGTTTGGAGGCAATGGCAGACTGCAGTCTAGACTGAACACCCCCGCGGTAGGTGTCATGTTTTAGGGTACATTAATCTGTCTTGAATGTTCTCATATAGATATATAGCCCCGAGGAGCCGCCTGCCGATGGCCAATTGGAGTAGAAAAGTAGGAGAAGAGTAGGTGCACGCATCAAGCCACAAATGATCCTGCAGGCTCAAGTGGCTGAAATCACCATGCCCGAGATTCCATATGCTTAGGAGCGTAGTATTGTACAAAAATTCTGCAAATGGTCGTTGACATGTCTTCGTTGGGGTGTTTAAGCAAGTGGAGAGAAGAGACTACACAAGTTAGTAAATTGACCAAAAAATCATTAGACGCAGACAGGTATAGATTTCCCAAATGAGAATGCTCCAAAGTAACATGTGCGTAGACTCCACGCCTCCGTGGTGCGAGGAGGTAAATGCGCCTCAATCCAACAAGAAAGCGGAATTATTCGCCAATGAGCGCAAAGCAAAAACACCATACTCACCGGATAAGAGATGGTCTAGGCTCGCTTCGCGAGTAACCGAGATATAGAATCAGAGGGAGGTAGCCGTAGTGGATAGCGACACGGGAAACATCGATGATGCGGGCAATGCGCTCCTGATAGACGGTCAATGTGTGCCTCCTGCGTCTGTCTTTACGAATTGTAACTTACCTTGGACTCTTCCGATAGTTGATACATGATTGTTGTGTGGTTGACTGTCGGTTTGGGCAAGTCAGGACGGGCGACGAAATGGGTGACGGCGGGCTTGGTGGGCGTGATTGCGATGATGCGCAAAGCTCAAAATCTTGGGGCCCATGCACGGGCCGGAGACTTGGGCGAAATTAACCACATATGGACTAGCGCAAGGATGGACTGTCGAGCTCTGAGATCTTTCAGCCATGTTCAACTCCACCTTCAACACGCCACGACATCCCTCGCGCTCAGCCAACAGTGTCGGACCCTCGAAGAACGTGGTGCGATCTGATATATCTAATTTTTGACGCTCACTTCGCTAAATTTCAGCCATGTCGGCTCCAAGCGCCCGTCACTGGTACGTATTCGAAATCAATAACAACTAGCATGTCCTAATCAATGCACAGGGAGCAGAACAAAGAAGCCACCGTATACGTCGGTAATCTCCATGAGCGCGTCACACCCCGCATCCTTCACGAGCTGATGCTCAACACCGGCCGTGTACGCAATGTGAATATGCCAGTCGATCGTGTCAATGGGCAGCACCAAAGTTTCGGCTTCGTCGAGTTCCACACAGAAGCTGAAGCCGACTATGCTTCTAAAATTCTCAACAATGTTGCACTTTACGGAAGCCGGATACGTGTGAACAAGGCATCCGCAGATAAGCAAAAGAATGTCGAGATTGGCGCAGAGCTGTTTGTTGGCAATCTCGATCCAGGCGTAGACGAAAAGACTCTGTACGACACATTCAGCCGATTCGGACCACTGGTGAATGCGCCAAAGGTTGCGCGCGACGAAGTCACAACCGCGTCCAAAGGCTACGGTTTCATCTCCTACGGCGATTTCGAATCCTCAGATGCGGCCATCGCCAGTATGCACAATCAATACATCATGTCTAAACAGATTACAGTTCAGTACGCGTATAAGAAAGATGGCAAGGGCGAGCGACATGGAGACGAGGCCGAACGTATGCTTGCCAAACAAGCCAAGGCTCATGGAGTTGCACCTGTTGTTCAGCCTCTGCCAGCACATCTTTTCCAGCTTCCTCCGGGCGCTGCTCCAACGGGACCAGCTATGCCTGTAGATGGAAGAGGCGTACCCGGCGCGCCAAGCGGACCAGGAGGGTATGGTCCACCGAGCGGGCCTCCTGGCTTTGTCCCCAACGGACCCGCAGGTTATGGCAGACCACCTTCTGCCGCTCCTATCGGCCACCCGTCACTCCCTCCTCCTCCAACGGGCCTGCCTGCTCGCCCACCGAGCGGTGCCCCAACAAATTTCTTCCCTCCACCTCCGGGATTTGCAGCTCCACCACCAGGCTTTGGGGCCCCCCCACCCGGTTTTGGGGGCCCTCCAGGTTACGCACAAGCACCTAGATAGATACAGTAATGCTTGGGTATAAGAACAGGCAGTAGCAGGTCTATCGCTGCATACAAAAGCGTCGCGCCCTCGATGCGTCCATCATAGGTGCTTCAAGCACGTGCTAGGGATCAGTCACTAAAGCTTAGCCTGCAGCCATACCGCCAGCACATGGTAGAGTTGATCCCAGTGTCGATCCCTGGACGCCGCTCCGACGTTGCAGTATAAAGTCACACATAGAAAGCAAGGCATACAGTAGGATAACTCTCACGCAGAGATATATGAAGATCTATTCGAGGGAATGCTGTAATAGTTAATAGAAGAGAAGGAACACGAGACGCAAATGAAAGAAAGCAAAGACACTTGGCGCTGAAACCCATATGTGCAGACCCACGTACGTCTGCTCATCTCAAGCCGCATATAACCAGCCCACTCGAGGCAACAAATGAAAAGCAGTAACTTGTCAAACCCAGACTGAAAACAAAAGAAATGATGTACGAGATAGTCCTGTGATGCATCGCCCCATTGCATGTTCTTGGCCACCATTACGAGAAGCTGACAAACTTTGGATCGCGGGGAATTCCGTCAGCTCCAATGTTGTTCTTCTTGAATCGATCCTGCATGTATATTCTGCGCGCCTCGTCAAAGTCGACACCTTGTCGCTTCATGATGCGCATGACTTCCTTCTTCCCCGCATCATCAAGGCCTTGGCGCGAGTCGCCAGACTCTACATTGCCACTGAGGTCAAATGCTGATGACGATAGGCCTGCTTCGATATCGTCGCGGAAGGAGGTGGGTAGACGCGAATATATGGGTTCAGGGATGGGCAGGACATGGATCCAACGGTGGCGGGTGAAGTATGCGGCTGTCGTGTGTCAGTAACCAGAAGTGAAGTGGGATCCGAGGAAAGTACCTGTTGCAAGGGCCAGAACAAAGAAGCAGACCGAGTAGAATAGGTACTCCATGTTGGCGATGGTACTTGTGATTCGGTGATGGGATTGTGGTGTATGCGACAGAGCGAATGCCTACGAGTATGCTCTATCGATCTGCAAGGAACGCGATGTGAGAGTGGTGACGAAGAACAAAGGAAATGGACGTGTGATGGGATATGATGGTAATGCGGAGACGCGGGGTCTTCACGCCACAGGCAGGGACATAGGTGCGGTTATGCCGGACGACGGTGATGCGTGACGACGGAGTCGCGGACAAGACGTTTCGGCTGTCACGGCCTGAACCTTAGGCTGCGCCTCATGCACATGCGTCGTCACTTCCGCTCCGCTGCTTGGCGGCAGCGTCGGCGTCGGCGCCTATGTTGATCCATCCCCGAAACACGCACTAAGCGCATGCGGAAATGCAGACGAGGCCCTCTCTTTCAATATTGGCGAACTTTCATTGACATCGTCCGTATCCACATTCCATACAGACACAATGGCCACCACTATCTCGCACGACCTTGCCTGGGAGATTACCAGTGAGTGAACAGAAACTGGTATACGAAAGACGGAGGAATGGGCGTTGACAATCGGCAGAGGGACGCAGCTCCACGCTCGTCAAGAGGGCAAATGGCGTTCAGTTCTCGCGCGATCCTCTTAACCTGAGGAACCTTTACAGCCGCAAGGTATGGAGTCTGTTTTGGATTCTAGGCCGTGTTTCGCTAACTTTGCGCAGAACGAGGGCTCAATCGCCAACAAGGTACGGCTATCACGATCTTCGGTTACGCCAAGCGCGAACGTCAGATAACCCAGAAGACGGTGTTGATAATGTGAATCAGGCTATCGGTGTCATCCCCGGCAAGGAGGGTGGTGTCACTCTTCTCACCAAGAAGGCCGACAAGCACCACCAACCCGCATCCGCCATCCAAACCACCACCTTCGGCCCCAACAAGTCCACCCGCAAGTACGTCTCTTCGAACCACTGCCCCCGGTAGCCGCACATGAGGATACCTGGGGATACCCTGGAAGTATTGCTGACGGCCCTAGGACCTACTCCGCTATTGTCAACGCCACCACCAAGCGCAACTACCGCCCCGACCTCCGCAAGGACGCCGTCGCCAGGGCCTCTGCCATCCGCAAGAGCCAGAAGCCCGTCAAGGCTGACAAGCCATCAAAGCCCAGGGGTGTCAAGGCCAAGGCTGCCGCTGCTGAGAAGGCATAGATTATGAGTGGCTGGAAAATGTGCTGCATGTGAATTGGTTCGGAGTTCAACTTCATTCGGTTCATCTTCTGTGGGATTCGGAGCTCATGATATGAAATGAGCATGGGCTGCATGAACAAACTAAGCTAGAGTCTTCATAGCGAATTGACTCGGCGAGAAATGAATATGCTTCGAAAACCAAAGTTGGGCGTTGTTACGCATTTGTTTCACATGAGGTGTAAGCTTACAGGTCGATTAGAGCGCGGCTTTAAATCTCGAGAAGTGAAACGCTTCTCTTACTGGACACAAAAATTTCTGGGCGATTTACGTTGTGTCTGATGCATTCCTTTTGCTTACTGCCAGTACCCTGTATCGACTGGCTTTTCTTATGTCTGCTGCTCTTGCACCATGAATGTGAACACACAGCTGACGCGCTCTACTGACTGAATATCTCGCCTGCATGAGTATACTTGTACGTATGCAAACGAGATAAAGGATGTAGAACTGCACTTTTAGTCCGCATTGTTTCAAGGAATTCCACACCCAAGTGTCAAGCGCATAGTACCACCAGATGCACTGTGGATGTAGGGGTTCTGCGGTTGTACTCGCAGACCAGTCAGGACGTACATGAACACCTTGATCGACGTAAACGCCGTGGTATCTTCCGGCGTTGGGTCGGTAAAGATTGACTAGTCTGCTTACAAAACACAGGACCTATTTGGTGAGTAGAAGTGTATAGGGACTTGGCAGCCCTTGGCTTAAACACGACGAATGTGCCTTGTAGTATTGGCTCGTGGTTGAGCCAATTGTATTAGATAAGATGCCTTCGTCGGCGTCGGATGTGTTCTCAATTGAAGACGTGTCGCAAGCCCACACCTTCTTGTTCATCTCCCCGCCTCGTTAGGGTCTTTATATGTTACATCCAAGTGTTACACTTCGGAGCCGCAACCGATCTCTGAAATGTGTACTTGACACGTTGACTGTGTTTGGTGGAAATCGGCTTGCTTTCCCGTCTCCTCTGCTTCTCCCTGTGCTTTGACTAGGACGAGTCACCCGGCACGTTGGAGCTGTGATTGGGCAAAAGTGTAAAAGACCGTTTTCCCCACGGATGGCTAGGGAGTCATCGTATGAGCTAGCGTCATGGCTGCCTGGTAAGATGATAAAACTTGGATAACTGAGTCGCATTCAACCAGACATGCAACTTATCTTGGTCGCTCCTTTCGGCAATCTTTCCTCCAGCCTGCAATCCTTCCGGTAACCGATACTCCTTTCCAAGCTACAGCAGGGACAAAATCTTGCTTTCTTGAGCCTCATCGTCAATCTGATAGAGCAGCATGTCCGCGATGGGGAAAGTCGATTGCTTCCTGGCTCGTACTGCTCTCGGAGTGAGCACGCCAAACGCGCACGGCGTTTGCAGTCTCGGGGCTGGGTTCTCGTACGGTGGTGGACATGACTCCATGACGAACAGTCTGCGGTGGAAACAGCCAAGTAACGCGATTGGGCCTGCCCTGCCCTGGAGCCCCGTGATTGCGCAATTGTAGTCAAGCTGCGCCAAGCATCCCACGACCTCGTTACGGGGTTCAGCATGGCAGGGTGCTTAGAAGCTGCCAAGCGGATTGCGCCATGGCTTTGTAGCAGTATACAGTCGGAGCCAGAATACAAGATGGGTGTGTGCACGTCAGTTGTGCACGGCAAGCGGCGGTTGTGCGAGCTGGAAGATTAGCCGCGGAGATGCGTCGAGGGCGCCACGTGACCGCACGGGGGGTTGGTCGATGGCTACCACGTCTTCTGCAGCGCGTGCCCAAAAGACAACAGCAGACAGTGAGTAAATAAAGACGGATCTCAGGGCTGGCATGCGGTGTGCGAGATGCAAGGCAGAGCAGCATCAGAGGAGGACAGCACAGTGGTCGTGAGGGGCGGCTAACCGAACAACCGGTACGGCTACGGGCCGCAGGGGCGTGGTCCCTTGTCAACGCCGCCAACTCACTAGGCTCCCAGCCTTGGTCCGTCGGCTCCTCTACTACACAGCAAATGTCACCAGACGTCTGCATCGTCGACAGCGGCTGTATCCGGCTACCCAACCTGCCAACATCTCGAGGCCGCCTCTCGGCCATGGCCCGGCAGACGCCCCAGGCAGGGATGAGCTGGCCATCACAGCCGCCCCGGCTTCGCAATGTCATTAACCACGCCACTTGCCGAGTGCCATCGCCCAGCCCATCTGCCCGGTCAAACGCGGCCGCATTGTCGCAGATACACTACCCATGCCCTTACGTACCGTTCAATGGGCTGGCACTGCACAAACCTTGTACGCGCGCCGCTTGAGCCTGCCTGATTGGCCCTACTTACGCCCTCTTTATGGTTGTCTCGTCCTGATCAACCGCCCAGCACTCACCGGCAGCTAGTGTCTTACTGCATCCTTATCGGGCATGCTGTCGGCCCACCGCTACTCTCGCTGAGCTCAGTAGAAGGTCGTTTGTTACCTCGATTCTGATTAATCGACGTTACAGAGCCTAGTCACCATACAAGTAACAAGACCAGCGGAATGTCGTGGGCTTTGGTCGACTTTAGCTGTGTCCGATACTCTCCCGTAGAGGGCACACACTACTTCCACGACCCCGCATATCCCTCCTCGATACAGTTCCTCCTCTCTGGCCGCTGGGAGCCCTGGGACGTTAGCTATGTCAAGTAGTATGTCGCGCCTCACAAACATCATCCTCGCCCGCTCATGCTGATATGGCCTAGCAAGGCTCGGGATCCAGACATTCGACGCGTTGCTGAGGAAGCCGAGACGCGACTCGCTCGGGATCCATATTCCAAATATTCTCCGTGGCCGTCTCCACCTCCTTCAACGGGTCCGCCACCACTGACTACACCCTATCCTCACAGCCAACTTCCACCAGCACTAATCAAGCAACCTGTGGCCGATCTGGTGACTCCTTCGCCATCTACTGTGGCTGATCATGCCGTTTCAGCGTCGCCGCGCGACCACAGTACACCTCCGTTACCAAATACTTCTACTAGTTATGCATCTCCTTATGGAAGTCGGTCTGTAGTACACGATAGTCTAAATCAGGCTCCTGCTGGTCCTCCAAACTTCGTTCCGCTTGCTCCGATACACAGCAGCCATGCGAGCCACTCAAATGGTCACCCCTCACCTCCTCAACATGCTGACATTCCATGTGATCCCACGCTTCGGGATCCATCATCAAAACCAATGCTACCAGCCCAGACAATTCTCTCGCGCACTAGAGAAACTAAGATCCTACTCTCAATCGACGGCGACGGTATCAGAGGACTTTCTGCCTTACTCTTGGTTGAATCACTTGTCAATGCAATCTGTGTCAAGGTCGGGCAGCGCTTAGACAGTCACCAAATCTTTGACCTGACAGGAGGATGCTCTCTAGGAGGGATTATAGCCATTATGCTGTGCCGGCTTCGGATGCAAGCCCACCGAGCTAGGGAAGCCTATAAACAGATTGCGAAGCAGGTCTTTGCAAACAAGAGGGACTACTTCAAGTACTTGGATCCACATACACAAGTGCGAAGTGTTGATGATAGTGCGTTGGAAGATGCGATCAAGAGTGTTATCCGACAGGAGCTGGGCAACCCAGATGAGATACTGCTCGACGGACGACCGGATTCGGGCGATGTGTGAGTGACTTGTTTGTCTCTCTCTCTACAATGTCTAACGCTATATGCAGATTTGCCATTACAACACAAATGGATATCGGTACGTCCTCTAACGGTATGCTCTCCTTCATGTAATGATTGTACTAATAACAACCAGGCACCAACCGAGCAGCACTAATACGTTCATACCAAACACGGCGCATCACAGGCCCAGATCTGGAACCAGACATGCCCATATGGCAAACAATGAAAGCCACTTCAGCAGCCCCGAGATATATACAATCCGAAAAAGCCGTTCCACAACGCTTCGTAATAGAAAAAGGCCTAGTCGACCACGGCACCACCAAGAACAACCCTGTCCGCGACATCCTCTACGAATGCCGCAAGCTCTTCCGCTACGCTAACGATATGATGATCATCGTCTCCGTCGGCACAGGCGTCGGCCTCGACCGCAGCCGCGAAATCCCCGAAATGGCGAATAGCGTTGAAGACCGCAAGGCCGAAGCCCGTGGCTGGGGCGAGCGCTTCGAAGCCGACCACGCCGCTCTCATCGAACGCAACTGGATGAAGTATTTCCGCTTCGATGTCACGGGTCTCGAAGATGTTCCACTGGAAGAATGGAGTCATGAGGATATCATCAAGGAGAAGACATCTGCCTATCTTGCTCAACCGGATGTATGTCAGAGGTTTTATGCCTGTGTTGATGCTATTGCTGCTTTACTGCTGGGTCCCCAAGGTCGGTAGTACCTTGGAGAAAGAGAGAGGGATAAAGAGAAATGCGATCTTGTACTGGGTGGATTAGTTTTTTTTTTCTCAAAAAAGCAAATCGGTGGTTGTCAGTGTCGGTATCTTATCAAGATATCTAACTTTTATGTATTTTTTCGGACAAGTCGAATGTTTGTTTGTTTTTGGTTTAGAGATGCCTTCTTATGATAATTCATCTTAATTTCACGCTGTAAACATCCCCCTTTTTTTTAACCAAAAAACAAAACTACGGCTTAATATACGTTTTTGTAATCTGATGAAAGTCAAGGGCTAGCTGTGCTAATATTCTAATATGGTTACATCAAGAAGATCGCATCTAACATGGCATCTCTCGTATCCGTCAACAAGCGTTAGCACGAAGGAGTAGCCGACCGTTTTCTTTTTTGCGGCCCCCCCACCCACCCAGCCCCCGAAGGATTAACCGCGGGTTGTAGTCTATCTTTTTCGTGTATCAGCTGGTAAACGCGACTCTCGGGATTGCAATAGGGAGGGTGATTTTTTTTAATGCTGATAGAATGGGACAAGCAGTCTGATTAACTATCGAAACGATCGTGATCGAGAAAAAAAAACCCAAAATCGGGGTTGTATTCATTTAAGTACATAGTAATTTGTACGAGACACCAAAGGGATTGTGTAAAGATAGGTTTACAGTCACAAGGTAGAGATAGTTATTACATAGTCGTGTGTGTGTGTGTGTCATTGTGTACGTTGCATTTCATATAAGACTAAGTATAACTAGGTAAATAGGGTATCTACGACAACTCAAAACAAGGCAAAATCTAAACTCGCTTGTATACCGATATAGGGGTTGCGTCACAAGAAGCAATATTTCACCGTTGAAAATCACTACTGTTCCTCATCCTGAACCCAGTACTAACCCGCTCAATGGGACCCTGTCTCTCCGCCCTATCAACACTGAGCCGCTGATTCAGACTCGTGGCGCCATCTAGGCCATTCAGAACGGTCATACCGCCTTTTACACCGCTCCGTGCAGTAGTGCTGCGACTGGCGACGGGAAGTAGCGAGCCTCCGTCGTTCCACCTGTTGGCACGCGCACTGCTAAGGTAGCTTTCGATGCTGCGGCGTCCGTCTGGGCGAAATGCCGGGCTGCGGTTACGGCTACGGCTGAGCGCCTCTTCGATCGTGCGGGTATCCATGGCATCGCCGTAGTCAAGTCTCTCGATGCCAGCGTAAGGGTCTGTAAGCGTATCGTTGTTGTGATCCGCACGGGCGTGCTGTGCGTTCGCTTTTCGGTCGCGGAATCTGCGTTTGACTTCGCGGAAGAAGTCGCCGATCGCGTCGAAGGAGAGGGCGATGGCGATGAAGGGGATGGAGATTGCGAGGCCGATGCCGAACATGTATTTGCCAACGAAGGAGAGGGGGAGCGACGGCTCGTCGCTACCGGGTTGGTGGGGGAATTCTTGGATGTTGATGGTGAACATGGCGGCGATGAAGGAGAGAGGGAGGAAGATGATGGTGACGATGGTGAAGACCATGATTGTCTGGCTTTGACGTGCAGTGCCTGCGGCTTGGTCGCGAGCGAAACGCGCTTCGAAGGCGTTGGCGTGTTTCTGTTTTAGGTCGAGCAGGTCGGTGATTGAATCGTAGATGCGCTTGGCTTGCTTGTCCATACGCTCAAGATCCTTGAGGTGAATATCAATTGTCTTGAGCAGCTCTTTAGACCGCTTCTTTATCTCCTGCTGACTTTTGTGCTCCTCTCGATAAATGTCTGTGATACTGGCTTCCATGTCAGGAAGTACGCTGCGCTGATCTTCCAGTACTTTGGCAATCATGTTCAATTCATCGCGAATATCCTTAATTTCAGCCAAAAGGTCCGTCTCGGCACCAATGTCTAGCAGCTTGTCGACGAATAGGGGAGCATGGGCAGCTGTTCGGTCGCTATCGCCATAGTCAAATTCTTCTTCGCGGATCGGAGGGTCAGTCAAAGCGTGTGAATGGGAGTGATGCGGCACATGTCGCCGATTGTGCTCTCTTTGCCTTCCCTCTGCTTCAAGATGACGTGAGAAGCGGTTGGGCCGACGGTGGTGTTGTAGCCATGCCGATGCTTGCGCAGAAGCTGTATTGAACTCTTTAAACAATATTGTCTCCATCTCGGTAGCATCGCCTATGCTGGATTCGAACATGTCAAGAAACTGGTAATCCTCGTCGCCAGTACGGTGACGATCAAAGACTCCACTACACCTTCCAGAGATGATCATAGCCAGGTCGTACACATTGCGAACCGGATCTCTGGCTTTGCTATTGATGTCCTCGATGATGCCATCGAGAACATTGAGCGGGTCGTTTCTAGGCTGCTGCCATCGCTGAGGAAAAGCGGTCACAATCAAGTCCTTGCCCAATGTCCACATCCATAATTGATCAACCATGAAAATCTTCGGATCCACATGTTGAGGGTTACTCGACTTGCACTGATACCGATAGACGACTTGGTCACGATCACGAGACTGCGTGTCAATATTGTGATAGAAGAACTGATCCAACGTACGTCGTACATGCAGTGAAATCTGCGAAGAGGTCAGATGAGCTCGTAGTAGCATCTCATCGTACGTTTTCGCGCGTGGAGGGGGTGGCCTATTAGCTCGTCCATCATTTTTCTCGTAACCCTTTATGATTTGTGTTTTCCTGATTGCAGCCTGCATCTCCTGGCGCCGGCGGTCAGACTCAAAGTGTAGATATGGCATAAAGGCAAATATATTGCCTTTTGCAACCGTCGTCGGGTCTTTCCGCCCAGGACTGCCAGGTGATTTGAGGTGACCGCTGAGGGTGAGAGAAGTGCTTGTGTGTGTTCTTTTTGCGTGGTGTTCGGGCCCTTTGGTAGGTGTTTCGGTGCCACCAGATCGCTTGCCGGCCGGCTTCGACCCACCCCACTTGTGCGCCTTCTTCGTCTTATCCTTTGTTTTTCCTCTTACTTCTTTGTTAGCCGCATGGCTCGGGCCCGTCCCGGCAGTCCAATCCGTTTGCTCTGTGCTGGCTGTACCTGTTCGCGCAGGTGTCTTGGGAAAGTGCGACGAGGTTGAATCCTGCATGGCGACTGCTGGGTCAATAATTAAGCCCAGGCCATTATTGACGGTGATATGCGGAACTCCTGGGTCACCACCATCAGAAAGGTCTGATTCATCGTGATTCTTTGGAGCACGTGGCGTGCTCTGGCACAGCGGTCTCATGAAATGCGAGTGTATTTGCTGTCCACGGTGTTGGTGACTAAAGGACCGTTCCAGCGCCTTGAACCCCTCAACGTCGCTGGCTCCTTCCTCGATGAATGCTTTAGTCAGCAATGCCTCTACCCAGGCCATGTTGTTTGCAGGCAGGTGGATCCATCTGAAACTTGTTCCTTTGGAATCTTTGGGCAGAACACTGACTGCAGGCTTCCTTGGGTTGATCGGGTCACGGCTGTACAACAACTCAAAGACTGTCTTGCGTGATACTTTGTTCTCGTTGTGAAAATTGCCGAAATCGACAATCGTGGCGTGGAATCCATTGGTAGCACCCAACGCATCTTCGCTCAGCGCCTCAATCTGGTTATGTGGTGCCAGCCTGTTGATGATGTCTTTACGTGCAGACTTCTTGCTCTGAGCGGCCCGCAAGAACGGCGTAATACCAAAAGCATCCTTCGGGGCTCGTTTTACGTCGTTTCGCTCCAGAAGACAGTTGATTACGTCCAAATGTCCAGCTTGGGCTGCTACGTGCAAAGGAGTCATTCCGTTTAAGAGCTTTGCATTGATGTTCGCTCCAACAGCCAACAGCATCCGCACCACCTTGACGCTTCCTTGCTCACAAGCATTGTGCAAGGGAGTCCAGGATCCGTCGCTCTTGGCCATAATGTCCGCGCCATGCTTGATCAAGAGCTCGACAATATCGTCTCTCCCGTGTGCAATTGCGAGATGGAGCGCCGTCTTCTGCCTAATTTCCACTGCGTTGACGTTTGCTCTGGGGAGTCGCGGTCGCCTGAGTAACAATTCGCACAACTCTTTTTTTCCCGTACTCGCTGCCCAGTGCAATGGAGTGCGCTTCTGGTCGTCCTGGCCGTCTGGTCCGTCAATGCCGATGTTTTGTTTGAGAAGCTCGGCTATAACGTCGCGCCCCCAATTGCAATGCTTGTCGGCTGCCAGATTGTGCAACACATTGCGCCCGGTGTTGTCCTTGCGGTTGACATCTGCGCCACACCGCAGTAATTCATGCATGACGTGAAAGTGATTTTTCCAAGCCGCCATCATGAGGACCGTTCTCCCCTGCTTATCTTGTGCGTCGACAGTTCCCCCGAATTTCAGCAGTAGTTGCACAATCCCGACGTGGTTCTTCTCGACTGCCTTGAATAAAGGCGACACCCTGCCTCCCGGCGCACCATCAGGTTTGGCGCCACTTTTCAGCAGATACTCGGTGATGAATATGTTTCCGCGCTCGGCTGCGCGCATCAGAGCGATGCGCAAGAGGTGATCAACGGGTTGCGCATTGGCTTTGGCCTGCTCGATGATGGCAATGGCATCGTCGTGCTTTTGGTCTTCGACTGCCTTGAGAAGGCGTGGCTCGACACGAGTATGCTGCGCGGACTCGCCGCCGTCGCTGGATCGAGATGGTGAGCGCCCCATGCTTGCTACATGCTCTGCTTCGGTTTGCGTTGTTTCGTTTTGGCGGTGAGGGAGCAGTATTTGGGCGCAAGAGGTGTGCGAGGGTCGGGTTGGGACGAAAGGCGCGTCAAGGCCGATACGTGCAATTGCCTGAGTCGCCAAAAACCATGTCTAGTTTCGAGTCTTCTCCTATTCGGGCTGTACATGTACAGCTTGGACGTGTCTATGAAAGTGGGCGGCTGCCTTTAGCTGCAGGCCTGAACGGTGGCTAAGCTAAAACCCCGGCCATGTTGTGCAGCCGCACACGTGACGATCAACGGCTGGTACATCGTCTTGAGTAGTGGAGTGGAGCGAAGCCGGCTGGTATCCATTGGGGTTTTCGTCATTGGGTGAGGTGCGCTGACTTGGGAAATTGAGGGAGATGTTGTGCCTGACTAGTAGTAGATCGCATCGAGTTTCGGGGATTGCGGGGAAGGGCCGCTGTCTGCACATTACGCGGACGTCACGTTGGGGCACTACACGGTGCTTATTTCATCTGCCGATGATTTGGCATCTGCATTGTGCTTGACTCCACTCGAGTTGCTTCGCCAATACCTCGGAAACGGCATAGACACGAATCTGGCGTTATCCGTGTGGCGTATGCCAGCGGGTGCACGCCTTCTCCGCACCTATAAACAGACATGAAGCCCGGCGACTATGTAACACGTTCGGCACCACCTTTGCTGTCGACATCCACACCTTCAACACCTACACATGGGAGATTGAAGAGTTCAACACTCTTCTGGCGCGTCATTGGCTTGATTGCAAGCCTCGTTCTTTTCACAATGTACACCTACAACACTACAATGGATACTGAGGACATGGAAATATCACGAAGCAACCATTCCATTTTCATTCCCTTTATTTTCGAGTTCAGCCCCCAACATGTTCCGCAAGTCATGTGTACCGTTGAAGGCGTTGATATCCATATGCCCGTGGACACTGGATCAACCGGGACTTTGATAGGAGCTCCAATACTACCCAACATACCACCGACCGTGGGTACGCCAGCACACCACTTCTTTACGAGCAGCAAGATTCTCTATGTTGGTCGAATGGTTGAGCTAGCCATGAGCTTCACTGGTGACGGCGGCTCATACGCGACTGCACAGGTCCCTGTGCTTGTTGTTGACAAGAGCTGGAGGTGTCCTTGGTATGATCCCCTGGTTGACCGGTTCGAGTGTCCAACAGGTCCCCACGGTGAGCAAGCCGTAGAACGGGACACGTCGCAAATTACCTACATGGGCATTGGTTTCGGAAGAAACAGCCTAAAGGATGGAATGCCCTTTGCTACACCTCGCGTCAACCCGCTCTTAAACCTCTGCGCTATTAATGGAGAGTCAATTGAGCGCGGGGCGATGCACGCTGGATATATTGTATCACGTGAGGGTGTCCAAGTTGGCTTGACGCCAACAGCCATCGGAGAGTTTGCTTTTACCCAACTGGAGCCTGGCTTGACTTGGGCGGAGGATAGCAGGGACTGGGCGATGGCAAGCATGTGCTTCAGCGTCAATGGCGAGGGAAGGAATTGCGGTAGTGTGCTTGTCGACACTGGCATAGCGCAGATGTATATCAGAACGGAGAAAGGTGCTTCGATGCCAACCATCGTCATTCCTAATCCCAACCCAAACGGTCATGCGAAGATGGTGAAGCGCGTGAAGCCAGGTACCAAGATCATCGTTGGCTTTCCATCCCTTGACCAGCCAGCCATGTCTTACTCGTTCACCGTTGGCGAAAAATCAGCCATTGAGCCCAATTATGTCTTCCCTCAACTACCCAGTCATTCGCCCTATATCAACACGGGGAGAAACTTGTTGTTCCGCTATTCGATAGCCTTTGATGCGGTAGGAGGGCGATTCGGATTTCGATCGGTTGGCAATTCTGCCACGGCTTCTGTATTGTAGCCTGCGAATTGCAAATGAATTAACAGACCAAATTTGAACCAGCATGATTCAGCTCTTCTTCCCTCTGCTCCCTCTGGATGCATCGTTGGGCGACAAATGAATACCAAGCCCTTCACCTTTGCCTAATTCATGTAGTCATTTGGCTGTGGTTGCGGACCTCATGGGACTTCGAAACCCATCTCTCAGTTCCTTGTACTCTTCCACCGCTTTGACGACAATGCTATGCGCCTGTACGGTTGAGATTTCCGCGCCTGCAATTGTAATTGCGCCAACAACGCCTTCGACCCCCTTTACGAAGACGGGATATCCGCCTCCTTCGATGGTGTATTTGGACCATTCCTCTCCGCTCATGGCATAGTATTCAGCAAGCTTTTTATAGTCGTCGTTGAATTGGCAGCCCATGTACCATGTTGAGTGGCCCCATCTGAGCACTGTGTTGCGTTTTCTCTCCACCCATTTCTCGTGGTCGGGCATTATGCCAGGGAGGCTTGGCGCATGGAAGAGGGTTTGGGTCGAGAGAGCTATGTGGATGAGGGCAGGGCACTCGGCGGTGCGAAGAGCGTTTCGAAGAATGTTCCCAATGACCCAAGCATGTTCGCACGTGAAGTGGTTGAAGGTGAAGCCCTTTTCCTCTTTTGCGAGTTCAGCTAGGTCGCGTGTGGGCAGGGGTAGTGCGCCGAGCATCTTGACGGAGGATTTGCGGATTTGTTTGTGATGGTTGGGTTTTTTTGTAAGGAAATTATAGGTAGGGAGTCTTGACATATAACTAGAATTTGCCGATCATTTACCAATTGAAACAAAGAGATAGGAGACGACGGAGCGTGAAACATACGAGTCAACAAGACAACGGAAAGCAGCGCGTATCAAGTAACTACGCCGGCGGCCGGGTCGTTCCGCCATTTCAGCCCCAAGCTCCCCGCTATTTGACACGTGCCTGACGGGAGAACACTTGTCGGCCTCGCTGCCACCAACTAACGCCCGTTGCCACGCTTGCTTTGTACACCGACATGAAACTTTGTGTATAGAGTTGCATTTTTGTTGACAACTCGAAAACTATGAAACCATATTTAGTAGGGTTTTCCGGGTCAGCCATCGGCCAGAACTTACAGCGTCTTTCGCTCGGGAAGTTTGTGCCGATTCGACTCAACTTTAGCCTCAAGAGAATCCACTAGTACGGCCGGAACAATTCACCACTGTCAATACGGTCCTACTGACTGGTCTGATAGGAAGGATTGTGCGAAAAAATTGACTTCGAGATAAACTCTGAGGCCGTGTTATCATGCTTCAATTCCCTCTTACCTTTTGCACCAGAGCAAGCCGTTTCCTCGACTCTTCACAGACGTGTTTATCCTATTCCACCCTTGCCGAATCTGTGCAGACGCGAGCGTGATGGAGTTGTATACAATTATACACAAGGTTTCTTTCCGCCAAACCGCCCGTTAGTTGTGCGCTGCCGAAGTCGCCTAGGAGCAGATTATGCATGTACTTCCAGAGCCTCGCCCTCTTCCGGACAAGGGCCGAAACCTAGGAATCTAGCCCTATACTCGTATATCATATACCCGTGCTCGTATATGTATATATGCGAGCGTTATCGATAGCAGGGAGTCTGTCCTGGCCTCCGGACAACCGCCAAAGCCAGACGACGCCAAGACGCTGATGGCTTCGATTGACAGGAACTGTGAAGAGATTGTGAATATTCAAGGACAGGGCGACGAAAGCCTCGAGAAACACTATGCAGGGCCTGAACCGAGTCAGGATTGCTGCACTCGAGAGTTTGGCAGCATCAGAGACAACCAATGGCATGGTATGTCATTGAGTCTGCACAGACGTGGCGTTGACATGTTCGCAGAAACCCTGCCTTGCCCACTACGTCCGACCCCAGGAAAAGATTTTCGGTCACGCGATTCTCCGGAACTTTTGGCTACACCAGTCCGAAACCACGAAATCATGGGAGTGCGATGCTCGCCTAGTTCCTCTTTCGGTGGAGGCAGTCCCTGGTGCCTGTAGCGTGCTTGGTGAAGCAGGGAATGACGTTCGCACTACTAGTACTTGTGCCCCCAGTAGGCGAGACGAGCCATGTCCCCCGCCAACGCTGTCAGATCAGATATCTAGTAGATGCATGACGCATGCGGCATGGCGACGGAGGCATTGCTTGTGACGGGCCACGGCCGCTGAACTAGCCAGGTTTTTACACAGGACCGGTGTCTTTCTGTTGCTGCCATAGGCGCATATGGACGGACAAAGGCGAAGCCAACCTGGCCTAACCCCACGACCGAAATGCCTGTGTACATGACTACACATGAGGGTGTACACCTAGTGCGAGAACTGCCGTGCCCGAATTTGTCGTGTTCACCATGACGTGCCTCGTGGAATCGCCGATCACGACCAATTCATCAGTCGATCCATGCCATGCCAACATCGGTAGCGCATGGAAAAGATGGAACATGGCAAGCCATGAGCTGGCCTAGACCGCATCGATTCCTGCAGCTTGTGCACCCTGTCCCTCGGCCCTCTCCTCCGCAACTCAATCTCACAGTGTCTTGCTCGTCGTCTTGCCAGACATGCGTTCGTAAGGTCAAGTTGGCTGCGCTGCCCTGGTATGACGTCACGCGCTCTTCAGTCTCTGAACACGCCTCACTGCACCTGTTTCCTCCGCCTGAAATCTTACCCAACGCATCGCCCGCGGAGGCGCCATGGAGAACCTTGACAAGCTATCTGCCACAGGCCTGCCCGTCTTCGACCTGAACGAGGAGAACCTGTCCCGCAGAGACTGGTAAGCACTCGCCATGGCCCCATTCGCTCCTTCATTGCGCGCAGTGGTTAACGCCCTCCAGGTCCAAATCTTCAATTGGCTCGCGCGAGTCGTGGCCAACCTCGCTCAAATGTCTCGTCAACACATGTGTGCTGCCCATGCCCCACTGCTCGGCCATTTTCTGGGGTAAAGACCTAACAGTTATACACAACCTCGCTTGGGAAACCGCGCGGGGTGGTCTCGATGGCCAGGCATCCAATGCGCACGACACCTACGAACATGAGGCGTTGGCGACACTGAAAACAGTGCTAAGAGGGCGGACGGTCAAGGTAGGTAAGCATCATACCGTAACCTTGCAGTTTCCCCTGCTCACACTGACCCTCTCACCTAGCCGCCAGGTATTTCCTAGCGTCCCTGTCCGAAGAGCGAGACAAGCAGCTCGTCCTCAGTACCATACTTGATGAAGATGGAACTCGTCAAGGCGTCTTGGCCCAACTGCTCGACAATCAAAGAACTGACCGCTACATGCCTATCGAAGGCTTGGACGAGCTTGCGCGGCAAAACCAAGGGCATCAGCTAGAGAAAACTAAGTCACAGCAGGAAGATAACGACTCCGGGAAGAAGCAGGCCGACTCAATGCAGACAAACATGTTCCAGCGATTTGCAGAACTGTTGCCCAACGGCCTGGCAATCCTTGACAAGGATGCCGAGGCCATTTTCGTCAATGACGGTTTCTTCAGGCTTACCACCAACAAGGGAAGTAACGAATTCCGTTCTTGGCCAGATAGCATACATCCAGACGACTATGAGGACGTCATGACAGCCTATCGCAATGCATTTGAGAGCCGGACAGAGCTGCAGATAGAATTTAGGTGTGACGTTGCTGAGCCCGTCCACACGGAGGGTGAGCAATGGAGAATGTTTTTGTTGAAGCCCTTGAGCGATGAGTCTGATGCTGGTTACATCAGCGCCATCATCGACATTACCGATATCAAACAGGCCCAGTTGACCCAAGAGAAAGCTGCCAACGAGGCAAGGGAGCGTAAAGAACAGCAAGAAAGATTCATAGACATGGTTTCGCACGAGATCCGCAATCCGCTCTCTGCCGTCCTCCATCTCGCTGAAGAAGTCAAGGAGGTGACGAAAGAGATTGGCGCTGGCCGCGATGAAATCCGCGATCAAATAGCCGATGTTTTAGATGCTGCCGACACTATCCTACTGTGCGTCTCGCACCAAAACACTCTAGTAGATGACATTTTGTCATTCTCTAAGCTAGATTCTATGATGCTATCTTTGGTTCCTCGCGGTGAGTCTATCACGGCCATCTTATATCATTCACTGAACTCTTGAAGAAACAAAGCCGAAGTGGGAATTCTCTCAAGCGCTCCGCGTCTTCAATTCCGAGTTCAAAGCCAAGAATATCGATTTCCACTACGCCATGGATGTTTCATTTGAGGAGCAGCAAGTAGACACTGTTGTTGCTGATCTCAACCGCATGAAGCAAGGTATGAAGTGTCGGGTCATGTTTAGTATGGAGCTGACAGTTTTTAGTTCTGGTAAATTTGATCACCAATGCCATAAAGTTTACCTCAAGGAAGAAGGGAAAAAGAAATATAACTGTGTCTATGGGCGCATCAGTAAAACGACCCACCTCATATCCTCCCAACGTCGTTTACTTTAGCGAACAGAAAGAAGCATTTCATCTGGATTCGACAATGACATCGGAATGGGGCTCTGGAGATGCCATGTACCTAATGGTTGCCGTTAAGGATACTGGCATAGGTATTAGCAGAGAAGGCCAAGCCAAGTTGTTTGAGCGCTTCAGGTATAACCAGTTTTCTCTGTTACCCCCGGTTTCGCCTGACTAATTATCCACTAGGCAAGCAACACCTAAAACACAAGAAAACTACGGAGGCTCCGGTCTTGGATTGTTCATATCGCGCAAGTGTAAGCAAGCTACACTGCATGTCCAACTTTTCATTCGCTAACATAAGTCAGTATGCACTCTACATGGCGGCGACATAGGCGTAAGCTCAAAAGAAGGGGAAGGATCGACATTCGGGTTCTTCTTCAAAGTGCGTCGTTCAGTCGGAGCAAGTGATCCGGGGCGACCGCCTATCCAATCCCGAAGCAACTCAGAAAAATCGGAGAACTCTGGCTTGAAACCGACACGCCCCAGCTACAGTCGAAGTAACTCAACTCTCCAGCGTATCAAAGAGCAAAAGAATGAGCGTCCAGAAGCGAAAACGTTGTCTAGCCATTCCGGGGTAGATGCAGAGGAGATGAACCCCTCGCTCAAAGACCCGCCTGTGGAAGAGAGATCAGAGGCACATCCAGAATCGAGCGCAGATCGGCGTTACGAAGAAACTGAATCGACCGTCAAGGACATCTCGACGGAAAAACCGCACATTGAAAGGACATTACCAGATCTCCGCAGAGGAGAGACATCAAGACAAGAAGAGGGTGCCCACGAAATATCGCGGTCACAAAGTGATCCACGTACTGAGGAAAACCATACTCTCCTTCTTGTTGAGGACAATTTGATCAACCAGAAGGTTCTTCGCCGTCAACTCCAGTCCCGAGGCTTCCAGGTCTTCACAGCAAACAACGGTCAAGAAGCCATTGATGCCGTTGCCGAGCGTGGTAGTCGGGCGCAGAATGGTCCAGATGACAGAAACTACTTTGATGTTATTCTCATGGATCAGGAAATGCCTATCAAAGATGGAAACGCCGCAACCCAAGAAATTAGGCAGCTGCAAGAGGAAGGCAAGGCGGGATACAGTCATATCTTAGGCGTATCGGCGAACGTGAGAGAAGCACAAACACAGAGCATGCGCGACGCTGGCATGGATGACGTGATCTCAAAGCCGTTCAAGGTGGACGATTTGGTGCGCAAGGTACGATCACTTGTACTTGATGGCGGGGGCAGTGCAAGGCATGACAACAGACCAAATGGCGAGCCAGGTCCAGGTGAAAGCGGTAAAGAAAAGGGAGACGATGAAGTAAAAGATGTTGTCAAACCTCCAGACGCGGAGAGACAAAACCAGGATACAGATGCTGATAGTGAGCGTGAGACGACAAACCGGGGTGGCTCGCGGACTCGATCGCGAGCGGAAATCAAGAAGAAAGGAAAAACAGACGACCAGAAGTCTTGAGTGCTACGGCCTTTACAACTAAAGCGAACTCTAATGTTCCCAGTTTGTACGATTCATGCTGTTGCATTTGGTTATTCCTCGGTTGTAGAACCGCATTGCACGGTGTTTTGGACGGGTGATAGACTGATGAGCGGACTGAACGAAGAAATGGCCTTTTCGAACATGGGATGACAGTCAATTGCCATCCTAGCATGATTATACCCAAATTCAACATTTACATCTGTATGTGCGACGTAGACTTGTCCAGTGATTTGTTGAGGTGGATACATTGCATGCACGAGTCATGCGGATGATATCAGACGTCACCCCCACCTTTCCCTGAGATAACATCATCACATGAGCATTATCATGTGCAGCATGCTTTTACACATATACGATAGTGGCAACGGTCTAACACGCGCCCTAACCAGAACTCGAATTTACTGAACAATTTTCTCTCGTTACCATGGCAAAAGAATTTGAGGGAAAGGTTGCTCTTATCACAGGAGCGGGCAGTGGCATTGGGTACGCTTTCAACCCCTCTTTCCAACTATCTCACACAAGCCTCCACGACAGCCTTGTACTGAAATCACACTAGTCGCGCAACGGCTCTGAAGCTCTCATCCCTTGGCGCTTCAATCTCCCTTTGCGACATCAACCAATCCAACCTTGAAGTCGTCGCTTCAGAAAGTAGCACACCCTGTTACACACAGAAAGTCGATGTCGGCAAGAAGGACGAAGTGGAAAGCTTTGTAAACAATACAGTCAAGCAACTAGGAGGCCTGAACTATGTATTCAACTGCGCAGGCGTGAACCCAACCAGTATGAAAGTCGAAGACACAAGTGAAGAGTACTGGGATAAACTGGTAAACACAAACCTCAAGGGCGTCTTCCTTGTCACACAAGCATGTCTACCTCACCTTGAGCGCGGCTCAGCAATTGTCAACGTCTCGAGTATCAGCGGCATCCGCGGCTCAGCCCTGCAGTCTGTGTACTGTACTACCAAGTTTGGGCTCATTGGCATGTCTAAATCGCATGCGCTTGAGTTTGGGCCTAGGGGCATCAGAGTCAACTGCGTGGCACCAGGGTACATTGATACGCCATCGAATGCGGGTATCGTGAAGGGAGGAGAGGCGGTGGAGAGGATGCGGAATGGAAATGCGCTGGAGAGGTTGGGGACGCCGGAGGAGGTGGCGGATGTTGTAGCGTTTTTGTTTGGAGATGGGGCGAGGTATGTAAATGGGGCTGTTGTAGAGATTGACGGGGCAGTGAAGATGGCCAGTACGACGAGTAAATGAGGTGGTTAGTGACAGGAGACTCAAGCAAGTATATAAAAAAGAAAGATGCATCAGTAAATATCCATCTTGAGCATGATCTCTAAGAAAGAGTGATGCTCGTGATTGTCCAATGGGAGAGCGAGGTAGTGAAGCTACGTTATCACGTGCGCGTTGATCTGCGACCTGCACTAGCGCCTCGTCCCATCGAAAGTTCCGTCGCGACATCTTTCCCTTACTACGACAACCTTAACATCACCACAGCCATGACAGAAACACAACCCGCACAAACGTCGCTCGCGACTGACAAATCTCTCGAGCCATCCGCATCAAATGAACTCGTCCACACGACCGAACAAACTATCATCACAACAAATGCCGAAGGCAAGAAAGTCAAGAAGATCATCCGGCGCAAACGACGACCTGCACGCCCTCAGATCGACCCAGCGGAAATAAAGACCCAGGAGACTCCACAAACAGGTACAATCTACAATGTCTGGTACAACAAATGGTCGGGCGGCGACCGCGAAGACAAATACCTCTCCCAAACTCCCGCGCAAGGTCGCTGCAACATAGCCAGAGACAGCGGCTACACAAAGGCCGATAAGACACCCGGCGCGTACTTTTGTCTTTTCTTCGCGCGCGGCACTTGTCCTAAAGGAGTGGATTGCGAATACCTGCACCGCTTGCCCACGGTGACGGACATTTTCCCCAGCAACGTCGATTGCTTCGGGCGCGACAAGCATGCCGACTACCGCGACGACATGGGCGGTGTAGGAACCTTCCAGCGCCAAAATCGCACCCTGTACATTGGGCGCATCCACCCAACCGACGACATCGAAGAAGTCGTCGCACGGCACATGCAGGAATGGGGCGAGATTGAGCGAACACGCGTCCTGACTGCGCGCGGTGTAGCCTTTGTCACATACATGAACGAAGCAAACAGCCAGTTTGCAAAAGAAGCAATGGACCACCAGTCATTCGACCACAACGAAATCCTCAACGTCCGCTGGGCAACAGTCGATCCCAACCCCCAGGCCGCCAAACGTGAAGCCAGACGCATCGAAGAGCAGGCTGCAGAAGCAATTAGAAAGGCGCTACCTGCGGCGTACGTGGCCGAGCTGGAAGGCAGAGACCCGGAGGGCAAGAAGAGGCGTAAAGTTGAAGGCAGCTTTGGACTCCAGGGCTACGAGGCACCGGACGATGTGTGGTATGCAAAGGAAAAGGGCGAATGGGAAGCTGCTAAGCAGCTCCAGGCAGGTGGCGCTGGAGACAGAATGGCGATCGAGGGCGGAGACCACACGTATCAAGATATGAACGCCGGACAAGATGTTGATGCTGCGCAACAGCAACAGCAGAATAGCGGCATTTTATCTGGCAGTACGCTAGCGGCGCTCAAGGGATTCAAGGCTGCGCCGTCGAATAAGAGACCAGCGCCTGCGGCGGGGCCGTTGGTGGATTACGGGAGTGATAGCGACTAAGTCTGGCCACCCTTGAATACAGTGGTGTACTTTGCACTTGTCCGTGTGATGAAAAAAAAGAAAAGGTTATGCTATGTAGCATTTGTAAGCATTAGTCTGGCGTTGCTGTGGTCCACAAATTTGATACCCTTTTTGGAACATTGCGATATGGAATCCCTCATGTCTTTGCGTGTTTGATCACTGTGATGAAGGGACATGAACACTAGTAAGTAAGCAAGGGAGAAAAGAAACAATGAAATAGCACCACCAGAACCTATCCTAACCCAACAAGGCCAAAGTGCCCGAATGACAACCAGGACTATCAGTCTTTGACACACTTTTTCTTTTAAACCGGCGCAACACCGTCCCTCTCACATGCCCGCAAAAAACTACTCCAATCAGTAACCAATCGTCGTCCCGCCCAAACACTCGACCTCCCCCTTTCCTCCCTTGCATGACCCTGACCACCAAGCTCAAACGCACCCGCACCCCCTACATTCCTCACCCTGCTCCCCCCTCCCCCGATTCCCTCCTCTACAACATCCTCCACATCCCTAAACAACCTCTTTGCAGCCGCCACCTCCCCGACATCCTGTCCTCCACATCCGAACCCGCAGTTGCGCCGGCCACACGGGCGCCAGAAGCGGTATTCGGCGACTTGGTGCTCGGAGAGGGGTGGCACGGCGAGGAGCCCGGATAAGACGCTGCGGTTGGAGGTGTAGGATAGGCGGGTGCCTGTGGGAGAGAGGGGGGAGGGGGTTTCGTATTCTATGCCGTTGGCGATGGGGATGGAAAGGGGTGGATTGCCGACGGTCATGTTTTCGAGCATGCCTGTGCGGGGGGATGGGTAGTGGGAGGGGCTGAGTGGGGGGCTTACGATGCTGTTGTGGTAGGCGGATGGGGTGCGAGGGCGACTTCGGGTTTGTTGGTTGAGGATGCAGTCGATGGAATCGAATTGGGGGCCGTAGTGTTCGTAGCTGTGAGATTCGCAACGGTGGGAGGGACCGCACATTTCGGATCCGTCGATGCTCATGGGGCTGGCGGGGGTTATTGCGGAGCTGGGGATACGGGGTGTTCCGGACATGATACTGGAGTTGGAAGTTGGGGAGGGGAATAGATTCTTTGCACTCGTGGTAGGGGAAAGGGGTGTGGGAAAGCCTGGATATTTTCTGCCGACTTCTGTCAAGAGCGAGAGGTATGGTTTCACAGCCGTTGGCTGGGGCAAAACTGTACTGAAAGGCCCCATGTTGAAAACTGCACCACTTCCAGTAGGCTGTGATGAGCTGGTAAGACTGTTCGCAGTGCCGTCGAGTGCAAGACCCCATGATGGAAGGCCGTCGTGCTCAGTGGCCAGCGTATGTCGAGAAGAACTGCAGGTAAAGAAGCTAGTCGGGCTTTTAGGACTACTGCCATTGCTAGAACCGACAGAGCTTCCTAGGCCTGTGATACGTCGAAGAGCTTGAGAAGTAAGAGCATCCATACGCTCTGCTCTGGCAAAGCGAGCATCGTCACAAGACCACAGTCCGCCGTACTGTTGCCACGGAAAGGTTGCAAGAAAATAATCCTCAGGATAGACATCGTATCCAAGGCTGCGAGCGCGGAAGAAGACGTATACAAAGCGACAGTCAGGAAATTGGCGAAGAACCTACGAAGTGTACATTTAGCGCAAGTTATTTCAAGTGGGAAATTGGAAGAAGATCGTTTGCATGGTCATATGGCATTAATCGATATGAAATATTTCGGTAAGATATGCAGAGTATCCATGCAGATGACCAAAGAGGCTGGGATGGAAGCTCATACATCCCAAGCGGGGAATAAAGGTGGTGTTGCCGTGAGCCTACAAACAGTCAGTACGCGTTTGATCATTGACGATCGAAGAGAGAAACTTGCATTAAAATCTCAAAAGCCTTGAACTTCTTAAGTTTACGAGAGCCGCGTCGGTATGTATGGAGAACTTCTGGTCGAGCGGTTTTGATATTTTTGCGTCCAAGCAACTTATGCATGGCAGGAGTCGTATGGTACATGGGATCAAAGACAACTAGATGACAGGTGCCATCATAGTGGCGTTCGAATCCCACGATTGTTAGGGAGTGACCCGGCTGCTGGAGATAGATAGGCGGTAGTAGGGTCTTGCATACAGTGGAACCATCGTCAGTGGTTGCCTGGGCAAAATAGCGCTCTACAGCAGCAAGAAGTGTTCTGTGAGCCAATGTCTTGCCATCTTCTGTGGTGAAGAAGACCTCTACTGCGCAATTGATCTCTGCGTTGAGGAAAAATGCTTGCGCCTGTAGCGTGTCAGGAGTATTCCCAAAATGGCGCAGGAGTGCATACCTCTGGAGTACCAATGTACTTTCTTGTGTTGCGAATGCCGCCAGTCTGAACACGACCGATTGAGTTGATCCCGTTATCCCAGGCTTCCTCTATGAGATCCTGCACCTTCAATATGGTTGGAAGTCGACCAGGAAATTCTTCATGACCCTGCGCCTTTGCGCCCTGAATATAGGAGAGAAGCATGTGGATGTTGCGGTAGCCACAGAAACCACCTTCGTGAGGTGTTTTTCCAACGTGAATGGTAGAAGGATGGCAATAATATGCCTGCTGTACCGTGCGGTCTAAGGCGGATAGCTGTGCAAGAATAGGTATAATGCCTGGCGTCTCATTTTGCACCTGCTCGTGCTTGATGAGGCGACCGTCGCGTCCAATGCGGTTGACGATGGTGATCTCGGGGCCTGCGCTAAGCTGCCTATGGAGCCATTCTGGCATGCGCTCCTCAAAGGCATGTTCACCCAGGTCGGATTCCTAACATAGTTAGCTAAAATGTGCGACTGCGCGTGGCAATAGACTTACGTCGAGACGAGCGTTCTTAGATGGCGGCTTGGCACTCTTATGCGCCTTTGCAAATGGGCTGAAGCCCAGGATACTTCTGCTAATGGTTGTTTTGTCACTGTCATTTGTATTCCGTCGACGTCGAGGGCCATGTTTGGTTGATCTACGGCTGTGGCCGTCGGTCCTCTTCGAGGCAGCGCGCGTGCCGGTTTTTGCCTTGTGCTCGACAGATGTGCTCGTAGCACGGCGCCTATGTGAGCGATGGGTGGAAGATGAGCTGTGCATAGTAGCGGATGAACGTTTCGAATGATATTTTGGGATAGTCTCGTCGAATGATAAAGTCTCTATGCGGCGATAGTCGATATGGTCGTCGTGGTCAGAATGAGAAACAAGCTGGTAAGAATCAGAGGTGGGACTTTTGATGGCTCTTTCTTCTCGGTCAGAATCATCAGAGTCCGAGTCCGAGTCCGAATCAGAATCGCAAGAGTCGGAAGAGGAAGGCGTTTGCTCGTCGTTGCTGCCCGTAGATACAGGCGTGGGTGGTAATGAAGGTCGCAGCGGCTCCGGATCATCTTGTATAATGAAGGGGGAGTCGGTAGTATGGGCTTGCTCGAAATGTAGCTGAAGGAAGTAGCCATCTTTTGAAAGAATGGTGAAGTCGCACAGGGGACATTCGAGATGCTTCATGCTGGCTTCTGTATGGATGCAAATGACATGCAGAGTAATCTATGTCTCAACGGCACTCAAGTGGATTCAAGTTTATGTAGTAAATCATGGACGTTGAGGGCTTGGTCTTGGCAGTGAGGTCAACCGTCACCTAGTGCGTGTACAAATGACACTGCTGAAGCGATTGCTGCGTGCTTACGGGGCTTAGCATGACGAACGCACGAACTTCAAACGCAAACGAAGAATTTAACCCAAGAGGTGAGCAAGAACGAGACATACTGCGAGAAGGTAGAAATGAAGAAGACGTTGTTTTGAGCAAGTGCTGTGGTCGGCTGTAAGAATGCGGTGAAGGTAAGTACAAGCCGGCTGTTGCCAGGACAGCGAATCAGCCAGGCGCGCCAAGACCGAGAAATATGGACGATGAACTGCATGCGCGAACGAATAAAGGCAGAGGCGAGTGTTGCTACTGTCGGGCCCAGAACATGTGAATAGGCGTGCTTGGTGTTCGCAGTGTGGGCCTGGGCGGAACGCTCCATCGGCAACAGAGCGAATTGATGGCTGCAGGGACACGGCGATGCCGTGTTGGCAGCATGAGACATGAGGCCGTGGCAAGAGCGCATTCAGCGGCCAGATTGTAGTGGGCACTGACACCAAGAACAGAACATTCTGAGGAGAGACTGTCTCCTTAGGACCCCATATACTATTTTGTATCCATGTCCACATGTAGTACGTCATTGGTTCGCCAAGAACAGCCCATGTACTTCTGGAATCGGATCGGGCATGCTCGCACAAGTCTCTTCACATGCTGCGCCACGCACTTTACACACGACGGCCTGGCTGGGCCTTGTCGCGTCGTATACAATGGCGATGCATACCGCGACGAGGATATGCCACGGCAACAAGCTCAGACGATCCGCAATGGTTCCAGGAGCTGCGCACTCAAATGTTGCAGCGGGGCGCCATCCATCTGCCTGACTGTTTGACCGGTCCACCCGAATATAAGCTCTCGCAGACGCTGACGAGTTTCCTGCCCCGAGAATTCTGTCATGCTCCAGGCAGGCGAAATCGAATAATCCCTTTTGGTCACCATTTGATATGGTTCAATCCATCGCTGCCTACTCACCACCTTCTTCCAGACGGAACAGACGCATCCCACTCACCAGGCGGCCCTTGGGTGCGGCGCATGTGGGCAGGAGGTTCAATTCAGGCAAAGCCAGACGTTTATTTTGACAAGTTTCGGGGCTTCGCCGTAGACACGCCCACGGCTGGTATCGAGCATATCAAGCACATCCGACTGCACGGCCAAGGCGATACCGCCAAGATCTTCGTCACCATTGAGCGCCGCTTTGCGAGAATAGATGCCCTACAGGAAAGCTACAGAGCGCTCTACGGATCGTTGGGCAGGGCCACCGGGCTGCGAAAAATTCAAAGCTACTTCGAGGACCAACTACGCATCGACGACACCTGGGGCAATGCCGTTCTCAAAGAAGAGCGCAACCTCGTCTTCTTCAAGGAACGCAGTGTTGCAGAACTCGACGCTATCAAGTCTGGCCAGATGGACTCTATTAAATATCTAGATCGTGCGTACTCTGACGAGTTGCTCGAACTGCTTGCTGACTACTCGTAGCTCCTGGTGATCCTCTCTTCTCTCATACACTCACTCCCAATCGTGCCCTTCTGTTTCGTTTCTCTGCTCTCACTTTCAATGCTCATCTCATTCACCTCGACCCCGACTACGCTCGCAATGTTGAAGGTCACCGCAACCTCCTGGTCCATGGACCCCTCTCCCTGACACTCATGCTGCAACTCATGAACAACCATCTGGAAGCTCATACAAGGGGACAGCAGGTCGTCGAGTCTATTGAGTATCGGAATCTTGCGCCATTGTATTGTGACGAGGAAATGCGCATTTGCGGCCTGGAGAAGAAGACACTGCAAAATGGAAGCATATACGACTTGTGGATCGAAGGCCCGACAGGTGGTGTTGCTGTAAAAGGTACTGTCTACACGAAAATTCGGACACCTACTTCGGCTCCTGCGCCTACAAATGTACCCGGCAAGAATCCCAAATCGAGGAAGGTACGACAACGTGACAGGACAAGTGGCACACGAACGAGATCTAACAACAAAAATGACGGGGAAAATCCCGCTTGGCGGCGGCAAAATTTGAGAACCGAAAAAGCGAAGCCAACCGGAAGCAGCGAAGCAACTGGATCACCGATAGCCCCGAGTCTCAGTGCAACTTCAGTGTCTGAACCTTCAGCTCAACCCGAATGTGAGAAACCAATTGAACCTTTGTCTAATGAAATAACTTCTCAACCAACCTTCAGAGAAGTAACTGCATCATTGATGCGCATACCTGGCCCAGTGTCTCGTCGCAGGCCTACTCGTCTCAGAAGCCACCAATTCATCTCTCCTCCAACCAACTTTGCAGTACCTGTTCGCCCTGTACAAGCTCGTATTCCCGCAAAGCCAATCGTTTCAAGACAAACCAAACAGCTTTTGCGCCGACTCTTCCGCCAGACCACGCCTTCTGTTCGCATGCGACCCTTGCCGCTTGCCCGCAAGTATGCTGCTTCGCCGTATACAGGTGAATCGTGGAAGGACTTGAGAGGGAACCGATTTTTGAGGGAAGGTGTAAGGAGGGTCGAGAGGCTGAGGATCAGGTATGAGGGAGAGAGTCTGGCTCGTTGGCGTTGGAGACGACGGCTCGTGGATCACAACTAAGCTTACTCTACTCGCTGACTTGTTTTTAATATAAGGGTTTCTCGCCTCTTCTTTAGTGCATGAATATTAATTTAACATGTGCGCTATTTTGAAATGATGGCTTTCCTGATTGAAACCGTGACTTGTTTCCTGGGACGGAAAAGCCGTTGACAGTTGAAGAGTACAGTACGGCATTTGTATTTTAGCAAGACATGACACTAAAACTAAGAAGATAGTTCAGCTAAAAATTCAATACTCGATGTACGTATTTCAATGTATTAGGAAGTGTAAGCATGCCTCTATTGACCGATGGCTAGTCTAGTTCGTTACGCTATCATTACACATTCCGCCATCTATCATCCCACGCTTTTCTTGTTTCAACTATGAAATGATAACAAGCCATGCACACAGGCATGAAACAAATTAAACTTATCTCTAAGAATAATTCAGGAGTCTAAAAGTGGACGATTATGTATCCGTGCAATACAACGTATGGTTCTATCAAATGCAAGTAGAATGGACCAAAATCCACACAGTAACAGCAAAACGCCATTCCAATGGGTATAATGCCGCAAATGCAAAACAGCCAAAAAGAAAGAAAGCAAGAAACAGGGCTATTATCCCCTTGGGTATCTTAATCCAAATCCAAATGAGAGATATGAATAAAAAAAAAGAGAACAAAGCCCAAAAAACCCAAAAGTCACTAACGATGCATACATACACAGGCCAAACCGTATGCATCAAGACTGTGCTGCAAAAACAAAAAAAAGAACAAGTGACGTTACGGGGAGGAGAACATTGAAAACCGCTTCTGCTGCGTCCTCGGCGACGAAGTCGACACAACAGACCTGTGCGTGCCCGCGCGCATCAGCGGCGACGAGAGCGTGGCATTATGTGGCTCGACAGGGCCATCCTCTTCACCACGATTGAACCGATCAAATGTCTCGACCAACTGCTTGTAATTGTACAGCACGGGGGGCTCTTTTGTGTCCTTCTCATCGAGGAAGCCCTCGATGCTTCCCTTGAAGATTTTGTCGACGGTCGCGCGCCAGGAGCAGTGGTCGATGATGTCGCGGTACTTGTGGCTTTCACAGAGGTGGTCGTCGAGCCATTGGAGGTGCTCTGTGTCGGGTGCGTTGTCGCCAAAGCGGATGAATTGGATGCTGAAGTGGCGGTTACCGGTCTGTTGGCGGTCTTGTTCGGCGAAGGCCATGATGGCTTTGTGGAGGGGGGGTGGGTTGAGGATGATGTCGTGGTGGGAATTGGGGTTTTTGGCGACGAGGCGGAGGGCGGTGAGGCTTTCGGTGGACCATTTGCCGTCGGTGAAGACGTAGAGGGTTGTGGCTGGTTGGCGGTTGCGGTGCCATTCTTTGTAGATGTTCTCGAGAATCATGGTCATGTCGGTTGTTGCGTTGGGTTTTGGCTTGTGTTCGGGCCAGGCTGCTCGCAGCTTTTCTTTTAGTACCCTTCGCCCGTTTTCTCCTACAATGTCACTTGCGTTGTGTCGAGATCCCTCTACTGTGAAGCGGAGATCGATGCCGCTCTTGTCGATACCTGCAGCGTTCATCGCAAGTGTTTCGACGACAAAGGTTAGGATTGGCCAGTGCTCGAACATCGTCCAGCCGTTATCGATGACGAAAACCTGACAAACATCAGTCACTGTGATTGAGGAGAATTTGTTTAACCTTACCAGTTCACGACGATCCTTGGATATGTCCTTTAGGTTAGGGTCTGGCTTCCTAGTTTCTTTGCCCATTTTGCTTGCTAGCTTTGCAAGTCTTTTCTGCTTTTCGTTCTCTAGTTTTCTTCTTCTCTCGCAGATGCTGTATGGTAGGTACAATACGGATGCTGGGGGTGCTTGAACGAAGTCTACAGTCTCATGCGACATAGTTGTGCGATGACTCTTCATAGCGTGCTTTTCATCAAAATTCTCGCTCGGATATTGCGCTTTCATGTGTTCATTCACTGTGGGAGATTGGAAAATCCCAAGAGGATGTTTTGCATCAAAGGTCGTAACGTCGTCTGCATGACGCGTTGGGGTGCTGATTGGGTCGTACACCTGTTTGTCACCATAGGCAGAGCTTATGGTGCTTGAAGTTTTTGGTCTTGGGTCGCTGCTCTGCATGGTACCATATGTCTGCGCATGCTGTTCTAGAGGTGATAATTCCAAATGGATAGTGTTGCCAGAAGCTTTGAATCCAGGTGTATAAGGTGGAGATAGAGGAGCAATATGGGTATTGATCTGCGGAAGTGGGGGTGCGACGGACGTTGATTCTCCAGTCGAACTAGAAGATCCTCTGAAAGCGGTCTCAGATATCTTTTCCACGACCCTGTCTGATTTGCGTAGATTCGGATTGTCATGTTCACGAAAGGAGTCCGTTGTAGGTGCAGTTACATCAAGAACGAATGTTTTTTGATCGTGGACCTTGTTTCGCCGCTGAGTTGGCGTTGGTGTTGATGGAGCGGCTATCGGCCTGTCGGGTTCACTGTCTGTTGTGTTGCGTTGTGTGTCAGACTTGTGCTGGTCACTCTCTTGTAGATCGGGATTTCTGGGCTTCTTAGAGCGGCCACTAAATGGCAGCTCATACAGATCCGCGTTCTCGACAGGACTCTCAGTGACGGCGCCATTATGAACGCCAAGCATATGTTCTTTGTTTTCGGAGAGACTGTGGCTGCTCGCTTTTAGTTCTTGCCTTAGAATCTCTTTGCGGTATGGGGTTTGGCCTAGAGGCTTGCTCTTGATCATCTCCTCTTTGCGGACCTGCATCGATGCCCATTGTCGAGGATTAATCTGACTGGCGCCCGCTGGTATTGGTTCCTGTCGAGAGAATTTCATCTTCGTTTCTGAGACCCTCTGGATTCGGGCCTTATCTTCAATTTCGGAAAGTGCCTTGAGTACTACAGCGTCAGTCTCTTTTGAGTGCCCTTTCAAACGTGAAATCTCTTTCTCTGCCGAAATACGGATTTCTTGTAGCTTTTCGCAGAGCTTCTCAGAGTCAGGTCTCTTCTTCAAGTCTGCCTGAAGTAGCTCATCCTCTACCAAAACTAAGACTCGCTCCGTGGTAGTGTCCGAAGGGCGGAGGTGTCCTCTAAGGTAATTATGCCATTTCTGTATCTCTGGAAGAACATCCAAGCCGTTGTGGAATCGATCGTGAATTTCTCCGTTCTCACAGTTAGTAGGAGCAAGTTGTCGGAGTTGTTCATATTGGCGTATTCCCTGGAACCCCAACACTATCCAGGTCGCCGCCACAGATAATACACAGCCGAATGACCAGGTGTCGATTGATTGCGAAACACCTGAAAAAGTTCCATCTGGGTTTCTCATACGAAATACTTCGGGTGCGCCTAAGGAATCTCAGAAGGTATATCCACATTTTCACTGCTATCCTAACTTACCGTAGGTATCAGTGAACCCCCTGATGAGTTCTGTTGGGACTGAGCTGTCATGTCCTTCAATGACTGGAGCAAAACTCGAAAACCCGAAATCTGCCAGTTTCAACTTCTTTCGTATGCTGAGAATATTATCGGGTTTAATATCTGCGTGCCAGCTGATCACTTTTAGTTTGAACCCTGGGAAAGTTTCTTTCCAGTACATACCCATGGAATCTCCGTGGTTCGCTCTCACCACCTCGTGGGACTTCAAGATGGTGTACGTGACGAATGGCCTTGGCAATCTCGAAGAGCGAGTCCCATGTACGGAGAATCTCCTGAGCTCTCACAGGAGGAACATTGGTCTCATCCGCCCATGCTTGGTAGAGATCATGGTCCCCGTACTCTAGTAATAGATTATAGGTTTTTCCCATATCTTTACCTTCACCATAATCATGAGTGTAGGAACCCAGACACCGTAATATCGGTACGTCTTTCTTCGAGTCGAGGCCGGAGAAGGCTTCCTTTTCTAGCTCGAAATCTCTCTTTTTGTTTCCGCAATACGACTTGAGAACCATCTGATAGCACTAAATAGCATTTAGTATATGTATCAACAACGTTCTGGTTGGGAGTTTTACCTCGCCAAAATCATCATCTTCGTAAAGCGACTTTTGTAAAGCGTCTGTGAGGGCGGAGTCTGTGATTAAATCTTTTTGTACGGCCACCCAGTAGATTGAAGCAGTTCCTCCCTTGTCTGGAAGCTTGATCTTGCCACAAAAAGGTAGTATGACCTTCGTTCCATGTAGGTTGACGTCCATGTCCAAGGTCAAGTTCAACGGGCAGTATGCCCATTTGTCTCTGTGAAACTCTTGGATGATGCGATCCACTTCCTTTCGTGTGTGAACTTCAAGTAAGCTTTCGCGGAGATGGCGATCATCTTCGCTGCGTACAAGATATCTATCATTAATATCTGCGCGGTAAAAGCGTTCAATGAGATGGTGATGGCCTTGTTCGAGAAGCAAGCTAAGGACACGGCGGCAGGACTGTTCGCCAATAAAGATGTTTTGATACTTGACCTGGAAGGTTCGATGGGGCGCTGGAGGTGTTTCATCCAAAAATCGATGCCCTCTGGTCTGGCCAGGGCTCTCTGGGTGCTGCTCGTTCCACCACCTTTCGAGCGCATACACGTGGACAATTTTGCGCTGGCAACTACACGAGTCTCGAGGCTGACACTCGTTCTGGCATGCGACTGGACGGGTCCATTTTGATTTTAGAAGGTGTTTGAACTCGTCCTCGATACGTTGACGACGCTTCTGCTTTTTAGATACAGTCTGCATTCTGACGTGGTTCCAACCAGCGATCAGGCTGGCGACAGCGTCATGGAGTAACGGGCAAAAAGAAGTGGAGAAATGGTGGTCGATGCGAAAAGTAGGAATTTGTGTTCAGCTTTGTTGAATCGAAGTTGTCGGGTCGGTTGCGCAAAAGATGAGCCTGGTGACAAGCCAGTGGGAAGGAGATGGCAAGCAACGGGTAGTGGTTCTTGGAGCCGCAGTTTTGTGGGCGGGGTGCCTGGCTATTAGAGCCATAAGAACGAGGACATGTGCAGCTGGGGGCAGGTTCAGATTAAAGATTGCACCAATAGTTCCACGGAGGACTTTGGTGGCTGCAGCAAGCTGAGTACCCTGACAAGGCAGCAAGGCTGAGCGTTCGCTCCGCCGCCACAATTTTTTTCATCAAGCAACATGCGTAATCGAAATATTCGTGACAATTACAACAGGAAAAGTGAGATCGGGTTTCTGAAAAAAAAAACCGCGATATGGCGCTGCATCGTCTTGTAGATGGATGGTGTAAGCTGGCCATCTTCAGGAGTGAGATGTTGATAGACCAGGCTGCGTCAGTGAACGCTTCTTCGCTAAGCGCTCACGACCCCGCTTGGTAACTCGAAGGATAGCCTCCCGCTCCGGCCGTGTCGGCCTCGAACTCTAACCAAAAAAAGCCTTGACCGGGATCCCAGGTGTTTTTTGGTGGCAGTGCACGCCTCTTGCTGGCACTGTGTTGGATCATTCTTATGAAAATGAATATGGCGATTCTCTAATTACAAAACTCAAACAGAAGATAGAACACCAGAAAGATCGCCCATCTACCTCCGAATCAGCCTGTTTTTGGCGCTGTTGGCTTGTAGAACGGTAGAATGGCGCGATCACTACGAAACCATCGCAGAATCCGAGCAAACCTCTTAGTAGAACTGACCAAGCGCTTGGATATGCCTTTTTGAGCATTGGTATTAGAGTAGCCTTGGCTTGTTCCGGACGCTAGGGAAACACTTGTCGATGACGTCAGGCCAGGAATGATGTATTTCAGCCTCTCGAAGAACGTGAAATGTTCCACGGTACTGTTGAAGAAACGATAAGTCGACCAGGCTCCAAACAAAGTTAGGAAAGTCAAAGGGATAGTGACCTGAAGCCAACGCTCCAAAGCAAGGCTAGAGAAAGAGCCGTTTTCGGAATTGCCAGCATTCTGATCTTGATCCTGATATTTGATGACATCGGTGCCAAAAAACGTCTATGGTGCGTCAGAGAGAGAAGAGATCAAAGGGGTAATTTTCAGCTTACTGATACGAAAGTTGCTGGCAGGTACAGCAGCGTAACAATCGTGATGATCCGCATAACAACAGCCTCCCGTTCAAGATTCTTATTCAGCTGTTCAGTCCGGTCTGAAGCTTGACGGTGTAGATGCTGTAACACCAGTTCTTTTCTATCACTTATTATCTTCACCAGAAGTTTTGCTCGAGTTAACTGCATATCAAAGTCTCCCATGATCTCATCCAGCTGCGAAAAGAAGGCGTGAAAATGATCCTCGCAGTTTGTTTTTAACACGCTTGGAAAGTCCTCTCGAGACACCAGATTCTTGTAGAAGCTGTGTAGAGCACCCACAATTTTGGCGTTGGACTCCAGAACCATGACTACTGCATTGGCCTCATCTTGCCAGTGTTGCAAATCCTGTATGTCTTGTGGCTCGTATATCTCATATGCACACTCCTCCCTACGGAGGCCGTTCACGGCCATCCCACTCTGTGTTTCTCAACGTCAGCTTAAAATTGCACATGAATTAGAAAACTTACTTCTTGATGGATCACCCTCTCAAGCCACACTATGTACCATCTCCAGTCTTCGGTTGCCCAATGGCAATAGAGTAAATGCGTCACCAGTGTCGACCGGAAGCATGCTGACGGATTGTCATAATTTATATCCTCTGGTCGGCCTTCTGGTTTAGTCAAATCTGCATAACGCTCCAAGATGTCTTTCCCGCCTTTTGTAACAATCCAGAGCGTAGTGCCGTATTCGACATCGAATTTATGATAAATTGCGGCGTCTCGAATCGACCATACATTAAGCTTGATGTTCTCACGATCTCGCTTCTTGAGGTATACACCCTTCAAGTTGTAACTGAGTTGGAAGAGCTTGCCGCTTCGATTTAGCTCAGGGACTGCGTGTCCACTTGTTGGATTTCTGAGGCGTATTTGCTCTCGGAAACCACTAAACCGAGGATCGATGGCATCAGTCTGTCCCCCGAAGACGAGCATGAAGTCCAAATATACGGGCATGACTTGATGATACGACAGGATCTGACAAAGGCTTTCACGCGTTGTTTTCAGTTGGTCGCGCGAATTTTGTCCATACAGATATCTATGCTGTCAGCATCGGACTTGAGACCAGTGCAAAGTTGACCTACATGAACCTGCATTTTGGATCTTTCTTACGTGTCGTAAGTAGCTGCGTGTTCGCGTTGTTCAAGTTTTGTGCAGTGGCGACACCGAGCCATTCAGTAAGTTTTGCCGGACTATGTATGTTTCTCTTGTCCCGCACTGGACTCGTTAGCAATGTTCAAGTGATTCAAAAGGCGAATTACCTTTCCCATCACTGGTGTCCAGGTCAATAACAGGAATCTCAAAAAAATTCTCAACTTCGTCCTTAGTAGAACCAAGGCAAAGATCTACCTCAGCGTCGTCCAAGCGTTCCTTGTATGAGACAAGTTTCGACTTGTATGTTGCGATGCCACTTGGAATAAGGTTTTCCGGATAGTTGGCGCTGTCAAGGTAGGATTTCTGCAGTTCTACTGATAGTGGGTACATTGTATGCCTATTTAACACTAGCGTAAAAATACGCAACTATGAATTATGATTATCAACAGAGAGGTACGAGAGAAAACCATGATATTTGAAGGATGATCCCTCAGCGAGGCGCAGCAAATCTGCCTTGTGGCGTGTAGTTTACATGTGGGAAGGCGCTCTAGGGAATGCAAGACCCCGCCCCCGTGCACCCGAGGCCGCCTCCTCACTGGTGCCGAAGCTTCTTCCTGATACACAAGATGCAAGCGACTGATCACATGGATGCTATGGACTAAAAGCCACGCGCCGGCATTTTGAATCATACTATGAAGACGAGACTCGGCCTTGCTCTTGTTGGGGCTTTCGTTCCTCAGGCTCTGGTGACACAGAGGGCGATCTCGTCCGCCCAGACACATCTCTTCGCTTTCTCAGCTCTCTCTTCTCCTCCTGAAACCAAATTAGTCACGCGCTCGCGAATACTAGGCAATAGAATCACCTCGGTCAGCCTCACGGGCACTTCAAATAGCCAGTTGCCATTGAACTGGGAGGCTTGTCAGTCCAGTGTTTTGCAACCTGCTGTCCAGACACAACATACAACTCTTGGTTTGAAATCCCAGTCCGGCCATTTGGTTTTCAAGTATTCTTCAATCTTATCCCATCCGAAATCGTCATATGCGGTGAACGTTTCTTGGACCCGGCCGCTCCATTTTGCAGATGGAAGCCTAGGCTTGCGTTGAGCTTGCCTCGCGCGCTCCAACTCCGGGTCAGCAGCTCGACGAAATGGCGGCATCTGGACGTCACTCCTTTCTTGTGGGTTGATCGTGGCGCACGTTCAGGCAGAATAAGTCAGCGGTGCTTGTGATGCACTCGATGTTGTGAACCCGGGCGGTAGGCTGACAGCTGCGGCTGTGTATCTTCAACGTGCTCCTTCGTAACTCTGCGAGTGGAAGGCTGGAGGCGAAACTATATGCTTCTGTGTATGAGCGGCCTCAGCCTTATGACTCACCCAGGAAGCATCTGACGATGCGTGCAACTGCTCTAAGGAGGACGCCAAAGCGCATTTCCTATGCAAGACGCATCACATCTGCGAGTGGCAATTGCGCGACTTTGCATGATGGGTTTCGTGCAAAGCGGAGAAACTGTCGTTCAGCTGAGACGCCACGGCTGACCGGTTTAGTTTGCCTATTTGCCTGATATGAATGGTGCCGTGCATAACCTGACTATTGGCCACTGTGTTACAAATGGTGTAGCTGTACGCATGTCTCAAGCAATCACAAGCGATCCTTTTTTTTCTATGCCGAAATCAGAACGCTCAGAGCATAGATGCGTCGGAACAAAGTCCATGATTCGTGTTGCAAAACTGTTGCTTGCCCATCACCGAATCGAATGACATTTAAAGGATAACTAGAGGATATGGATCCAAAACACGGCAAAGGTAAAGAAAATTGGCGAACGAGGGTAGATGATGATGTATTGATATGCCGCGTGGCTGTCGAGGCGATCCGCGGAAGAACCATACCCTGGAAGATACCGGTGCGCCGAAACCCGAGCAGAAGCTACACAGCCTGGAGAGGTCGTTTGTAGCAGCTATAAACCCGTACCACTCATTTCCACTGTTTATGCAATCTCGTATATCCTTTCTTTAAGCTCCCAATGCGCCAGAAAATACAGAAGAGTCCTGCATTGTTAAGGAGACAACGATAATAGAAGCAAAGAATCTTTTCTCGCGAAACACACTGGCTAACACCAAGAGTTCTTGCTTACGAGTCGTTTTATGTTCCTAAATACGGAAATTTGGTAAAAATTGTGTAGTCTCCGGAAATGAAGTTCCTGAAGTAACTTTGAGCTGGAGAGATATGATGGCAGGCAAGCTATCATGGCGTATGCAGGAAACGTACTCACATTACACAGCTCGAGAGAAGGAAAATGAAATAAAGGGAATCAAGGAATACCAAGGAAAATATACTCAGAGTCCTCTAAACAGGGAAGGCTATTGTAGAACCAAACAACGCAAGGCTGAAAGAGCTAGACACAGGGTACGGGGAAAATCTAGGGGGCTTCATAATGAAGTTGACCTGAGCGGAGAGACAGGAAAGTGATCGAGAAGTTTGGCAGGGCAGTAAACCTAAGATCCGACCAGCGAGAAGTTTTTTTCACGTTCGGCACCGGCTTGAAGTCGATCAAGCGTGATATGTTGCTGTTGAGTCGGAAGGTGGTAGCACATCCGTATGCTTAAGCATCAGTATACAACAGCGCTCACAGCTATCACGAGGCCAAAACTTGTATCTTGGGTACAAGCAGTTACTTTACTCAATTGCATCAATTCTTGAAAAATGGTCAAGGGCAATGTGAGGCTGTAGGCGGAGCGACGGTGTTAAAGCCGAGGCTAGTGGTGATGTGGTCCGAGCGTGGACTTCTCGATGATTCCTTGGAATTTTCTACACATATGGCAGCGTCCATTTCTTCTCCACAATCCCCCTCTGCACCCAATCTCTCTTCTCGGTTACCTTGCATTGAGCTGGAGTCTAGGAGCATTGTTTGAGCCTCGCTACCGCCACCTACACATTTCAATTCCGTCACAATGCAAAGAGCTTTCGCTTCGCGGGCGCGGACTTCGGCCCTAAATTCGACCTCTAAGCTTCGCACCACCAGCTTGAGCCTCCAGCAACAGAGATTTGCGCACAAGGTATGCTTTCGCCAGATGTACTCTCTAATTGACTAGCAGAAATTAATTCATGTACAGGAGCTCAAGTTTGGCGTCGAGGCACGAGCGGGACTGCTCAAGGGTGTCGACACACTGGCAAAGGCTGTATCAACAACACTCGGTCCCAAGGGTCGCAACGTGTTGATTGAGTCAAGCTATGGCTCTCCCAAGATCACCAAGGGTATGCACATTCTGGCCGTCTTTTCCCGAATCGTCCGCTGACAGAGCTTCAGATGGTGTAACTGTCGCAAAGGCCATTACCCTCCAAGACAAGTTCGAAAACCTTGGAGCCCGCCTGCTTCAGGATGTTGCCAGCAAGACCAACGAAGCTGCTGGTGACGGAACCACTACCGCTACTGTCCTTGCCCGCGCCATCTTCTCCGAGACTGTTAAGAACGTTGCCGCCGGATGCAACCCAATGGACCTGAGGCGGGGTACCCAGGCCGCCGTCGAGGCCGTTGTCGACTACCTAAAGGCAAACAAGAGGGACATTACCACCAGCGAGGAAATTGCACAGGTCGCTACTATCTCTGCCAACGGCGACACACACATTGGCAAGCTCCTGTCCAACGCAATGGAGAAGGTTGGAAAGGAGGGTGTCATTACCGTCAAGGAGGGCAAGACAACCGAGGACGAGCTGGAGGTCACTGAGGGTATGAAGTTCGACCGTGGTTACATCTCCCCTTACTTCATCACCGACACCAAGACTGCCAAGGTCGAGTTTGAGAAGCCCCTCATCCTCCTTTCCGAGAAGAAGATTTCTGCTGTCCAGGACATTGTCCCCGCGCTTGAGGCTTCCCAGCAACTCCGCCGCCCTCTTGTCATCATTGCTGAGGACATTGACGGCGAAGCGCTTGCTGTGTGCATTCTCAACAAGCTTCGTGGCCAGCTTCAAGTTGCTGCTGTCAAGGCCCCTGGTTTCGGTGACAACAGGAAATCCATCCTTGGCGATCTTGCTGTCTTGACCAACGGTACTGTCTTCAGCGACGATCTTGACATTAAGCTCGAGAAGGCTACTCCGGACATGCTGGGTTCTACCGGATCCATCACCATCACCAAGGAGGATACTGTCATTCTGAACGGTGAGGGCAGCAAGGACCAGGTCTCGCAGCGTTGTGAGCAAATCCGTGGTGTCATTAACGACCCGACCACATCCGAGTACGAGAAGGAGAAGCTGCAGGAGCGTCTTGCCAAGCTCTCTGGTGGTGTTGCCGTCATCAAGGTTGGTGGCTCCTCCGAGGTTGAGGTTGGCGAGAAGAAGGACCGCATCGTTGATGCCCTCAACGCCACCCGTGCCGCTGTCGAAGAGGGAATTCTGCCTGGTGGTGGTACCGGTCTCCTCAAGGCTTCCGCCAACGCTCTCGACTCGGTCAAGGCGCACAACTTCGACCAGCAACTTGGCATAACCATTGTCAAGAACGCCATTACCCACCCTGCCCGCAAGATCGTCGAGAACGCCGGTGCTGAAGGCTCTGTCATTGTAGGTAAGCTCATCGACGAGCACAAGAACGACTTCAACAAGGGATTCAACAGCGCCAAGGGCGAGTACGTCGACATGATTGCTGCTGGTATTCTGGACCCCTTCAAGGTCGTCCGCACTGCCCTTGTCGATGCCAGCGGTGTTGCCTCGCTCCTCGGTACCACTGAGGTTGCTATTGTTGAGGCGCCCGAGGAGAAGGCCGGTCCTCCAGGTGGCATGCCTGGCGGCATGGGAGGCATGGGCGGAATGGGCGGAATGGGCTTCTAAGCAGCTGAAGCCTGACCGTCTATTTTCTTCTTCTTATACCCCCATTTCGTTATTATGACTTTAGTCTTACGTCTCTCCCAGTGATGGCTTATGTACACGATATTGAGTTGGTCTCCGCTCCTCAGTCACGGTTTTTCTCTCAAAAGCACGGCATATTGATTATTTGATGTTTTTTTTGTACAATACTGTGTATCTAGAAGTCGTCCTGGGAAGGGCGAGATGTAAAAAGCGACGAAGGAAATGTGAACCAGTTCAAAGACATGTACTACCTGAATGTTTTGATGTGTTGACATTGGGCAGCAGAGAGTGGATGTGGTGGCCGGGGTTTAGGCCGACGGTCGGTTGCTGCGGCGGCGCGGCGCAGGCAAATAAACCGGACGAGGAGTGACCCCACTAGGTACGTCGCTTGGAAAATAACCCCACTACTTGCCTCATCAGCCTCAGCAACACCGCTCCTCCACCTCCGCCCTCCCTCCTGTAAACACGCCATCCACAACAATCAGTCTTCTCCATTGACGTAAGCTGCACCCGCCTCCTCCAAACAGCCCGACTGCTGCTTCCCGCTGCCTAGCTGTGCTGCGGCAATCGCAGTCCATGATGACGAAGCTGACAGGCAACACAGTACTGATAAAGCTGCCTGGTGTCTTGAACCTCCCTTTCGCATACTCGACACTTCACACACAACATCATGGTAAGGCTTGTGCACATTGTCCACCCAACCACTGGCGCTGACTGGATTTGCAGGCTCAATCCGGGTACGTAGTGATCGCTTCGGACAACACCGCATGAACGGCAGCCGCCGCCCGACACTCACACGCGCAATCCCGCCTTGATATCAATCTTCCCAACACCCTAGCGCGCCCTCCAAACGACTTTCTCTCTTGATACTAATACTGTCACAGTGTCTCCGTCTCGCCCGAGTGCATTAGCACCTTCAACGAGCTCAAGCTCGGCAAGGATATCAAGTGGATCATCTACAAGATCAGCGATGACTGGAAGGAGATTGTCGTTGAGGAGACTTCCAAGGAGGCCAATTTTGACGTATTCCGCGAGAAGCTTCTCAACGCCAAGAGCAAGGACCGTAAGGGCAAGGAGGGCATTGGCGGTCGCTATGCCGTCTTCGATGTTGAATACGATCTTGAAAGTGGCGAGGGATCAAGGAGCAAAATCACTTTTATCAGCTGGACGCCCGATGATGCGCCACAATACGTACGTAAAAACCTAAACAACGACAGGTTTGACATGAGAGTCTCGACTAACGCTGCATACAGCCCCGCATGATGTACTCATCCTCCAAGGAAGCTATCAAACGTTCTCTCAACGGTCTCGCTGCCGACATCCAAGCCAACGACGCCGACGACCTCGAGTTTGAGAACATCAAGAGCCGTGTCTCCAAGGGCCGCTAAGGGCCTCTTCGTCTGGCCGGCCGCGTTGGACCTGCGCAAACCATCACGGGAGGACGCCGTGAGTTTGAATGTCACGAAGATATAAAGTCGAGTGATTAATTTGGTAGCGTGTCATGTCATAGCGACTTTTCAGCAATGGAATGAAAATGATTAAAGCGACGATTTGCGTGCATTAGCATTGCTGGGCTTTGTTTTGAATGATTAGGCATGGCATGCTTTTGACGGGCTTAAAACCGGTTAAGTCGTACTTGGTCAACGTGTCTTTGGTATCTTTTTGTTTGGATAACGTGACGTGATGGCATGGCCATCTGCTTCATTTCTTCCAGTTGCATGTGAACCAGCTGTTCAGAGATGCTAATTACTTGTTTTGCTCCCAAGCGGCCTTGAATACACCAACTAGTCTCTCACCCTCTTCTGCATCCTTGGTCCGTTGTAATATGAATGTCTTCAGATCTCCCCAGAACTCGTCGGTAGCGACGATATCCTTCCCACTTACAGCTCCTGCAACTGCGGAGGAAGCCCCGGCAGATGACTCCCCCGCGCTAGCCAGGCCTTTCTCACTCTCTGTTGGCGGCGCAACAGCAGGGGGGCTTGTCACCGGGGTGCCTCCAGCCGCGGGGCTACCTGAAGCTGCCGCAGCACCTGCCATCACCATGACACCAAACTCAACCTCGGCACCAGCATCAGTACCTATTACCTCTATCAGAGTCTTTGAATCCGTGACAGGCTTCTTCTTGTATAAGATCTTGATCTTGGCTGCCGATAACGAGGCCTGCGTCGCATACTGCTGCTTCAGATCGTACACGGAGGTTTTGGAAGGGTCGATGGCGGAGAGAGGGATTGTAGGCGTCGAAGGCTTCATGGGCTTCAGCGTCACTGTGATGGTCGAGGCAGATGTAGAGGCATCGGCGCTGTCTGTAGACTTGGGGTTTGGGCGTTGTGGGTGGGGTGGGTGTGGGAGGCGGGGGAGTGTGTACTATATGGACATGTTTAGTTGATAAATAGATATATTGGGATTTGATAGAACGTACCGCGCCCTGCGCAGGATACTGTCGCGCATCTGCAATGTGGTCTGAAGAGAGCTTAATTGGGCGCGCGTCGAGAGCGCTCAGAAACGACTTGCAGAATGCGAATTCTGACATCGTGGGCTACAATCGAGTTTACTGATTTGGGCGCTGCTGTTGCGATGTCCTTGCAGGTATATGGAGCAGTGTCCGTAGTGTAAACAACGGGATGCTCCGTGTTAGTTGTTGCGAACAGCTCCAGTCCGATGACGCTGTTTGGAGAGATGCGGGACAGTGGGCTGGAACCAGGGCCAAATCGCGCTAACCCGAAGGAGGTCCGCTAGCGTGGAAAAAGTTCCCCAAAATCTAGCAGCAAAAGTTCCAAAGTTCGCGCAGGTGTCGGTTCCACCAATTCCTCAACAACATCCTCTCTTTTTTTTTGTATCTCACCCAAGGATTTCCGTACAACATCGGTCGCCATGGGTCAAGGTCGCCGTATGAAGAAGCAGGGTATTCCTGAGCCCCTCGATGAATCGCTGGTAACGAGGAAGCGAAAAGATGCGCCTGCGCCTGCCGAACCAGAGCGCAAAAAGAGGAGTAGGACAGCTGCTAGGGAAGCTAGAGAGGCCAAGGCGAAAGCTCAGCCCAAGACAAGAGTCGCAGGAAAGCCCGTAAAGACGGCCGCTGCTGTTGTCAACGGAGCAAAAGCCAAAGCAAAGGCCGCAAAGGCTGCTCCGCCTCCACCGTCCGATGACGAAGACGACGAAGACGTTTCCGAAGACGACTCTGAAATGATGGATGATTCCGACATCAACGTTACCGGACTCGATGCGCTCGGTAGCGCGTCCGAAGGCGAAGAGTCAATCGACGAAGACGAATTCGACTCGGATATTGTAGACTCGGATACCGATATCAGGAAGGGCGCTGCGATGTGGTCAGAAGACGAGGACGACTCGGATGCCGAGGAGAAGCTTACAGCAGCCAACATTGCTGGACTGTCTAGGAAGTTGGATGAGCAAAAAGCGATTGAAGAGGCTGAGGCGCAAGCTGAATTGGAAGAGAATATGCAGACCAACATTGTTGGGGAGAGGCCGAAGATTCTTGAGGATGAGGAGGATGAAGACGGCAGGCCGATTACGAACCTTGTCAACCAGGACATTCAATTGCTGAGGACAAGATTGACCGACACTATTCGTGTTTTGGATGATTTCAAGAATCTGGCTGAGGAGGGCCGAAGCAGGGCAGAGTACAGAGCGTCGCTTCTCAAGGATATCTGCGCTTACTACGGTATGTTGCAAATACAAGAGCTGGTATGGTGGTGAGTTTCAAGCTGATTAGATTTAGGCTATTCCGAGTTCCTAGCAGACAAGCTTCTGAGCCTTTTCCCACCTCGCGAAGCTCAAGCTTTCTTCGAGGCCAACGAGACTCCACGACCCATCGTCATCCGTACCAACACCCTCCGCACTCATCGAAGAGACCTCGCGCAAGCACTCATCAACCGTGGTGTGCAGCTCGAGCCTGTCGGCAAGTGGTCAAAGGTCGGACTTCAGATCTTCGATGCACAAGTGCCGCTGGGTGCTACTCCGGAGTATCTTGCTGGACACTACATTCTACAGGCCGCGTCATCGTTCTTGCCCGTTATGGCTCTTGCGCCACAGGAGAACGAGCGAGTACTAGATGTGAGTAGCGTTGGGATCTCTATCTTGCAACTTGATACTAATACAATTTGAACCAGATGGCTGCTGCTCCTGGTGGTAAAACAACGCATTTAGCAGCACTCATGAAGAACACAGGTTGTATCTTCGCCAACGATGCCAACAAAGACCGTGCCAAGGGTCTGATAGGAAACATCCACCGTCTGGGTGCGAGAAACGTGATTGTATCCCACTACTCGGCTTTGGAGTTCCCCAGGGTCATGAGTGGCTTCGACCGTGTGCTGCTCGATGCGCCTTGCTCGGGTACTGGTGTTATCGCCAAGGATGCCAGTGTCAAGACCAATAAGACCGAGGCCGATTTCATGAAGCTACCCCATCTACAGAAGCAATTGCTGCTTGCTGCCATTGACTCTGTCAACCATCACTCTAAGACCGGCGGTTATATTGTTTACAGTACTTGTTCCGTTACTGTCGAGGAAAACGAGCAGGTTGTACAATATGCGCTCAACAAGAGACCTAATGTCAAGCTTGTGGAGACTGGCCTTACTTTTGGTAAGGAGGGTTTCACAAGGATTGGAGGCAAGACATTCCATCCCTCGATGAAGGTAGGATTTGTCCCAGTTCCAGGGAGACTTGAATGATTTATATTAATGTCTCGGCAGATGACCAGGAGGTACTACCCTCACACTTACAATGTTGACGGTTTCTTTGTCGCCAAGTTCAAGAAGATTGGCCCTACACCACCTAACGCTATTGGCGCCAACGAGGCTACCAAGACCAACGGTGCACGCAACTCAGACGCAACCACCGAGGTTGAAATCGTCGATCGCACTCCCATCGGTGCCGACAGTGACGAAGAATCAGATTTCGGTGGATTCGATGAGGAAGAGGATCAGAAGTACATCGAGAAAGCCCAGGCCAAGTCGATGCGCAAGAAGGGCAAGGATCCCAGGGCTATTGTGCCAAAAACGGACAAGGGTACGAATGGAGCATCAAAAGAGAAGAACAGCCATGTGAGCGCAAAGGAGAAAGCAGGTCGCAAAGAGAAGAAGGGCGGCGGTGTTGAAGTAGCAACTGAGGTTGCGACAAAGGCCAAATCTAACGGTGTGACTGCGAAAGAGACAAAAGGTGAGTCGAAGAAGGGGCGAAGAAAGAGCGGGGAAAAGAAGGGTAAGGCGTAGTGTGTTTTCTTACCGGATCGCGATGGATGTCTTAGCAAATGGAGGCGTGTCAACCGTCCCACTGGATACCCAATGCAGGTGTAGCGTAAAAGACGTCGCGTACTTTATGAAAGCGTATGAACAGGCCTTTACGTACTAGTAGTTTCCCTTAGCCAGGCTGTCAGGATTCGCTAGCATTGTTACACTTTGTCGCTATTGCATGATCTGGACAAGTTACCGACGGTCTCTAGTATTGGCCCATCGTCGTGCCGCGTACTAAACTCTAGTTTTGATGCAAAGCCCGCGATGCATCTTCGCGTCTTCTAACGGTGACACCGGCTGTCGACAGATTGGCCATCATCATCTTGGGCTCAAAACGGGCCGATCGTACTCCGCAAACTTAACCCCAGAACCGCCTCCACTTACTTCAGCTTACTTATATACACGACAGAACTAGTATTTACCTCAGGCTCATCGTTCCGATATCCGACGAATGGTCGTCCCGGGCATTCCTATCTCACTTCGTTCGTCATTGCAACGGTTGCAAGTGACATGGACAGGGTGCAGCGTCAGCATGCCCGATGTCTTGGTAAGTCCCACCCAGGTCAGCACGCCGAGCCTCAGCAAGCAGAGGATTCCTGGGCAACAAACTCGAAGCACACCAAGTCTTGGACATCACGAGAGCGTTCCCCGCCGCGGTCATCCTCATGTTTGACTCGCAATTGCACACCTAGGGCAGAGACAAGATGACGCTAGCCGGCGCCCGCTGCGTCTGCCACGCCAGCTGCCAAGGGAAAAGACACGATCGGAGCGCACAAAGAACAGAGTTCAAATCGCCCGCGCGACACGACGTGCGCAATTATTCTCCCAGGACCGAGAAACGTTCCGACCGGGGGACCCTCCAATTGCCGCTTCCCTCCTCCTGTCCCTGCGACTTGGGCGCGCAGAATCACAGTCGGCCCGCAGAGTGCTTGTAGCAAAAACCCTACCCGATATGCAACCTCGTCCAACCAGGGTCTGGAAAAGGTTTTTTTCGCGCGTCTCGGCTGCAAAACCATTGCCACGTTCCGTAACCACGTCCGCACACGGCCCTCGCCGCGAATGGCAAGCTCGCCATGCTTTTCGAGGGCAAATGTGCCGAGCCTCACTTGGCCTTGTCCCCCATCCATCTTTACTATCTTGTCTTGGTTTTCTTTCTCACTCGACTTTTTTTCTCTTCTTTTTCATCGGTCTATGCAACTGGGATGACGGAGGTTTTTCGACGTTAAACTGACATTATCGCGATTAGTCTTAGCCGTCGGCGCATTTACCAGCCTTCGACGTATGTGGCACGGAGGCAGCCATATAAATCCGGGGTAGTTCAGCCAGGCCCATGTTGAGTGGTTGCGACTCCATGCGGGGATGGCTAGTGCAAGTCTCCCCATCCTTGTCGACTGAGACCGAGGCTGGACATGGATTGACGGGGGCGCGCGTCTCGTGAGATTGTTGTTAGTGTGTCCAGCAGGGGTGCTTCATTGGAGCCCCAGGCCGGAATGGAGAGCTCTCGCCCGGACTGGCGTTTTGAGATAAAAGCATCCTGCGCGCGCGCTTCTCTCCGAGCTACCTTGTTCATCCTGTTGTTCCAAGGGCTTGCGACCTTTACGTTTATCTTACCCAGTTTATATATCTTGAGTTGCACCTTGACATCATGGGTATTATGCTTAAGCCCCCGCCAGATGTGCCTGGCAAGGCATGGTGTGTTTGCTCAAACCCTTTCCCCCGCAATCATAGCTAAACGTTACACAGGCCAGCCATTCTAATCGGTCTTTTCGTTGCCTTTGGTGGTGTACTCTACGGGTGAGTTTGAAATATGTGATGCTGGTGGTCGACTCTGTCTAATTTGCACAGATATGATACTGGTACCATTTCCGGTATTATTGCCATGCCCTATTGGAAGAAGGAATTCTCCACAGAGCCAGACTACAGTATCACTGCATCCCAAGATTCGTTAATTGTGTCCATTCTCTCGGCCGGTACCTTTTTTGGTGCTCTGACAGCAGCTCCATTTGGTGACTTTCTTGGAAGACGTTGGGGTTTGATCATCTCAGCCGGTGTGGTCTTCAATATGGGTGTTGTTATGCAAACTGCTTCGACCGCACAGCCTCTTTTCATTGCTGGCCGTTTCTTCGCTGGATACGGGGTTGGTCTTATTTCTGCGCTCAGTAAGTCTTCTTTGTTCCCGCCAATTTTCCAGCCCGGGGCTAACGGCTTTACAGTTCCTATGTACCAAAGTGAAACTGCGCCAAAATGGATTCGTGGAACAATTGTCGGAGCGTACCAGTTGGCTATCACTATTGGACTGTTCCTGGCTGCCATCGTAAACAATTCGACCAAGAACCGTCAAGACTCGGGATCGTACCGTATCCCCATTGCTGTTCAATTCGCCTGGTCTATCATCTTGGTTGGCGGGTATGTTCTCTTCTTCAAAGCAATGAATTACAGTGGCTAACATGGATTTTCAGACTTCTCTTCCTCCCAGAGACCCCGCGATACCTTATCAAGATGGACAAATACGACGAAGCAGCGAAGAGTCTTGGACAACTCCGCCGCTTGCCTGTTGACCACCCCGCTGTTGTTGAGGAGCTCAACGAAGTGCAAGCCAACCATCTCTACGAAATGTCACTGGGCAAATCGACATACATTGAGTGCTTCCAGGGCACATTGGGCAAGCGACTGTTGACGGGATGTTTGTTGCAATCGTTACAACAGTTGACTGGTGTTAACTTCATTTTCTGTAGGTATTCCATCATTTGGGATCTGTAATAAATTACTAACGATAGTAAGACTACGGAACTCAGTACTTCCAGAGGGCTGGATTCCAGAATCCTTTCATCATTCAGGTCATCACCAACTCCGTCAACGTCGCTTCTACTTTCCGTAGGTTTCACTCGATAACTTCAGCATCTGCTAGTTACTGACTTTTCTGTGTAGCTGGTCTCTGGATGGTTGAGCGCCTCGGCCGACGTAACCTCCTCTTGCTCGGAGCTGTTGGCATGTGCGTATGCCAGTACATTGTCGCCATCACCGGAACGGTCGCCGGAACTACCGATTTGCCCTCTCAACGTGCTGCCATCGCTTTCGTGTGCATCTATATCTTCTTCTTCGCTAGCTCTTGGGGACCGGTTGCGTGGGTCGTGACTGGCGAGCTTTTCCCTCTCAAGGCTCGTGCCAAGTGCCTTTCCATGACTACTGCGAGCAACTGGTAAGACATACCAACGGATCTGGAAAGCAATTTGGCTAACCAAGATATTCACAGGCTACTCAACTGGGCTATTGCTTACTCGACTCCCTACATGGTCGACCCTGACCATGCCAACTTGCAATCCAAGGTGTTCTTCATCTGGGGAAGTTTCTGCTTTGTCTGCATCGGTTTTGTGTAAGTGGTCATCTCTCGATTGCTTGTAGATCTTTGACTGCATATCTGAAATGAACCGCGCTAACATACTCGCTCCTACAGTTGGGCCATGATCTACGAAACCAAGGGCCTCACCCTCGAACAAGTCGATGAACTCTACGGTATTGTTGGAAAGGCGTGGAAGTCCAAGGAGTTCCGCCCTGCCATCTCGTATGCCGATATGGATCCTTCTGTCGCCCGCAACGTTAGCCTCAGCGAGGTTGCGGCCAACCAGGAGAGGAAGCGCAGCATTGCGCACGAGGAGGCAGCTCCCGTTACTGAAAACCAGGCTGCCAAGGTCTAGATGTCTTCCTGGGGAACCACACATACATATATATAGTAAACCGGGAGCGCTCAAACTGGCCCCAGCAGGGCGAAACAAACAAAGTAAAGAAATCGCGGAGGAGAGGTAATTTAATCGAGCACAGCAAATCAATGCATATACGCGTGCATCATACATACTGCAAACCTAATAAAACCCACCATGTGACTTCTACACCCTTCCTTTCCAACCCACCCTACTACTCTTAAAACATCCCTTCACGGCGTATAAAAACCCCTACTCCACTTCTCTCTCTCCCTCTCACTTTTCCTCGCCCCTCCTCCCTCCTTCCTCCCCCTCACCTCCTCCTGCCGATGCTGCTTCATCATCATCATCATCTCCTCCCCCTTCCTCTTAACCCTATCCAACGCAACAAGAATCCTATACCCAACCCCCGGCTCATCTCCCCTGCCCCCTTCCCCCACAAAATCTCTCACCCTCAACTTTTCCTGCCCGGGTACGTACGCTCTTTTGCCGCGTATGCCGAGCGGCAGCGCGTTTCCGGGTAAGAAGGGGTTGCGGAAGATGTGAGGGAGGCGGAGGCGTTGGAGGGTGGAGAGGGAGGGGGGAGGGCGGTTGTTGGGGTATTCTTGGGTGATGCGGTTGCGGTTCATGGCTTGATAGTTTGGTATGATTATTATTATTGTTGTTGTTGTTGTTCTGGCAGAGATGGTGGGCTTATAAGTAGAGAAGAGGACATGCGGCGGGTATATGTATACCCAGGTGTGGTGGAAGTTTGGCATCGTGAAGGTAAGGAGAAGACGTGGTTTGCCGAAGGGTTGGGGATTTCACGGCGGATTGGTGCGTTGGAGGTGTATTGGCGTGACACGTGTATAGAGGATGAATGCAATGGGTGTGAATGTATGGGGTGGCGGTGGTGGTGTGGTATTCACGTGTTGTGGGAAAGTCACGTACCTTGATTGACCTATGATCCAGAGACTTAAGAGTTGAAGGAAATCCATCGTATACATGTGCTGCCAGACATTAAATAGTGATAACCGTCTATACATGTGGATACGCCTTAACATCCACAATCGTCTGGGCATCACAGGAGAATTGCATCAGTCTTTTTGAAATAAGCAATTATGTGACCATTTGTGACTGAACCAAAAGAAACTACATATCTCTGCAGCGCAATCAAGTTCCCTCTCAAGATAACCAAGTCGTGATATTCCTTCAGGGTATCTACGCTGGCCAAGATAATATGTGGAAAATCGCATCATTTCCATCATGTCCAAAAGACATTGCTCAAGTGTGCACCAAAGCAGACGAGGTATTGTCAAGCCAGGATTGCTTTTGAGTCGTCGAGAAGAAATCAATAGCTTTTCAATCGTTCTGCAATGTAAGCGGGTTTGTGCAAGCAAGGTGAAGCAATGGAGAACATGGATCGTGGAAGATAAAGGTCATCAAGTCGTAATGGTCGTCGAAAGCACTGAAGTGATATAGTCAGAAAAGCGTTCAGTCAATGTGCTGATAAAAGGCTTACATGCATGGAATCATCATCGCCCTAGGAGGGTGTGCATGGAGAGCTGAAAAGCTCAGTCGAAGTAGTGGGGGCTGTATTGCTGCACCTCAGGAGCTTCGGTCTTGAAGATGTCACCAAGTGGCTCCTGGCTGTTGTGACCCGCAGAGTAAGCCGCATAGTCAGTAAACTCGGAGAAGTCAACAGAGTGCAGCTGGTGACGATCAACTGGGTTGGAATCTTGGTTGTACTCGACATTACCTCCATGAGGATTTCCATAGACCTGGGTTGCCTGGTGCGGCATATCAGTGAGAAAATCACTACCAAAAGGGTTATTCTCTGGAGTGATGATGTCCTCAAACGAACGCAACTGGTCAGTAGTGCCCATGACGAAGTGGTCTTGGTCGATCAAGCGATCATCGACAACGATATGGTTGCGGTTGTAGAGCTTGCGTTGCTCTACCGAGTCGGCAGACTCCTCAGCCATGTTTGGGAAAGACGCTGCATCGAGACCGAAGCCCATATGTGCGTGCTTTCCAGTATCATGACCCATCTGAACCTGGCTTCCAGGATTTCCATAGGCAGGGGCAAAGAGATAGGCCATGTTCGTATTGTCGTTCAGGTTGTGATGTTCGACCTTGGAAGTCCACTCCTGGGGCTGGTGCATTGAATGCAGATGAGTTTGGCGGAGAGGCTGCTGAATAGTGGTGTGCTGAGCACCTGAAAACATGTCTGAGGGAAGCTTGATCTCTGGCTGCTTGGCAGCATTAAGACGCATATCATCGACGCCGCGACGCGGGATCTTGAGCTTCACGATAAGAGAGTCGGCGCGCTTGCGTGAACGGGTCTTAGCCGGGGGCTGAACCTGCGTAGACTGTGTATTAGCAATGGGCGATAGAGAGCTTCCACTTCTATTCTTGCGTGTCCAGGCCATCTTCAGTGTGGGGATGCGATTGCCGTCCGCAACCTGCTTGCCACGCAACTTCAATACAGCCTGTTGAAGCGCGCTCGCAGTGCAGTTTTTGCCAACAACCTGGGCAGCTTGCTCGAATGGGATTTGGATGCCCTTCTCGCCGCACGCCCAGACAATCCCGAGGACAGCATTCTTCCAGTCGTTGTCGGTCCACTTTAGAAGCTTGGGACGAGGCTGCCGAGGTTTGCGAGGTGCACCATCTTTATTGATCTTTGTTGCCTTGGATGGCAGGTGGTCCTCGAAAACACTCTCATAATCCTCGCTGTCTTGTCCTGGAGTGTAACTCACTTGAGAAACGCGATCCTCGCTCTTTGCCCGAGCACCATCATCTTGCTTCTGGTACTGGCTACCGACAGAGTCAGCAACGAAGTGATCTAGCTGAAACGAACGGCTCGCGAAGTCATATTTGACCTGCGGTGCAGACTCATAGTTGTGGAGGTACCCAATGTCAGCGCTGTCGAAAGGACTAGAGTTGCTCTGGGAGGGCCACGGGACCATCGGCGCTTGGCCTGGGGAATCGTATGTCTCATCAGAATCGAACAAGCTGACCATCTTCAGCCGGTTGTTGTGATAGGAGCCCATGGTGCTTGATGGTCTGATGGATCCAAGGCTTGACTGTAGAAGAATTAGTGTTTGCGGGACACACTGCTCGTTCAAGGGACTAGCTTACCCGAAGCGCAGCGAGAGACTAGCTTCAAAAATAATGCACCAGCTCACAAAACGAATATGAAAGGTAGAGAACCCTATGTTTTCCTGTCAGCGAAGTCCACAGAAACAAGGGAGGAGCCGTCGTGATACGTACCTTTTACAGCTGTCTAGTGGAGGGGTGATGATAGGCTGGTTTGGAAAGGAAGGTCCTCGGTGCAGACAGGGTGTAAGCGTTTGCAGGCTTGAGAGTAGCCTAACCACGCAGGCAGCGAGCTCGCCAAGATAGCGATGTACCTCGTGAGCACTCAGAGAATACCACAGCAGTACAACTTCCCGTGCTGATGGAGAATATAGCTAAATTCAGGAAGCGCGGTAGACGCCAGAGGAAAGCTCAGTCTCAAAGCGCTTCTGTTGCAGTCTTTGTGGCCTTTGCTGTGACTGGCCTCCGTGAGTTGGGGGAGTTCACAACTATAGTGAATAGCAATAAGAGGTCAGTATTGTAAAGCGACCAGATTTGAAGGCAGACAATGAATGTGCCTCACCAATATGTTGTGGTTAGCACGTATTGTCTAGAGTTGAGCCAATGATTGACACACTTGGGAATTTGATAACGTAAAGCTATCTGACCCTATGCGCCAATGTCTGGAGATCAATTGAGGAAGGATAGTCAAGTGAGAGAGCAATAGCTTTGGTAGTCCCGGAGTTGTAGAAACCATGCCCAGGTAAGTCTTTTATGCCCGCAGATCCTCAGTCACAATCGAAACAAGCGGTGTCGAAGCGGCACTAGAACGGCTGGCAGAAGCTTCCATGACGTAGATATCCCTCACTATATTAGTATCCCCGCAACCCAAGGCGTCGGTACCGGCGATTTGGATAGGTGATATTGTTTGTTCCTGAAGAGGGGGGGGGGGGGGCGGGGGACGGCTGTAAATGCGGTGAAGGTTGATATCAACAGGGCGGTATCGGCGTATGTTGTGCATCCAGAGTATGGGTTCTTGTGATGAAGGTAGCTAGGAAGTTGTTGTCAAGATTGTGGCATGTCCCTTGTCCATGGACAGCATGTGTGCCTATGATGTACATGTAGGAGTATTCCGTGGAAACTTCGACAGTGATGTCCTAGCTGACATCTGAAGGAATAGTGTTGCCAAAGATTATCTTGACACACTATGTCTCTTATACATGTGTCAGTTCGTCCACGCCTAGTTGTTTGTATGTGTTTGGATAGATAGTTGATCGAATGTGCTGAAGTTTGAACGAAAGGCAAGATAAGTGAATAAAGACGTGGGAAGGAGGAAAGAGAGGAAGAAGATAGGCAGATGTAAAAAGCAGACTCAAGAAGCAGAGACAAAAAGCCAAGATGAAGACATTGATAAAAAGAAGACACGTAAAAAAAAAAAGAAAAAAAACCAGATATAGGCGACATAATGAAATGTGTATTGACTCGAGGGATTTATCGAATCACGATACAGCTTACCATTGTATCAGACCGTATAATTAGCCTTGCATCGTTTCCAGAATCTGGCCAAATGATTGAATGTGATGTGATATGAACCATTTGAGACGTACTGACATTCGAAAATTCAAATTCAAATTCAGGGCGTCGATAAAACTCAAGCACTCTGGTGCGAATATGACTGTATAGATATGCAGAGGAGGATGCAATTATGGTCGTTGCTCTAGGGCAGCGATAATTGTGTAAGATGATCGTTGAGGATCCAAATATGGCTCGATTCGCAATGGTGCATCAGCTGGCCCATGCAGAGTTAAGAGTGATGACGAACGACTTATCCAACAGCTAGCGAAGTTCGAATAACAAGAATTTCTGAGTGATAGTATTGGCAGTGTGTTGTCAATATGCTTGTTGTCTGTTACAGGTTATCGTGACGGCGTATGTGTGAGATGCGATCGTTTTCCAATATTACCATTCATCAACGAGCTTCGGAGCTGTCAACGCTCAAGTGTCTTAACACAAAACCAATTTGGAGCAATAATGTGGCCGGATTCCGTGTTACGTTGGTAGCTGCGGTGAGAAGTGGTGGGATAGTGGAAGCATAGCCTCTGGGATCCAAGAAGCTATAAGGAGAGATGTTACCCCACACCCACACATACAGGATCCGAAGGAACATTGCGACGATGATCGTAATCAGTCTTTTGTATTCATACTGCGGGGGAGCAGCTCCGGTGCTTGTATTCAGAACTATCTTCAAATCAGTGTGTTTGTTAGCCCTTGCAATAGTCAGTCTACAATGTTTGTCTTCAAGCCCGAAGTCACGTAGTCGCCAAAGCTTGGCAGATCATCGAGTCAACGCTACCTCTAGCAAAGGGAGTCGAGCAGAAGCTTGAGATGTAGTGTGACGGAAGAGTCTCTTTTCCTTGTTCGCTCTCAGGGATGGGTCCGCGTTTATGGAGATCTAGGAGGTGATTCTGGATGATGTCCTTTTGCCCTGGCGGGGTCAGGCCGTCTTGCTGCTTGTAGACAAAGGAAAATGAATGCCCAGAAGTTAGGGCTAAACAAAGAAACAAGTTAACACTGTGTCACTGTGCATGGGTATACAAAGCGACTGATGCGAAAAACGAGTTTTTGGAGAAGGATCAAGCAGCTGTGGTTAGTGGGTGAAGGAAGCGAGTGGAAGTGTAAATAAGGTTTCTGGCGCTAAAAGTGCGGTGGGTAAGAGCGTTGTCCGTTTAGTTTGCAGCCTTGGCACAATTCAGTCTCTCAAGGCAAAGAATTAGACAACATCGCGAAGGGAAATAAATTGTGGCATTCAAATCTTCTATTGTATAGTCGTTGGGAAATCTGTAAGATCGTCAGCTTCTACCCGGATTCATGAAGAATTGTTTGGGGTAAACCTACCAGAACATGTACAACACAATACTCCTTTTCATGAGCATGTTTTTGCAAGAATCCTGGCGAGAATATGTTGCAGGTCTTTCAAACAGTGCAACTGAGGAGCACCTGGATCTCTGAATGGTGATGCGTTGCTTGTGATGGCAGCCCCAGGCCAAGCTCCACAATGGTTCGCTTGGACGTGCGCGAAGGATTCGGTCCGACTCGAGTGACGTCGGGCCCTGAAACTGCGAATCTGCATCTCTTTTGCTCCTATACTGCCTCCCGAGATGCTGAAGTCTCTCCTCCTTCTCTTCGGGCACCTGTCACGCTCTTGATGGGTGGCTGTTCCCTTTGAAGCCCGCATTGACCTTCAACACCATTGTGGTTTCCCCCTCCTGAATTTTGCTCCTCACTACACCCACCCCACCACGACCAGCCATCGAACTCGACAAAGACATCGGCACACTTCCGTATCTCTCCTCTCATACTTATCTGAGATGAAGAGCCGAAGCGGTAAGATGAATACGGCCTTGGAGCCGCTTCTGCATTTTTGCCGTCACGCCAACCCCTCAGACCGCAAAGCTTGGTTGTACCAATCCAACGCCGATGACAACGGTGATCTACCAATCCATTGCGGCTCATACACATCGAGGATACATGGTAGCTTCCTCAGGAGGCTTTCCTTCTTTTGATAATAAGGCATTCTGGAGCCTGTTTACCCCAATGCATCCTCTCAGCGCGTTCGGGTGTCCGCATCGCTGGTCCTCGCTACCAACATCGTGAGAGAGAGCGACACCCTCGAGAAACTCAATAGAGGTAAGCAGATGCACTCTGGAGCTTGTGTCACACTCTCGTATCATCTCCTGCATGCAGACGTTGCGCGATCTTTGCACGACCTCGAGACGCCCAACGACCTACCATGACATCAGGCAATGTTACACCCTCAACCCCTCAGTCTAAGCGACCGCGATACTCTCTGTCATCCGCGGAAGTCTTCACCAGCTCCATAAATCTCTTCATTGGGGATCAAGGCCATACAGGCCCCGACAAAGAGAACATTTGTGGGGCCTGAAATACAGGCTTCTTACCCCGCCGCTTAGGAGGTGCGAACGCCTCTCAATCACGGATGACAGGTCCAGCGGTCAACATCCACCGCTTCTCTAATGACTGGGTCCATTCGCAGCTATGGTCTTCACACCGTGTGGCGCTTCTGAGCTTGAATGGCTTCTACGAGTAGCCAACGGGCATCGCTGGTAGCACACGACAACTGAACGCTGTCCGCGGACAAACCCCAGTTTCGAATCGCCGACGTCAACACTACAGCGACTCGTTTCAATGATGGTATGGCCGCTCGGGTTATGCGATGCACCGCTACGAACACAATGGCTATCCTGAGGTCGTCTGCGCATAGATAGGAGATGGCCATCGATGCCCGAATCGATCGCACCACACCATGTGGCCCTGTGTTGGAGTTGGCCTACGCGATATCTGCATACACAACAGCTCCTTGGTATGGCTTGAGCATTGCCAGAGCTCATCTTGGGCCAATACCAATGTGAATATTGTCCCTTGGCATTGACAGGAAGAGGCATGGATGAACACAACGGCCTTAATTGTGTCACATGTTGTTTGTGTGCCAACAAAAGGTAGCGTCATACCTCATCTGAAATCATGCATATACCAAAGGAACAAAGGCTGCGTCGCGCTCGGATAGAACTCGTACCCTTGAGACCCATCGATGTAGTATCGTTGCGAATTTTCCATTTCGAGTTTTCCGCTTTGGACCAGGGTCCACGAGGCATCTACCACTTGGAAGGAGACCGGATTCGAGCTGCAGAGATCTTTCTTAATATAATGTTGGCAAACGAGAAGGGTTGCAACGAAGCTACGTTGAAAACCGATGAGGCCGGGCATCTCAAGGGTGGATGCCAAATTACTCTCATTCCTGGCCGAGCTGGGAGGTTTCCAGTTCGGTATGTCCTTGAGGCTTGCATGGTTTTTGGTATCAACGAGGTCCAAATGCAAAGTTTGGCTAAAAGGAAATCTTTGCAGATATCAATGTCTTTCCGCGTGGTACCCATTGGCATAGTGCGTAGGCTATCCGGCGTATTTCAAAGTCTTAACAAGAGGTATCCTGGCAGACTCCTGGGATGATCCTGCTCTTTCTTTGGCTTCCACACCCTGGATACTTCTCTTCATTCCTGGGACGATGCTTCGATACCAACGGATCAAAATTTCACATCCAGTCAGGCCTGGTTCATAACAACAACACGAGCGAGCCCCCCTGAGACACTATTCAATTTGTTTCTCACCTTGCCAGGGCAGGTTCAGTCAGACCGAGATCTTGTTTCTTATGAGACAAGCTCAAGTTGTACTTCAGCTCATTGGATGGCTTTGCGTACCTGACCGGTTGTCTAGATGGTTGACAACAGCAAACGATATTTGGAGATCGAAGGCTGAGCTGCAGATTGGCTGTCTGCATCCAAGGCTACAAGCGAATCGTATTACGTCAAGATGTCCTAAATATTCTGGGAAGGCTCTTTGACTTGTCAGCGTATGCGCTCAGAAACCCCAGATGCGTTGCCTTTTCCGATCGATTATGAAATTTTCGCAACAGCCAATTGGTCATTGACCTTGGAAGCCAGGTGTCGCTCACTATTCCCACTGGTTTTCTGCGTCTTGTCAAAATGACAGAGGCTGGAAATACGATATGAGACATGCATTGATTGCTCGGGTGCAATGCAGCAGTTTGCTCTTCGGCTAGGTGCATCTCAATCCATTCTCCTATCCCGGGCCATGCTGTGTTTGACCTTCGCCTGAAGACCGGTATCTACAGAGGTGCCCCAACATACCGTACTTCGCAACATGGTGCCTGCTTCGCAGCTGTACGTTGATATTGGCCTGCATTCGGTTCTCAATAATCAATCGGTGGTCATAGAAGGCGCTTTGCACGGACGGCCCAATACCTGTAGCTTTCGGATATTCCTCTGTATTACGACAGTGTGACTAGCTGTGTGTCCGTAGGGATCTGGCGCTGGTATGCTCAGCTTCTCTGTGGCTCAGCGATGAGCCGGTTCGGCGTGTTGTAGGCGGAGTGGTGTCTGCTCGAGCAATATGCGGATAACGGCCTGTCGTCAACGTCAGTCAGGACGAAGAACACTCAATGGAAGGTACTCTCCAGCAGAATAGCTATTTTCAGCTTGCGATCTCGTCACGACTCTACCTTCTGTTATTGGACCATCAAGAGAGCCTGTTGTTAGCGATCAAGGTTCACCTTTCTGTATCGCCTACTGCCTTGGGTGTTGTAGGCGGTCCCGTGCTCGTAGATGCGCGCTCGCGGACCTCCGTGAGCAGAGCCTTAAGCCAGGGGATGCCAGCTGAACCTGCTGTTGCTGCAAGCTATCTGGCAACTGTATGCGGGAATCTTCCTGTAATCCAAATCTGTGAATCGTGGGATATTCTTCCCTCTGTTCATGTGCGGTTGCATGGCAAGTCTATCGGTCGTCTGCTTCTTGTTTGAGATGACGCTGTGATGAGTTTTTCTTGTCCCTGCAAGCCACAGCGCCGCTTGGATGTTCACCGATGTTCACCGATGTTCATCTGTACCGTCGGGAGAGCTTGCAGTTGCTATCGATGAGGAAGAGACGAGCCGATGAGAATAGAGTCTTGTCGAAAGTATCACATGAAGCCGGCACGGCAACGCCGCTGGTCCTAGAGCCTCGTCAGCTTTCGGTGTCGGAAATGGGAACAAGCATCTCGCCATATGCCCCGTATCTCCTATCCACCTTCGCACATCTTTGCCGTCGCGATGTCGTTGCTGGTGATGCTGAAGATGGTGGGGTGTTGGAGCGTGAGCACCGCGGGGGTCAACGACGTTCGCGATGTATGAACATCAACACTAGATTGCATCCGCCAAACCTTACGCGTCTAAGGCACGCATGCGAACCTACCTCCAGCAATGAGCTGTGGGGTTATGCTATCTCTGTCGTAAGGAGGGATGTGTGGAAAGCATATTTGCTGTTTCCCCGCTTGTGTGCCTGCTGCGCGCATGTGAGCGAGAAGTTTCTGGTGCACCTATCTGAATCAGAGCTCGGGAACGACAACCACAATACAGGCCCTTGTCTCCTCAGACAAGCATTGATTGCTCTATCATCAAAGTGCCAGAGTCGAGAACAGGCTTGCTAGTAGTGGAGGATGCTTGCAAAATGAGGAGCGGGCGAAGGCTATACCGCTGCAATTCAGAGGCATAGTACGCTGCAGGTCGGACTGTACATCATAGACTCCGACGCCCATAAGCATAACCAAGACGAAAGGCCCTGGTATCTGAAAAAAACTGGGAGAAAGAAGAAATGGTTTCCATGAGGTACTGGTGTTGGTGGTGGTCACCGGCCAAAGGGGCCCGGACCTTGTTGTCGCTTTGTTTGCCCCTCACTCCAAGGAACCCTTCCAAGATCCCTGGATATAACCAAGTTCAGTTTCTAAGGCTATATATACCGCTATATCCTGGATCCCTCCATCAACAACAGTGCTGACGGGGGGGACCTAGGAGGGTTGCAGCCCTACGACCCCTTCGGGGATGCCCTACAACGCCGGATGCCTTGTAGGAAGCCCTTTTCAGGATGTCCTTTTTTGCTGGTTCGAGCCTTGCTGTGTCCATTCGGTCTTCTTTTTTTGCTTCTCGTTTTTGCTCACGGCACCTCTCACTGTGCCCAGAAGCAGCACCGTCACATGGAGCCCAAGGAACAACCCCTGGCAAGAGCACTCTTGATCATTTCAGAATTTCCAGCTTTTTGAGAAAACTGCTGGTTTTCTCAGTGTGATCTCCAGCGAGACACGAGTGATGCAGCGCCTATCCATGACTTCTGGATTTTGACGCTGGTACTCCCACAGGATCCCGCCGGCAAGAAGATGGATATGCGCGAACTACAGTGCAATGTAGCCAGCAGCCATCGCTGGAACTACAGTTGTATCCTTTGTGCTTTCTTGCTGGTGGCATGCCTTGTAGTGTGGCATTGCAGCATATTGAATGGGGATTGTGGGCTGACAACTTCCTGCGATTCGAAATTCCAAGAGTTTTTTAACTACTCTTGGTTGAAGCCTCAAGTCGAACCAATCATCAGAGTCTGTTCTCTCTTCTATAAGAGATCATGGCATTCTCGATGGTGCACTCAGCATCGCTGTTGAACGTGGCTCAAGCTGCCTGTTGAGATCAACGTATGCCACCTGGTGTGGACAGAGCCCAAGGTTGCACCAGCAGCAGAACATCAAGCCCACTATGCAGATTGTACCAACGCAATTGTGTGCAAATCAAACAGTATGGGTCATCTAAATCAGGGGGCATAGGCTGCGCGGCTGGTTGTGAAGATGTCAAGAGTCTTCGTGTTTACTTTGCTGCCTACGCGTCCCGCCATGCTCGCGCACACACAACGCTCACGACTCTCACTGGATTTCTACCAACAAGGCACTTACCTATATCAAAAAACTTGGGCTACATAATGGCTCTAATTATTCTGTCTTTCGCCCTCTTAAAGGGTGTGGGAATAGCCCACTCGGAAAGAACACAGGCTGACTTCCTACCACAGGCCGAAAGTTCGAACTACCGCCCAGTCGAAACCTCAATCCGGACGGACCACCACCAGGACTACTAACATTGTGAGACAGGGAACTATCAAAGACAGCAGCCTGCAAGGCAGAAACCCATTACCAGAGAATCATCTCCCAAGCTCAGCTTGGAAGGGTCCTTTTTTTTGCTCTATTTCAGGACCTTTCTGCTTCATGCATAGTTACTAAGGGAGTGCGGTAGTCTAATATGGACTTCGTGCGAGCTTGGTTGCCTCTGTGTGTGGCCTTTATTTTTTGCAACTAAGGGCAATGACCTGACCGCAATGCGCCTTTTGCCTCCCCACAACACTGGCGCGCCTGCATGGCCTGAGACCAAGTTTGAGATCAAAATCGTATCGACAACGTCTCGTTTGGTCATTACATGATGCGTCAAGTCAGCCGTTGCAATATGCATCTTCAACAATGGATACTGAACCTTGGCCGCAACAAAGAAGATCACATTTGTATATGCCAAAGTCCAAATACGACTTGGTACGCTCCAACAGCTACACGGTGGCAGCCATGTAGACATCAAAATTGCAAGTTGAAAATAGTCACATTGATATCTGTAAGTCTATTTGGCAGGCGCACATGCCTCCAGAGGTATCCTGAACAGCCACGTTCCCATGGTTGGCAGTGAGCGTCTATATTTCTAGCATACGAGAAGGCCGCGGTCAAGGAGTCGTGCCTCATCCTCAATCCGCACGCAAAGTCTCCCGCCTCTCTGACGGCGCAGGTCGAACAGCGCAAGTCGAACCACGCCTCAAGGACCTCCGACACTTGTCTAGATATCCTATCCCGCTGTAGCCATCACTGGCGGCTCGTACGCAAACAGCGACGGCCTCGCCATGTGCCCATCCATGTAGTGGAGAATGCTCACCGTTGAGCCTATCTCGTGGTCAAGTAGAACAAGGCGTTCGCCGGGTTTAGAGTATTCGCCGAGATCAAGGTATGCATCCGCAGAAGGGGTCTGGCTAAGTAGGATGTGAAGGGCCTCTCGAATGATGGTCATACGTTTAAGCTTCTCGATTTCGACGTCGAGATTGAACTGGAGTCGTTAAGCTGTCGTGCCCCTCACGACCTGAATTACCATTGTCAGCATATGCATCTTTAGAGAGAGGCCTTTGTGGTGGAATGCAAAATTCTTTTCAGCGCGTACTCACCTGGAAACCTCTAGCCTGATGCAACCGTTTTCGGTTTTTCCTCTCAGCTCCCCATTCTTCCTAATAACCAATTTGATCAATGCAGCATCGGCTTAGGTTGCGGAAGGTGATTACCTCGTGCTGCCTGGTGTCGCAGTGTCGGATCTGCTCCAGCTCCTTGGTCCAGATCTGCTCAAGGAGCTTCTCCATTCTGGTTCTCTTGTCCAACTCCATACTTGTATCTGGTCATACGGTCTTCGGCAGGTGTAGAACGAGGGTCGGCTTCGTGTGCGAGTTAAGGAAGGCGTGCAGGATTGATGTCTGATCCGGCGCTGCAATGAAATCAGCTGCTCCTCTTCATGCAAGTGTACGCGTAAATCTCTCTTGCGTGTAGGTACGCAATCTCGCTATGAGCAACTAAATAAAAATAAGGTTGAATTCAGGGTTGGCGCTGCTGCCGTGTGGTAAGGCTAAGTGGTGGACACGAGTATGAGCAAGTTGTTGGTCGCTTTTGGTCGCAGGTCTGTGTCACGCACATTCACGACGGTCAGTGACTGAACTGCCAATAGAGATCCAATGTCATCACGCACATCAGGAGTGTTATTGGGCCAAAGGAAGAAATTCATAGTCCCTGTGCAGTTTGACGAGTGTAGCCCGTTCATCTCATATTGCAACAGGAGGAAAGACACATACCGTTCCGAAGTAGACAGAGGGCCAAAGCCATCTTCACAACTGTTCGGACTCTACATACAACCCTAGGAACCGCTTCTTCTTTGGAACTCCTCTCGACACTCCAGGTTGATTTCTCTTCACAATTTCGCTCGACCAGCGCTTTGCGTAAGTTTTGCATTGACTTCTGCCGCTACGCAAACGCTTCTTCTGCAAGCCCTTTAGTTTCCTTGCCTCCTGCCAAACACAAACTTGGATAGCAAAATCACTCCCCTCACGTCTACACGAAGTTCATTCCGCCGTCTATTTACCAATATCACAAAAAAAACGCCTTCATCCACCTCATTACCTTCAACCACTACAAGCATATTCCTCCCGTCGCCGTCGCTGTCCAATACAACGAAGTGATCTCCTGCCGCTCCAATGTTCAGTCCCGATTCAGATTACGAGATGGAGGACGAAACAATCCAAACGCAACTCCTTCGTTCCGTCGAACAAACTTTTGACCGAATGGAGGCAGCGCGCGAGCTGGCAGACCACCAGGGGGCAAACCGAGGCGTCTATGAGTGGTTAGACAGGGTAGAACCCCAGCCAGTAGATTCTGGCCCACTTCCGCTGCTTCTGGTCAGTTCCTATAGGCAGCTGTATCACGACGATGTTTATTAACCAATATCGTAGTGGGACGATCATCTTCCTCACTCCTGGGTTGCCCTGGCGCTCTTCAGTCTCCTCGTGTCTACGCTGGGCTTTGCTGTTGGCCGCTTCCTTTAGTTTCGGACAAAGACTCTACGGACTCTGCCGCTCAAAAACGAATGGAATACGAACGCATTGGCTCTGGAGACCTCCCTCAAGGGAGCAGACGGTGGATGAACGAGCTAGAGAGTGGGTGGAAAGCATATAATACTGGGCCAGATAGACGAACAATACATGCGAGAGACATCTGCCTATAATTTACTACAAATACAACCATGGGCACGTTGCATTTGTGAAGAGGTACTTTAGCCAGATGGGTGAGGATTGAAAAGGACAAGGCAAGACCGCATCGTGAGGCGCTGGTCGCTTGCAAACATGAACATGTCGATCTGGCCACATTTTGACGAAAGTATTGACTACTGCCTGAATCTTGAGAAACGTCAGCTGAACATTGACCTGTCTTCCTGTGCGAAAGACGAGAAACCAAGATAAGGCTACAGCGCAAACATGGGCAAAGGGCCGATTGGCAGTTGTCATGCGTGCCTATTCGGCTGGTCGGGGGAAGTCGCGGGCGATACTAACCCCCTTTGATACCTAGCATCTCTCCCATTGGGTCTTCTTGCACACATGCAACCCCCGACCCTCTTTAACCCTCGCAACCTTAAACCAACTACAATGCAATCGGCCGAAAGCTCTTATTATTGATATCTCGCGGTTGTGTCATTTGTTCCTCCTTCACCCAACAACGTCCGCACTTGTGCTCTCATTATCGCCTCAAATTGCTAGCCCGGCTAGTTCTCATCATCTTGAACAAAGCTCAATACTACGTCAAATCGATTCATGAATGCGCGCGCCATGGACTGCCTCATGACCCCGCATATTTTCACAGCCTTTCCGTTGCACCCTCAATGTTGGGTTTTTGTTTTGGCAGACGTATGAATTGAGTTTTATTCCCGGCGCCGCACAAACACACGGAACTTCTCGTACGTGCCATCGTGCGAAACGACCAAACTGCGAGAAGCTGAGTTTCTGGATGTGAGTCACGCCAAGGCTGGATCGCAAATGATTCCCAAGAGAAATTATGTTCCATTCTAACATCCGGTATTGATTCAGAGTATCCATTTCTAGTAGCACACGAGGATTTGTGCTGACAAAGAACTTTTCTCGAGTACGAGATCATCAATGCTGTCTACATGCACGACCCAGCTTTCACAAATCTATGAGCCCCTGGCTCGATAGTTTCGAATTCGAAACGTTTTCAGCGCCTTTTATTGGAATTGAGCCTCAGAAGATGTTCTCTGAGGAAACGCAAAAGTCGTACTCTGGTTGTGGATTATCAATGGGTGCTGAGGATCAGCATGCTTAGTATCCAGAAAGCAACCGATTAGCTCGAGGTGGCTCTACTGTTGAAGGCGAGATCGAACCTCGATTTCCTGTCATTTGAAGCCACAAGAATAACTCAGTGCGAGGACATACTTGGTGAGATCGTCGATACGAGGAGCCTATCAACTTTCTAGGAGACAAAATTGGATTATTGAATTGTCAGGGACAAGGGTGAGTCAATTTGCAAGAACAAGCAACTACGTTTACTGATAGCGATACAGAGAAGACCATGGGAACCCGATTTTCATGGTACCCACGTCATTATGCGATACACAGTTCAGCTCACGTGAAACACTTTTATAGGTTCTCAGACGAGATCACCTCTCGTGTCCTGCACTTCTTGTACTCACAGAGACCTTTCGGCCTAAGACCCGTTCGACTGACTTACCTTTAACCGATCGCTGTGCTTCATCCTGACCTCTTCCATCGACTGCGGCATTTCCAAAGCGAAAATCCTCTCGCTCATCCTTCAGCAGTAGCAGTAACATCCTTTCGAAGACCTTGTCGAGAAACAATGGGAGAGCCTTTCAGCTTGCATTCTGGCTTCCCGCAGCCCTCGCCTAATACTCAGTCTGAGTAATGTACAATGCATGTCGCATACAAGCTGGGCCCATTTCAGACATACAGTCTTTCCAGATCATCATGCTCCTGAGCTCGCTCTACATCCTGGATAGTTGCCAAGATTTGACTTCTCATCACATCGGAAGCACGGTGGATCTGTCTGAAAACGGCGACAAGTTCCGTTCTTCACGAATCGGGCATCTCAGTCTTGCTCCGAGCATGGTTCATCCTAGCCAAACGCTTGATATGCTATATGCGCTACTTCGAAAGGTACGTTCGGTACGAACCTTAGGATGCGTAGTGCATGCGACGCAAAGTGCTAAGTCCTGTTAGAGAGTGGTATTACGATAAGACAACGCTTTTTTGTAACACAGGCACAACCAGAGTAACGACACATGGTCGGTCCCGCGAGTGTATAGCAATCAACTTCCCACAAGTTCGTTCTGCTCTAAGTCTTGTCGGCGTTCGAGGCGAAAATCCGAGCAATTCGATGCGTTCCACAGCGCAACCTCGATATGCAACAACAAAATACACTTCCCCGTACTGCCATTGCGATGACGGCATGAGCCGTGATGGAATTGCAGGAAAACCCGGATAGGGACTCTGCGGCAGTGCCGGCGATGGGCAATGGGTAACCCCGCCCCCACGAGGCCTAGTCTTGACGAACCCATGCATCCTAGCAGGGAATAAGGCTATTGTGCAGCCCGCATTTGGAGGTAGCCCATTGCACATACGCATCGTGCAGGAGCGTGGGGGCTGCGACGGTCTTATGAGCGATATGGCGCAATTCAACACAATCCTGGATTTGGCTCACTCAGAGAAAGGCAATGTGGTAGTGGGGGTAAGTAGCCCACCTAGGCGGGTAACTGGTTGGCATTTGTGTCGTTCTTATAGGGCAGCGCATCAGCGCCCATGCAGGGACGAACGTCAGTCTTTGAACCCCCCAAAAAGGCCTCGTGTGCGAAGCTCTACCACGAACACACAACAAAGCCCTCCGAGCCGCTGATCCAACACTAATCATCCCAAGAGCAAAGGACGTGACTGCGCAGAAGTTCATGTGGCCCATGAAGAGTAATGTCCGATCCCTACAGTCAGCAAGCTTTTGGACAGCCGACCTTCACCGACGCACATGTGAATGGGAGTTCCTCTGGACCTGATATGTTCGATGTCATCGACGCATCCAATCTCTACCACGACCACGACCACGCCTATCGACCTGGCAGCCAACATCTGCAGCAACTGCACATACAAACTCATGATGAGTTTGCGCAAAGCCAACATCTTGCGTATGCCTTGCAAGAGAGCAGTCCATCGGTTGCAGGTGAGCTTACCCCTCATTTCTCTTCCATCATTATTTTTTTTTCTTCACCTCTCTTTTCTACGCGCATTTTTTGTGGTCCAAGCATTGTCTCTTCCAGAGTTCTGGATTCTTGTCCGAGTTCCCTGGATTGTCGGTCTTGGATGACGTTTGGCCGGGAGAGGATGGCGTGCTCCCGCTAGCTGCACGTGATTAAGCGATGCAACGATGCATGCAACAACGGCCTGCCTGCTTTGGGAGGTATTTATGCACGCTGAGCAAAGATGCATTTTGTTAATCCGGATCACTTGTCAATCAAATACGCAGGAGTCACCGCACTTTCACACCATCTTTTTTTCGATTTTATCACACTCGCTAATGTCCTCAAAAGGCCTTCAGTACACCTCACCAACGGTGCCAAACATGAGAAGCCACTTATCGCACCATTACGAGCCGGATAGCGCAATAAATCTCGGATTGGATGATCTTCAAAGGTTATCCACAGCCGCGCACGGTTACAACATTAACACCTATCGCACGCCATACCCTGCCAGCAATGCGACATCCACCTCATCAGCCACGTCTCCTGACCCCACAAATGCTACTCTGCTCACTGATCCAGTGGTTGTAGAAGCAGAAGAAGACAAAAGAAAGCGCAACCAAGCTGCTTCGGCTCGTTTCCGTCAGAAGAAGAAACAGCGTGAGCAACACCTCATGGAGAAAACCCACGAGATGCAGGAGCGGACGAAGCAGCTTGAGGCAGAAAATGAAGGGCTTAAGAAGGAAAATTCGTTTTTGAAGAAGCTGTTAGTGGAAAAGGTTGATCATATGAGTGACGAGGATCGGGAGTCGTTAAGGAAAGCCGCTGGAGAAGTGTTGGATAAGGTGGCTGGGAAAGCGGGTTGAGCTGTTAGTTCTCTTGCACATCCGCTGAATTTTGGTTTCTCATTCCTGGTTGAGAGGCAGGACTGAGACTTATGACGGAGATGAATGAGCATGGCTGATGTTTCGCAGGGGAAGGTGCACCGGAGTTTACGCAGTCTGGAGTCACTTTTTCAATAATTTCTTGTCTCAGGGTGGTAGTCATTTACATCCACGTAACAAAGGATGACTTGCGGCTTAATTCTGTCTCAGGGGTCGTAAATACGGCTGTTGATTGTGTTTCCCTTAGCGCAACCGGAACCAAGGGTGGGTACCTTGGAGTTTTGTGTATGCCCTTAGCGACAGACTCACCCACATGGAAAGTTTCATCATGGACTATTTCGGGGCATGCTCCCTAATAGTGTTTCTCATGGCAGCTAGAAATGCCGCTTGCTACCGATCTGTCGATAGGCATAGCCGCACTATCAACCAGGATCGTGGCAAATAATCGGCCGGGCCTGCCACTCTTTGGAGACCTGTCATAGGGCGGACATTGCTTTTACGTACAATATTTCGGACGCCACCGAGCCAAGTCTGCGGGCCGACGCGTCTAGAATGTCCCGATTTCATACTAGCAAAGAGGCAGCCTTGCAGTTGAGTACGTACTGATGTTACAGTAGTGCACAGAGCTGGCATGTTTTTTGGTCTGCATGTCTGCGCTGATACTTCGAGTTGTTTCGTTTTTCATGATTCTGATGTCCTTTCCGATATTCTCATCGCTCTGTGGAAAAATACTGTTTGTCTCTCCACGAATTTGCCATCACAAGAGCCGGAGTACTACCGAGAAGGGGTGTGTCAAAGTCATAGCAGATATTGACTTTGTTGCATGTCGCGGAAGAACATCAGCATCAATTCGAGTTGCTACATGACAGTAGAATGGGATGAGAAATCTCTTCTCAGATGCGCACAAGCCATCCAACTCCCAAAATAGGTGAGCGTAGACGAAGTTTTTTCTTCGTCAGGAAATACTTCATTGGGTTACCGTGTCGTTTCCCGACAGAGGACCCTCCCCATATTTCTGACGTTTGAAATCTACCAACAGGCTCAACGAGTGTTGAATTGTGGGGAATAGTGGGATACAATCAATTTACATGCAAACAGTTCAAAGGATTTACACGTGCGTCTGAGTATCAAAAGTCTTGGAGGAGGTCCACAGATTTGATAATCTGTCGATGCCTATTGGCGGGCATATTGATAATGCACTATGATATGTATTTTGTTTTGACACAAGATCTGCATACTTCTCGGCAGTTACGAGTTACATTGATAGTGATGTCAGTCTTCAAACTTCAACCGGAGCAACGTTATCCATCTGAGTTGGAGTAGGCAGGTCACTACCACTCCTGCAATTGTGTTAATACAAAATACCATCGTAGGTAAAAGTGGCACCCGAGAAACGAGTTAATTCAATACCCATATTGCGGTACTGCACTCTTGTAGGACGAGAGCAAGTAAGCATATGTGTACATTACTAGAGACTAGACTCAATAGGGAGAAGTAGAGAAATACGATGAAAGATACTTAGCAACCAGCACCTGGCAGATAACTGGTATTGATTAGGTTGCATTATTGTAAATACAGAAATGATGTTCCAACCAGACTAAAGGGCGTCTTCAGTGCAGCCCCGCTTGTCACGAGGCATGTTGGTGGTACTCGGCCCTCCACTGACCAAACGCCATGCTATCAGTCTGCTATCAATACGCCCGGTCAAAATCCAAGTATTCGAGTTGGCCTGGTATCAGGCAGACCTAAGCGTCTGACACTGCATGAAGACGACGTAGCAGAGTGTTACTTACAACATGAGCTCGCGCCAAGATACCTCCTACGTGCTAACTCCGCTCTACCCCTAGGCTCAGCGACGGCTGTCGATTGGTGTCGCGNGTCGAGCGACACCAATCGACAGTCGCCAAGCAGTCACCAGCCACTGTCGGAAGGCGTCGCCTGCTCTACCCGCATTCTGTCTCCCTGCACTAGTAAGTTTCTAGTCTAGCGCCTCGCTGCACCGGCATTGGTCATCTTCATCTTACCCGCACTCGTGCATTCGTCATATTTGTAAGCTTTGGACTCGCTCCTTCAAACACGCGAACTGTGACATAACCAACGTCTTCGTAGAAGCGATTGTATAATGGTAGTTGTGGTTCCTTGGCGTCGGCCGACAGCTCTATGTCACGCCGTAGGGCTGACCAAGCTCGCGCTCCTCGCTGTTGGTTGTAGCCGCTCCTGTAATGTAAGAGCCTTGTGAGTAGGACGCCTTAGGAGTCTTACACACATATATATTGACGACAATGGCTGCCTGAATGAGTATCATATAATCAGTTCACAATCATCACTACAATATAATCCACTCACGCAGATATCATAACAGGCTTCAACTTGAATACATTAATACAACTTACTTGCTCAACACATATCAAAGTTACAACTTCGTCTACCTAACACACCAACATCTCGCATCATCTATCCTCTTTCAGATGGCCACCACAATGCGCGCATGGCAATTCAAGGCCTCCTCCGGCCCCATGGAAAAGAATCTTTCCATGCCACCCTCAGGCCTCCCCATCCCATCCATCAAAGACGATGAAGTCCTCGTCGAAAGCCATTCAACAGGTCTCAACGCAATCGACTACAAGATCCTCGAGCTTGGCCTTATCACACGCCTAGTCTTCCCCTCTATGACCCCCGGCTTGGAAATCTACGGCCGAGTCACAAAAACCGGTAGCAAAGTATCCAAGTTCCGCGAAGGCGACGTAGTGTTCGGCTCGATCGGTCCCGGACCCAAACACGGCGCGCTGGCAGAATACGTGCCAGTATCCCAAGACGTACTCGCAAAAGCCCCAGAAGGCCTGAAGGGCGATGATCTCGTCGGCATTTCTCTCGTCGGCATGACAGTCTACGCTGGTCTAGCACCGTACGCGAAACCCGGCAGCAAAGTGTTCATCAACGGTGGTTCTGGAGGCACGGGTGTAGCAGCCGTGCAAATGGCGAAGATACTGGGCTACCAAGTCACGGCTTCGTGCTCGACGGCGAATATCGAGCTCGTCAAGAGTCTAGGCGCAGACAATGTATTGGATTATACCACTGCGCCAATCATCGAGCAACTCAAGGACAGGGGCGAGGTGTTCGATCTCATACTGGATAACGTTGGTGCGCCGGCGAATCTGTATCGTGCGTCAACTCCGTTTCTCCGGGCAGAAGGCAAGTTTGTGCAGGTGGGTCTGGGCGTGAGCTTAAGTGGTGTTTTGCAGCTGCTTGGCAACAATATTGCGAGCTTGTTGGGGTGGGGGAAGAGGGGGTATGTGTTTGTCGATGCAAAGCCGAGTACGGCGGTTTATGAGCAGTTGGCTGCGTGGATGGTCGAGGGCAAGCTACGCGCCGTTATTGATTCGACGTGGGAGTTTGGCAATGTGCCAAAGGCGTATGAGAAGTTGAAGACGGGACGGGCGAGGGGAAAGGTTGTGGTGCATGTTAAGGAGGATTGAAGGATTTTGGGATTTGAGGGGGGAAAAATCCACTTGTTTTCTTTGAGCGAGATCATGTTTGCGATATCTATTAGTTTAATTCCGGGCAGAGTGAATGTCCTTTGATACATTCTATACATCTTGATTGGGTATCTTCAATTCTTCACTCGAAAACTGAACCTGAATTTTCATAAAACAAACTCAAGATAAAATCCTGGGATCTCGTGTTTCCCCCAGGTGTAACCTAATAATGCAGGGAGCACTATACATGGCTTGGCAGCTGAGCTGCTGCGAGGTACTACATGGCACGGACCTTCCTGGTGTAGTCTGCAATGCGACCAAACCGAGAAACGGAGTATTTAGCCATTATGATATCGTGAACACAAATTGGTTGATGGAGTATCCGGTAATAACGCCCAGGAGCAATAATTGAACTCCAGGGCCTGGAATCATCTCAATACCCTCACTGACCGGACCATAGAGTGTATATAAACGTGCAAAATGTTCACATGAAAGAAAGACACTTTGCACAGCTCCAAAGGCCATTCTTACAGCTTCTCTTCATTCTCAAAAGAACAGCCATCTGTACTCAAGTCATCTGAAGAAAAAAAAATGAAGCCCAGCAACGCAATCCTCTTTTTTCTTCCCCTCGTGGCAACTGCATCACCACTGAGCAGCCCAAACCCCGACGCGGAAGCTGTTGCTGAACTTCTTCCCCGAGCAGACGCCACATGCTATCTCCACTCGGAAGCACTTCCTTCTCAGGGCTGTGACACGACGCCCTTCAGTGGCTCGCGAAAGAGGACGGTCACGGGTGGCGACCGCTTCGGCGTACGCTGCACTGCTCGTGGCAAGCCTTGGGGATCTCAAGGCTATACCAAGTGGGATTGGGTTCCTGGGTGGGGATGCTGGATTTGGGCTGGGTGGACGCAGATCGGATGCGAGAGTAAGTTTGGGGGATGTGGGATGAGAATGGGCAATTTGCTAATGATTTGCAGACGGTCTTCCTTACTATGACGATTACAGGAGTTGTTTGTAAGATGCTTGAAATGAGGAAGCTCTGTGGAGTGCAATGATGCAGACAATGGTCACTCTTGGTGTGATTGTATTGTGGCCTTTGTAGTCGGTGGAGCGGGGATTTTGAAATTGGGTTTCCACCAGTTCACCAGCCTATGGAAACGGTATTGGTGTATCGTCAATATAAATATTGCCTACACCCTGCTTCAATCGTCAGTGTCTTGCAGTAACGATTGGTTACTTTTTCTGTAAAGACGATGTCATGTTCTCTATACTCAATGCAGTACCTGTGCATTTTCAGAGACTGATTGCGACAGTCTCTCTTTGTATCGTCATCTGACAACATCTTACAAAAAGATGTAGTTGCTCCAGCATGAATCGCAAAGCAGACGAGATCTAAGACCGGGAAAATGCGGCATGACGTTGGTCTTGGCGCTACAAAAAAGTTCGGAAGCTTTCCGAAATCCATCAATGTCAAACTTTCAACATGCGCACAATATCGAGGAGTGTACAACCTCTATTCACGTCGCTTAGCCCGCTAAAGCAGACAAGTCGCATACGCGGACTCAATGCGATACCTTTGCCGTCATGGACGCGCTCGTTCCACGCTTCTGCGAACTTGAGGGCCGTTGATCTTGCATATCGGCTTCACGATGACTCGGGCAAGGCCAAGGGCGATCCAATTGTGATGATACACGGTTTATTTGGCAGCAAGCGGAACAACCAGAGTGTTGGAAAGTATGCGCAAATCACTCGATACTTTCATTCGTAGACAAGACTAATTCACTCCCAGCGCAATTGCACGCATCCTCAAACGACCCGTCTACGCCATCGACACGCGAAACCACGGCGACTCCCCCCACGACAATGTCCACAACTACACCGCGCTTGCCGAGGACGTCGAAGCCTTCCTCAAAAAGCATGAGTTGAAAAATTCAACGCTGATAGGGCACTCCATGGGCGCAAAAATCATCATGGTAATGGCCCTCCGCAACCCGGATTGCTGCGCCAACATCATCCCCGTCGACAACGCACCCGTCGACGCCGCGCTCTCCAGCGACTTCCCCAAGTACGCAGAAGGCATGCAAGCCGTGGAAAAGGCGCAGCCCAAGAGCCAAAAAGAGGCAGACAAGGTGATGGAGCCGTACGCAAAGGATTTGGCCGTCCGCCAATTCTTGCTCTCGAACCTTGTGCGAGGCGCACCTGGCGAACCCCTCAAGTTCCGCATCCCAGTCCGTATTCTCACCAAGGCGCTGAACAATATGGCCGACTTCCCGTTTACGAATCCGGATGACGTGTCGTTTCATAAGCCGGCGCTGTTTATTCGCGGGACCAAGAGTCACTATGTCAGCGATGAGACACTGCCTATTATCGGGCGCTTCTTTCCTCGGTTCGAGCTTGTGGATATCGATTCGGGTCACTGGGTTATTAGTGAGAAGCCTGAGCAGTTTATCAATGGTGAGTTGTGCCCATGATGTGTGGTTGAGGGAATATACTGACGTGCTGTAGCGGTTGTGGAGTTTCTGCAGGAGAAGGAGTAGATACCCGGTATTAGAGTGGCTTTTTTTTTGAATAAGGGTCATGTTTAATCAATTCATTGATTTATTCCTACCATGAGTCTCTCTTTCTTTTCACAGACGACATTCATGCTGCAAGACTTAAATGTTAAAATATAGAAATAAGGGGGTATCATTCTTATGCCAACTGAGAAAACACTGCTACTACTACTGCAATCTCTCACTACCTCCTTTATCTCCGCGATGTGCCTCCAAACCCAGTACTCTCGTGTCTAGTACTGGAGTAGCTATCTCCAGACGAACTCCTCGAGCTTCCCTCACCACCATTATTCCAGCGACTCCCACTTCCGCTACCACTGTTAGAACCCCATCCACCACCTTGATAACTCCTACTACTATTACCCCGGTTAGCAAACTGACCAGCAGCCCAGCCAGCAGCCGCACCGCCCGCAGCACCAGACCAGAAACCCGGTCTCCAGCCCTGAGTAGTTCCATATCCCGACTTTGAGTTCCTGGGGTCATTTGGATAGTACGGTGGCGGCGGGTCATTATTATCGTCGTTGTAGCCTCCTCCCCATCCACCTCCACCGCCGCCGCCGCCTCCACCCCAGCCAGGTCGATTTCCACCAGCGGCGCCACCATTCTGTGCTTCTGCGCGGTTCCGCAGTGCCGAGTAAATCATCCAGAGTACAACGCCACCAAACAGCATCCAGAACAAAACTCCCGCAACCTTCTCGCCCGTAGTCCGCGGACCGTCACGTCGATCGTCATCGTCGCCCTGCCATCCGCCTCTTCCTTTGCCGTACCGCTCGCGGCCCTTGTCGGTAAGGATGAGCCTGTATTCGACTCCGCAGCTGCCTTTCAGGATGTACGGGTCCTCGGGGTAGTCGTAGCCTTCGCAGATGACGTCTGTGGAGCCGAGTTTGAATTCTTCAGGTAAGGAAGCTGTGCATGTCCACTGGATGGAGTCCTCGTCGTAGTCGGAGCCACTGTTTTTGCAGCGCATTATCTCGGGCTCGTAGAGGCCACGAGCGGAGCCTCCGATGCATTTTAGCTGCACGTTTCATGTTAGTATGTTCAACCGGTGGAGTGGGTTTGGGATGTCTGCTTACCTGGGGAATTGGATCAACACGGCGCGCAGATGTTTGCTGTCCCTTGCGCAAAGTGAGGCTTTGTATTTTTGAAAGCTTGACTTTGTCTGATCGGAGAGCTTCAGCGCCACTGGCGGCCAGCAGCACCGGGTACAAGAAGTTGGAGATATGCATGTCGTTTTGAAGGAAACCTAGGCGATGAAGAGTCTCAACACCGACATGTAAGGCACATAGTAGGTTATGAAGAACTCCACAGGTGGCGATAACACGTGGCAGGATACCGTAGCAAATAAGTAGAAAGAATGTCTCGCGTGCGTCGTGGGGGCAGTGTTGATTCTAGAAACCCAGCGTGGCGGCCCCCCAGCCAAAAAGACCCGATGACGCAAAGGCCCGCGACGCACGTCCCCCCCCATACCCACGACTAGCGGCTGCCATGTTACGCTACGGGGGTAGATCCGGACTAGCGGCGTGTGCGTGCGTGCTCCCGCTCGTGTAGGTAGACATAGCTTGCCGCGTTAGACATGGGACGAACAAACTGTTAATAGCAAATCCCACGAAAGCCCCATCATCATCAACAACAACAACAACAACAACCATGAAACAGCGCATCACATACATAGTGCATAACTCCGACACCTTCTCGCCCGAGCAACTTCATGTTGGGACCGACAAGCGAGGTCCTGTGTTTGCGTTGAAGGGGATCGAGGCGGCCAAGGAACACCGTATCACACTTGGGTTGGATGAGCTGCCTAAGCCAGTATGTGTTGACCAACAATCCATTTACAACATCAAATTTTTGTTTTGGAGGGAAACGAGATGAGCTGATTACAGAGAGCGAACGTAGTTGAAATTCTTCTTCTCACAATGGCATGAAATGCATCTGCGATGGCAATCATCCAAATCGTACATGGCAACACCGCCATTTACATCACGTGTCTCGCCGGGTCTGCACGCGTTCTTTACACCGTTGGATGACACGGCTGACGATGCGTTTTGCTTGGCGCTGCATGAGTTGGTGTCGTCCGAGTTGAAATGTTCGACTACGTCGCAGAGTGCGACAAAGGTGCCTGTGCTGTCTGAGCGGTTTGCCATGTCTGCTTCGTTGCAGTTTTATGGGCATTTGGGAGAGATTGAGGGGATGAAGGAGGATTTGCAGCGGACGCTTTGTGGAGGGAAAGAGAAGGGGTATTGTGTGGATATGGTGGGGGAGATTGTTACGGCAAGGTATGTCGATGTGGATTACGATACCATCTCGCGGGCGGTGGTTGTGACTGCGGCATGGCCGCACTCACGAGAGGGTGGAAAGGGGTGGACGGACGAAATCCGGTTACCGAGTAAAGACACCACGGTCGAGATAGGAGTGCTGAGTCTGGAGGGAAACACTGATCCTGAAGACATTCAATTCGGTGGTTTCCTGACGGTGTTGGGCGAAGACGAGAAACCAAGTACGTTCTTGACATGCCACCAAACCAACCATGTACAGAAAAGAATCCAGCTAACTGAAAAGCAACAGAACCCACACGCTTCCAAACCCCAACCCGCCATTATCCCCACTACGCACCTT